GGCGAAAGTGCAGCTAGCGCGAAAGAAGGTTGGTTGGAAGAGAGTGATGAAGTCCGCGCTTGACCGTGCGCGCGATAAGCTTACAGAGTATTATGGAAAGACTGATGATATTCCTGGTGATCTCTATGCAATTGCGACTATCCTAGGACCACGGAACAAGCTAGAGTTCTTCACAACATCTGAATGGGAACCTCACTGGGGGCCTCGCTATAAGCAGTCGCTAGAGGCTTACATTCAGCCTTACCGGCAGCGCTACGAAGAGGCACAGTCTACATCAACTCTCCAGCCCACAATTCAAGACGTCTCTGACATTGATATCCTTCTGAGACCTACTGTATCTCTTCAGTCAAACGTGACGGCTCCAGATGAGCTTACACGGTATCTTAGAAGTAGTAAGTTAATCTATATACCTCTTCTTATATACTCCTTCTCTTATACCACCCTCACTAGGTACTGTCGAAGCAACCCCTCTCGTTTTCTGGAAAGAACACCAAAATGAATATCCTATTCTGGCAAGCCTTGCTCGAGACATCCTTACAACACCAGCCAGTGGTTCTGGCGTTGAGCGGTTATTTAACTCTGCGCGTGATATCTGCCATTATCGCCGGGGCTCACTGAAACCGCAGACAATCAAGGAATTGATGTTGTTTATGTGTACAACAAAATTTGACGTGGAGTCAGAGCAGCTTGCCCTAGTTGATGAGTATCTTTCTACGCAAGAGAAGCAAGCAAAGAAAGAGCAGAAGGACGCCCAGAAGAAAGAGGAACAATTTGATCCAATTAGTGATAACGAGGAAGACCTATCCACTACTGAAGATTCTGCCGAAACTATCCAACTTCCTAGTGCGCGAGCGCTTGGAAAGAGAAGGGCTACCCCGGATCAGCTATTTGAACTTGACGATGATGACGATGAGGTTCCCCTGCCTGATAATAGCCACTTAGAAGAAGGGAGGACTACTCAGAGGCGTTCATCTGGGCGTGTTCCAAAGCGCTTGAGACAGGATGAGGATTTTGTATATCTTTAATAGAAACAAGAACCACATAAGCTATTCATAAGGAAATCAGTCAATCCTCGCTTTTTCGGTAGAAATCAACAGACACCAAACAAAGAATTATTCTTTACTCCTACCTCAGAATTATATAAAATTAAATATCATTTGAAAGCAGAATACTCAAAAATACAGGCGACTTCTACATAAATTATGCATACCTTGGGTCTAAGATGTTTTGCTTGTTTGCAGGACCGCAGGACCGCACCAAACCGCAGTGGTGCGGTCCCTAAAAATGTAGGACCGCCCAGCGGTCTCAAGGTCTGGGACCAAAGACCGCGCGGTGCGGTCTAATGCGGTCTTGGGTGCGGTCTTTCCGGTCCCGTGCAGAGGCCTATGCCTACCTAGGCAGAAGCATACTGAATTCATCAGATAACTAGGTATGGAGATACCACCTCCTATCTAGTTATTCTGTTTCTCCTTTCTCTCATTCAGTTCTCACTTTGCTCTCATTCCGCTCTCACATCGAGAACTGAGGGGGTGTGTCAACATATGGATGTTGTGGGGTCACATGACGAAGGACCCACTCATATAACCCCTCTCTACATATAGATCTTCTTCTATAAAGATCTAACAGATTGATCCTCAACGATCTCGCATATAATTACCTACCTAAGCAAGAGACTCTCAACACTCTGATTCTGTTGATTTATCATGTGATCTTTTACTATGTTTCTTGTGATATAAATACTGCTATGTTACCTAGTTAAATTGAATCAAGTTTATCATCCTTTGTGATCTCTCTTCTAGATCGGTGGTACTCTTCCACAATCGTGGTACTTCTCCTCCTTCATAGAAGTGCGCACGACCGATAGACTCATAACCGTGTATTCAGACACTACGTTGAGTATTTACCCTTATACACACTATCGTCTTGTGTGTATAACCACGACTTTATGGTCACCGCCTAGAGTCCGACAACTACTTTAACCGGAATCTCGCTATTTTTCTTTACCTACGGCTATTACGTCGACCCGATTAGTATTAACGAAGTAGGGTAACTAGAAAACGCCCTAATACTACTACGAAAGATAGGCGAAACGTTCGTAAATCGTCTTCGGGAAGCTACCGATTAGGCCTAGGCCGCTATAGCTTCTATATAGGCCCTTTAAGAAAAATAAGCGAACCGGCGCTAATAGGCCGCGCCTATCTATAAGAAGGATAACTAGGTCTAGTTAAACCTTCGGAATATATATACTTAACGACCGTTAAAGAAGTTAGATTAGCTATACGCTCGATACCGAGTAGTAGATATTCCGTTACCGTTTATAGTCTGACTAGATATACCTACTAGTATATATCTAGTATTCTATATTAAGTTAGTTCGTCCGGTAGCGACGGATCTATTTCTATCTTAGCTAGTAGACGATCTATAGCTATCGCTATTACTAGTTAATAGAGAGGAGGAATACGAGGTTAAGTAGATCTTAGCTATCCGACGGAGGAAGATTAGGCGAGGATATCGTGACGAAGTACTAGTAAAGTAGAGAGGATAGGTAGAGTAGACGTAGGAAACACTAGATTTAGTACGGGATTATAGCGCCCTAGATACCTTTAAGGAGTAGTACGGCACTATTTCGGACGTGATTCGTTAGCAAATCGGCACCGAAGCCTATATCGTCGTGCCCCTAACGAGACTAAGACTAGGAGGGGGTATTATCACGGGCTAGTACCCGATATAGGTCACGTGTATCACGAGACCTTAGTATATTAACGTGGGGAACGCGCGAGATAAACTTCTTCTCCTTAAGCTTTTTATAAATAGTATATTAGCCTAGTTAGATTGAATTAAGTCTTGCTTTAGCCCTTCACAATAACTACTAATTAGTGTAGTAGGTAGTCGGTACTAGTCGACGAATTAATTAACTAGCTCGGTTAGGGTAGGTTTCTTTAGACCCTATAGGTTTATATTATACTAGAAGGTATAGAATCCTTAGTCGCTAGGTTGAATTGTCTCTAGGAAATCGTATACTAGAGATAGATAGTCTTAGAAGTAGGTAATTACTGCTTTCTCGCCTTCCGATTAGCTAATTATCTACTTTTGACCCTATATAGGTAGTTAAGATAATTTGGTTAGTAGAGCTTATCGTTTTAGCTTATCCTAATCGCGTAGGATTTAACGATTCTTTGATTAGTCGGATAGGGCGAAGGTAGCACGTAGTTTCATTATAGCTTCGTGTGCTAATAGGCTATTAACGATTTAACGTCCTTCTAGTATAAGCGAGGATCGGATACCTTACTTAAGAGATTCGATAGATCAAAGATATCGAAGGTAGTTTAATCTTAACGACTCGTATTCACTTAGTAGTATCTTATAGATAGCTAATTAGTTAGACGTAAGGTCGATGAGCCTAAGTAGCTATTTAGGAAGATTAGATGTATATATGTTAGTAGGGTTTCTGATCATATTAGATATCTATGGTTTAATTAGTTCCTAAGGCGGGGTAGACGGAGTAGCTTAGTCCGGATTGGCGTATTTCCACAGATCGTGTGCGATTGTATAGTCTTTAACTACAGTAATCCAGGGAACCTAGTGTGCGTGAGATTTTAATGGGTAGTTAAGCTAGGTGGCTTGTAGAGTAGTTAAATCCATCGCTTCTATGTAAGAAGTGAAGCGAGAGTGAGAGTAAAGTAAGAGAATATTGAATTGAATTGGTTAAGTGGTTAGAGCAGAGGCGTCGGGCTCATAACTGTCGGACTCTAGGCGGGGACTATAAAGTCGTGGTAGTAAATACTTAATGTAGTGTCTGAATACACGGTTATGAGTCTATCGGTCGTGCACACTTCTCATGAAGAAGGAGAAGTACCACGATTATGGAAGAGTACCACCGATCTAGAAGAGAGATCACAAAGGATGATAAACTTGATTCAATTCAACTAGGAAACATAGTAGTATTTATATCACAAGAAACATAGCAAAAGGTCACATGATAAATCAACAGAATCAGAGTGTTGAGAGTCTCTTGCTTAGGTAGGCAATCATATGCGAGATCGTTGAGGATCAATCTGTTAGATCTTTATAGAAGAAGATCTATATGTAGAGAGGGGTTATATGTAGACATTGACATCTCCCATGGGACTAGTAAAAATTTAGTCCCACTCCCACGGGACCATGACCTTAGTCCCATCAATCCCACGGGACAAAGTCTCTTAGTTCGCCCATGGGAGTCCCGTGGGACTCCCATGAGTCCCGCCAAGCTCATATTTTTGCATAATTTTCCCGAATAGGATGGATAAAATGATGATTCATCCGAATTTTCACTGTTATTAAACAGTGTTTTGGTATACTACTTTAACATCTCCCTAAACTCAGCTATATTCCTAGGAAATTTTATGAAATCTAATTGTATATAGCTAATTAGGTATTAGAAATTAAAGATTCCTATCTTTTTTAAAATAATTCAATCACTGGATGGTTATTTTAGAAGATATAGCGGTAGATGAAGTATATGGAGTAGGAAATATATATTCTATGCAAGTACCGCAGCACCATCCCTAACGAGATCTCTTTGTTTAATACGAATGCTGCTCTATTTAAAAAAAGCTAGCTAATTAGAAGTGTTTATAGTTATATACGCTATCTAATCTCCATCTTATATTCAAAACTAGTAGGTATGTAATATAAGAGGGTGCAGAAATAGCAGTTTGAAATATAGGTGAAATATTTTTTATCTAATTTGAAAGTCGGGGGGCGTGGTCTGACCGAAAATCGATGGGACTACAAGGTCCCATGGGATTTCCCATGGAAGTATGGGAGTTTCCCACGGGATTAACCAATCGGAAGAGTGCCTACTATGGGTCTCCTTATCAACCATGATAGATCAACTGCATCTTTCAGCTGAATTCACCCTGGTTATTATTGAATTCCTCCGGTCGCAACTACCAATTCGCCATAAGGTAAGTCCTTTCTCTTTCGATTCCCCTAGCTACACACTCTACTCTTCTTCAACTATGTCTCAATTCAGCCAATTTTCTGACGCTGGGCCTTCCTCTCTCTATCAGAGTGATCCTATAGACCCCCTTACCGATATCGAATTAGATGATAGCTCTTTCATAGCAGGGAGCTCATCTTATCAACGAACTCAATATCCTACGCTATCCTCTGAGTTTACACCTCCTCTTGCTCTTCCTTCTACCCTTGAGCGGTTTGGTTCTGATCGGAAGAAGTCCTGGGTAAAATATACCGAAATGAATAAAAACGACTTTGTGATCTGGTGGTTACAGACTGAGGCTGCGACAACGACAGGATCACGTCAAAAGAAGATGCGATGGGATACAAAGCACTCCGCTGAGATCTGGCAGCATTTTGACCAAGTGGCCAACTATATCACCGGCGAGGCAATGGTTATGTGCCGAAGATGTGGAAAAACCATTCCACACCCAGGGCGAACTGCGAACGGGACTAATTCTATGAATCGCCACTTCATGGCTGGAACATGCATTCAAGCTGCAAATAATACAGCAAGGCAGAAGACACTACACCAATCAATCGAATATATGGTAATACAAACATTCCACTAGTTAACTCCAGTAAACTAATAATCTACTCTTCTAATCTAGGCCGAAAACACATCACGTTCGAAGCCATCTTTCAGTGAGGAGCAATGGAAACGATGTCAGGTCAGATTTATCACTAAATCAAACCTTCCTTTTCAAATCCTTGCGCATGAAGGCCTTGCAGACCTTATATCAATGGCTCGGCTAGCCACGTCAAACCCTACACTCCTTACCCCTCGAACTGCTCGACGTCGTCTTCGAAAGATCGTGCAAGAAGATCAGCATCGTATCCTATCAGACCTCCCACCAAATGCGAAGCTTTCAATTGCTCTTGATTGTTGGACATCTCCCTTTCAACAGGCCTTTATGGCAATTACTGGTTACTTCCTCGACCAAAACTGGAAGTACCGGGAGATCCTTCTTGGCTTTGAACCCTTACATGGAAAGCACTCCGGTGTTAATCTAAGCCAGGTTCTATTCGACTGTCTACAAGAGCATCAGATTATAGATCGGGTGCTTGCTGTTACGACTGATAACGCATCGAATAACGACACTCTAGTTGGTAGCATACAGACGTCAATGCAAGCCCTAGATCTTCCAAACCATATACCAATTGTCCGAATTCCTTGCTTAGCGCATGTTATCCAACTCAGCCTAAAGGATCTCCTCACGATGATGAAGCTCAACCCAAAGAACGATGGCATAGATCGGCAGTGGTCAGCTGAACAGGATACGTCCCTGAAACACCTTCGAAAGCGAGGTATTATCTATACTCTTGCAAAAGTAAGTCTTACCTTATATCTATCAGTTGATCTTATCTTATAGAGATCTATCTACTTATTAATATTAGGTCCGTGGCCTAGCTATAGGTGTCAACGCTAGTTCTCAGCGCCGAGAAGCGTTTTTGAACCTTCAAAGTAAAGAACCAAAGCTTCTCCCTATCCAGGATGTCAAAACGCGGTGGAATTCAACATTCCTTATGCTTCAGCGCGCTAAGCGGCTCTCAAAGGCGTATGATGAGTACTGCAGTGAGCATAACTATCCTCAGTTTAAACTAAACACGGAAGAGTGGCGGCAAGTTGACTACCTTCTTTGTATCACTCAACCCTTTCATCAGTGGACCACGGCTATCTCTAAGATCAAAGATGTTACAATCCATCAGATCTTTAGAATCTACAACAAGCTGTTTGACCATTTTGACTTTTCCATCAGCCAACTGAAGCGGAAACGGGTTCCTTGGAAGGCAACTATGCGTGGGGCGCTCGAAGCAGGCCGTCAAAAGCTCTCTGACTATTATAGCCAGACTGACGCTCATGGTAATCTCTATGCAATTGGCACTATCCTTGCGCCGCGGTACAAGCTGCAATTCTTCTCGAAGCGTGAATGGTCCGATAACAACTACCAATGGCGTAAGACCTACCGAGGCTACATGGAAAAATACCTCGAGCCCTACCAACAGCGCCAAAAGGAGACAGAGCAGTCACAGTTCAGCCGACCCTCTACCCAGCAGAAGGATGATATTGAACTGCTCTTGGATGATGATAACCCTTCCGAGCCCTCTCAGTCCCAAGAGAAACGGACTGGCCCTGTATTTGACGATGAGCTTACACATTATCTTAATAGTGGTATATTTCTTCCATTCGAATATCCGCTGATTTTTCATTCTAACGTTTCTTTAATAGGCACATTGAACAAGAATCCCTGTGACTTCTGGCGGGAGCATGAGCATCAATATCCTACACTCGCAAGCATGGCACGCGATGTATTTACTATCCCTGCTAGCGGGGCTGGTGTGGAGCGTCTTTTTAACTCTGCTCGCGACGTGTGCCACTATCGACGGGGTCGTCTTAGCGAGACCGCTATACAAGACCTTATGATGTATCGCTGTATCTCCGAATTTGATCTTGATACAACAGATCTTACAGGTGAATCCGATAAGGAGGAAGAGCCTACCGCCGAAGAGAGACAGCAAGCAGCGCTACGAAGAGAGGCAAAACTAGGCCAGTTTACCCCGGTTCCAATCAGTGACAATGAAGAGGATGAGGATGAAGACGAAGATGAAGACGAAGATGAAGATGAAGCTGAAGGTGAAGATGAGAGTGAAGATAAGATATATAAGGTAAACTCCGTTCCTTTCGACGCCTATATACCATCCGCTACATCCCAACGTAGCCAGCGAGCTCTGGGAAGGAGACGAAAGAGTGTGGATTCCTATGGGGAAGAAGATAAGACTGAACCTCAACTACCCCCTTTGCCACAGGATAAGGAGGGCTATAGTCAAATGCGGACGTCTGGAAGGACAAGGAAACGTCCAAGAAATTTAGATGACTACGACGTAACATACGAATAAACTTACATTTCCTATCTTTTATTGAATCTCTATCGAGGATCTATAGAGCTATCTAGAGTAATATAGTAAGTGCAATACTTAAAAATACTAGGAAAAGCGCACAATTTATGCAAGTGGCAGGATTTTAACTGTTTGCACTGTTTACAGTCCCGTGGGAAGTCCCATACTCCCATGGGAGTCCCACGGCCCTTCTAGTCCCGCCCATGGGACTAAAGCTTAGTCCCAACTCCCGTCCATGGCGGGAAGTCCCAGGTCCCACGGTGGGAGTCCCGTGGGAGATGTCAATGTCTAGTTATATGAGTGGGTCCTTCGTCATGTGACCCCACAATATCCACATGTTAATGGGTACTACTACATAAATAACTCGTCCGCTTATCTATTCAGTCTAATAACTAATTTACACGATATTATTACTATTCTAGGGGACGGTATATCGGCGTATCGCCTATATCCGGTTATTAGTACCTAGCCCATAGAGCCCTACTAGCTAGTCCCTACGTGCTCTATAATTAAAACTAAAATAGGTAGAACGCCCTATATTATCGTAATAGCTCCCTTATCACCGAAAGGCGCTCGTGCCGCAGGAGTAAGCCACCTGTTTTCCCGTCCTTCTATCTTATTATCTCCTCTAATCGATCATAAAGTTATCAGGGCTCTAACGCTAAGGCGCACTCTATTCGTAGGGGTAAGGATAAGCTTAATTAGGAAAAGCGGCTAAATTTTGCGTAGGTCAACAGTAATAGATATTTATATGTAGCCCGAGCCCCGGCGAGGCCTTCCGGCTCGGGGATCGTTCCTAAGCTTAGATATAACCGCCGTGAAGCCTTATAATTATCGTGAAAGGACGGAGTTCCACTATTAGTATTTTATCTATTCTCACGGACTCCATAACCACTAGCTAATACCTATAGCTACTAAGATAGTCGGGTCGTTCACGTGCGCTAACTAGGTCGATCCCGGGCTTCCCCTCCTATATAACATAGTGTCAACATGTGGATGTTGTGGGGTCACATGACGAAGGACCCACTCATATAACCCCTCTCTACATCTAGATCTTCTTCTCTATAAGATCTATCGAATTGATCCTTAACTATCTTGAATTGAATTGCACACTCGTATTGAATTGCCTACCTAGGCAGGAGACTATTCAACACTCCACTTTCTTACTATTTCATGTGATCTTTTGCCATGTTTCTATGATATAAATCCCCCCCATTTCCTAGCTAAATTGAATCAAGTTTATCATCCTTTATGATCTCTCTTCTAGATCAGTGGTACTCTTCCACAATCGTGGTACTTCTTCTTCATAGAAGTGTGCACGACCGATAGACTCATAACCGTGTATTCAGACACTACATTGAGTATTTACTACCACGACTTTATGGTCACCGCCTAAAGTCCGACACATAGACTACATCAGCTAAGGCCGATAACGCCATCGCCTTTAGCTTCCGCCCCTAAGGCAGACTTTAAGCTATAATCCATATAGGCAATATCCAAAAGGAGCGATGCGCTAATACACCTAGACACGTGCAAGCTCGATCCTTAGCTAACCGATTTCGGTATAACGTGGCGAACATATAGGTTAGCATAGCGGGCGAGAGGCAATATTGCCCTATCTCGAATATCAGGGGAGATAGCTAAGCTGAAACAGGGCACGGGAGAGGGAAAGCACCGTAGATCTACGCTCGAGGGCTCGAACGACGGCAAACGACTGGCCCGTTTGCGCCGGCGACAAATTAAGAGACGGAGCTCGGTGATCCGGATCAATGGCGTAAATGCCTCAAAAGCTAGTCGTGAGTGGGAATGAGGAGAAAGAAAGAGCAGGAAGGATGAAAAAACCGTGAAACGTTGAAGCGGCGATGAAGGGGACTTTATAGAAACACGCACCCGGACAGCAGGCCGCCAAGCAACGCTAAACCCAAACAGGCACGCTATACCGCATCGAGTAATTCATAGGCAGCACCGGATACGTTGACGTATGCTGAAGGCTCGGAGGGTTGTTAAAATAAGGCCAGTCCGCGCTGCCGATTGAGGGGGTGGCGGAGCTTGGCGATGCGAATTTGGCAAAAATGCCTTACTCGCAAGGCTCTTAGGAGGAATAGAAGGAAGGAATAGTAGAGGATTGAAAAACAGCCAGAAGGTGGAGCGTCGATGAAGGGGACTCTTTAGAAACACTCAAGGGGAGGATAACGCATAGAATGGCGCTAAACCCGAACGGGAACGCTGAACTCCTTTGCATTATTCAACGTTCCCAAAGACTACCATTCTCCTCTTTCACTATGAGCTCTCGCATGTCAACCCGGTGTCTTTCAACAGATTCCGAAATTTCTGCTCCTTGAGAGATGCTGAACATGTGACTTCGTTGGAGCAAGTTGAGGCCAACGAAGTTCACCGACAAGCCACCTCAAATTGAGCAGAACCAACCCAATTGAACACCGAGTCTGAGTTGGGCCCCCTAGTTACCTCATATCCCGACCAAGCAAGCATCCACGCTTAGGAAATTACTAAAGCAACGGTCAAATAGCCCGCCTACCCCATCGAAGATCGCACTAGCTCAACTTATTCAAGGGTACGAAATCGTTGTACATAGCGCGACCCTTCTTAGCCAGGAGAACGCCAATTACCACACAGCCAATAAGAAGAAACGCCAGAAACGAAATCGATCATCTAAGAAGATACCCTACGAAAGGGTTTGACCGTCGAAGAGGACCTACAGCTAGTTAAACAGCTAAACCAGCCGGTAGAAGACGATATGGTAGATTCGCATACGGTCGTTAAATTACCTAGTCAGCCAGTTAGGCCGGCGGCAAGAGCTCCGCCTAGGTGTAGTGGGTGCAGGGAGATTGGTCACAGGATTAATGTATATAAAAATCGCTTTATCGAGTTAAGTTAATGGGTGTTGGTAGAATTATCCTGTTTTAAAACCCATGGGTGGTTATGGGTGTCCCGGTCGGGCAGGAATTACGTTAACTCGTTAAGTGATTTTAACGACAAGATTACATGATGTCATTCATCTCACTGGCCATATCTATGTTATGTTTACAGTTCGTCCATCAGGTGCAGACTTTTCAGCCCTTCGGAGATTACTTAAGTTTCACCCATTATACGGTCTCATGCGACCGACAGAAGCATTTTAGCGTATGCCGCAGCGGTTGCGCATGCATACTCCTGCCACAGCTTGTTCTTATGGGAGTCCGCATAATCGCATATTCCTCGAATGACAAGGCTAGGAACGGCGTTCATGATCCCAGCAGCTTCCATTTCAAAGCAAAGAATGTTGTACTTTGCACCCAGATGATCCCGCGTCTCGGCATCCTTCACAACTTTGTTTCCCGAGGCAATGAGGCCATAATGGATCAGCGGATAAATTTCGGGGCGGCGCGCCCTTCGGACAAGCCGACCACTGCAATGGGCGAAAAGCTTGTCATTCCGAGCACCGGGATGCTTGTACGCGGGGTTGCACACTGTAATGTCCTTGATATACCCTTGAAATCGTGTGTATGGAAGCTCAGGATCCGACATTAACGTGCTGATAGCGGTCATCAAGAAACGCGGGGGACGCTGAAGCGAACCCGTTCGTTCGAACTTGTTTTCCTCCATGTTCTTGCCAAGGTCGTATTGGATAACCCCAGGATGGATGTCGGTTGGATGACTGACGACAACATCACCGAGTCGGATATCATTGTCTCTTGAAGGCACTCCGCCCCCGATCCCGACTAAAAGACAAAACTTCACCTCGGGAAAGCTCCTGGTCAAATGGGACACAACGTCCGCAGCGGCGTTTGTGCCGTATTCACCAGATGGAAGGCATGCAGCAACAACGTGATGACGCCCGATACGGCCCAGTGCATAATGATTGGTGTCTCGCACGGCCCTCTCTAAATCTTCGTGTCTCTTGTCAAAGAGGATGCGAACCGCCCGGAGCTCTTTTTGCAAGGCACATATGATCCCTACCGTGTAGCTCTCACGAGTAAGAGTCTCTCCATAGTCATTTGATGGGTGTTGAGAGCTGGAAGCTGCTGAAATATGACTTCCCTTCTGAGCGGATGAGTTCGTGTCAGACGCAATCCCACTGTCATGAAACTCGATCTCAAGTGCCTCGGATGTCTCGGATGTCTCGGATGGCGGGGATGATTCTCCTTCTTCAGGATATCCAGTATCTTTCCAGGACCATTTAGAGTACTCACTGTGGCCGAAGATAGCTGCACCACGAGCATCTAGTGGAAACTCATGATTGATGGGTAGTCTCTTCCTAAAAGCAGAAGGCAGAAGAACTTGAACAAGATCCGAGTGCTCATCCTGTCCGTCCAATTCGCACTGACACGATCCAAAGGCAATTGGATTGTGCCAAATGACATTATGTGCTAATACCATTGGGCTTGCTTCTGAATCTCCATCCATGTCCATGATCTCTTTCAGGTCATGGACAGAGGCGGCGAGATAGTACATGGCTTTTGGCAATTCAGTCCATTTATTACAGGAGCCGGTGCTGAAAGGTTCAATGACTTCACCAAAGCGTCGACCGAACAGGGTAACTGCGTGGATAGCTCTGATGAAATCCACCCAGCCCTTGCCAATTGTTTCGAGCTTGGCAACACGAGGATAGAATATATCGCGACAGGTAGCCAAGTCATTGAAGTCCCAACCTTCCAGGTATTTTCGGGGTCTGGATGATTTTGCGCTGCTTGGTGTGGCGATGCCCACCTCGTAGTCCATGATTTTCTCCAACGTGTCGTAGAGCTCTTCAACTCGATCTTCCAGGCGAAGATAGGTTCCTTTTTCTAGATATATTGGGAGCTTCCTGTTGCTTTGATTCGCGAGTACTTTGATGGCAGAAAAAGCCCTGCGAGTTTCAGATGCTTCTTGCAGATCCTCAGGATTGAAGAGAAATTCGGTGCTTAGTTCATCCATACTGTCGTGTTTCAGGGAGGCCCGAAGTAAGTGTAAAAGAACACTGGCCCCATTGATTAACCATCCTCGTTTGTCTTCTTCGTCCCAAAGCACAAAGAATCTCCGACGGATTGACTTGAGCTTTTCTATGTACCCATTTCGTGATATATGGATTGCGGTGTCTTTGTGACCCATGCTGAACGCACTGCCAAGAATGATCTGTCCCTTGAATAACCGGATATCGTTGTATATGCAACCCTCCGGCGGTCTTGGGAGCCGTGACGGCGTGATTAGATAGTTGGCCTCCGCAGCCCCTGACAAAACAACGTGTTAGCAAAAGACCCAGCTTTTTTCCTGAATTATTCTTACCAGCGTTGTATCTGGCTTCGGAACACCACCCAAGCACGTGCCGAGCCTTTTCCAAGTCAAAGATGCTGATGTCCTCCAAATGAGGCACAGTATGTTGGATGTAGGATATGCGGCTTCGATCTATGTTATACATCAAATGCCAGAGGATCGTGGGTCCATTTTGTCTTGTTGGAATTAAAATTGTCGAAAAGCCCTTAATAAAGAGCTTTTTGTTGAAGCTGTTGACACGCTTAGTTCGGGCCAATCCTGCCATCATGTTAAGTGGGATCTCCAGGCCTGTGCCAGTCTCCGACCTCCATGGAATTGGGTAGCCTGTGACGACAACAGGATTCCGGAATAAGTTGTGCCAGCATTGCGCATTCGACGTTGTGGATTGCCTCTCTCTCTCCTGAAAGACGAAATCAATCTTGCCAAGGATATGGGGACAAGACTGACTCCGAGACGCTTGCTGCGATGCGCTAGAAATATGGACGTCACTGATAATCGGTGTGCAGTACGCAATTCCAAGTTCATATGGCGAAGAGCGTAGAGCAGCACCCAGCCATGCAAACTGTTCACCGATCTCGGCCACCGAGTCTCCCGTGCCGAACGCCTCAACGTTGAAACCTGACGCAGTAAGACAGGCTGCGACCTTGGTGTTGTCGGGCAAATCACCTAGAGGACCACGATTAGTATCAAATCGTAGCTAAACAGCGTCGGAGATTTACAAGTTTGTCGACTGCCGGGTCCAGCGCGAACGATATCCATAATTAGCTGGAGTATATGTCCACCTGTTGAAGGCCATGTCTGGCACAAGTATTGTGTACAAGACAGGGCTTGCGCATCCTCGGATGATCCCGTAAGTGTAATGACTCCCTTGAGTGCCTCGCCTGGCTCCTCCTGATACCCTTGTTCATCGAGAAAGTCCAGCGGATTCCATTTGACAACATACGTCACGGTGTAGGCTTCTGCAGATAACGTTCGGCTGAGTCTGTGAGAAGATGGGAGGGAGGTAATAATCTTTTTTCTGATAGATTCCATGATATTTGGCTTCGCTGGGGCCAGGAAGAGCTCTCTGCGTAAGCTGGAAAGAAGCCATTCGTATGATGCGACATTGGAAATGAAACTTTTATAGACAGAGAGCTCAGGCATATTGGATTCTTCGTCCTGTTCTGCTTGTTCTTCTTGTTCCTCCTGTGTATGCGTATTGTCGGTTATTGGCTCACTAATACAAGGAGAAGACGGATTGGGATCTTGCTGCTCTTCTAGGTGCTTGTTCCATAAGTCCCATTTCTCATCCAGAGGCATTCCCATAGAGTCGGGAGAGTCGGGAGTCCCATCCTCAAAAAGAATTTCTTCCTCATGGGAACACCTCTCTTTGAAATTGCTCACGATATTGCTGACAAACAGTCACAAAGTTAGGGCAAAGTGAGACTTTATATCTTTGGAACATGGAACTCACTGTCTGTTCTTGTGAATAAAAACCATAACATCACGATGAATCTGACTGGGTGCGTTGTGGCCAATTTTGAGAGCGAAAACCCTCAGCAATTCAGGAAGAGCCTCGGTAATTCTCTCCATTGCCTGCGCATCAGCTTGCCAGGAGACAAGTTTCATGAACAAATCTTCGCCAAATAGAGATATGTAGCTTTCCATTCGCAAAGGAGCAATGCTCGATGTATCAGAGTACACAGTTTGGCCTGTAGTCATCTCCAGGGAGTCATGTGTCGGTGGAGTTTTGAAATGCTCTGTTAAGTCGTGTTCTGGAACCGTAGGAAGTCCGAGTCTAGCATCCGACGTACTTTGAACATATCCATGTTTGTCAAGATTTGTAGACGCATAGCCAGAATCCGTGAATGCTCCAATTTGGGTTAACCGTAGGGGATGTGCGATATCGGCTGCTCCAGAGTTCTCGATGCTCAGATCCATTGATTCATCTGAATCCCACTCCTGTGAATATACATCTCGGGGTGTGGGGCTGGTGTGCGTATGACTCTGTTGTCGGTGTTGCCGGGGTTGATGAGAGTCAGGGTGATCAGCACCAGGGTGTTGCAGAGAATCATGAGCTTGAAGGACCTGGTGAGGGTATACGGGTCTGGGAGGGGTTTGATGTAGTAGGACCGAATCCAAAGACAGTGGAGGAACGTCAATTGCATCAGGTGAAGTGGTCAGCCGTCGCCATGTGGTGGTACCAATCTCTACTGGTCGCGTCTGCCGAAACTTCCAGAGAAGGATGGCCATTCTGTTGTTTTCGTTACCCAAAGGCTCACGGGCCCGGATCTCCTGAACGGCGCTCAGGGAGCGAAAGTATCGCCGAGTAGAATCATGACTGATATCATACTGTCCGATTCTTCCATTCTCCTTTTTTTGATGGGTAAGTTGTGTGAATATCTTTTCCCACCATGATGACTCAAACGGCGGTTTGATGGTTGTGGTATTATGCGGCTGAGGGAGATTATGCTCCGTTTGTATCGTCGCCTGCCCATTTTTATATATGTAATTGCTGCACGTCCAATCCTTCATCATGCTACTCATCGGTGCGATACCAGGTATCGAATTGACTCTGTCCAGCTCCAAGGAAATTTCTAGCCTCGACCCCACAGGAGGAAAGTCATCTAACAGCTCAAGGTTGGCCTCGAAGAGTATAATATCACATCCCAAAGGGCCTCTGCTGCTCGAGAGTAATGCAGCCAGATGCGGAAAGTGAGTTCGCCAACCCCCGATATTCCCCAATGGCATTGGTGGTGCCGATGGCATTGATGGTAAACCCTGGTCCCCCTGGAGACGGGTATACACATGTAAAGCATCCTCGATTCGGTCCGGCGTGTTTGGGGTAGTCACCCACATGTCAAAGTGAAGGCACTGGACGGCATGAATATGGTTACTGTAGTGGTTAGAAGGTTCACTATCCTTCGAGCTCCTCCATATAGAACCAAGAGGCTGAGCCGGGTCATGTGAATGCTTGGTTGGTTGCTCTCGAACGAGCATTTCCCCTATATTTCTTGTTAGATCACGCCGATAGCTATACCCTGATGTTGTTCTACTTACAGTCCGGGTCACCATGGAGAAAGGAATCAAGTAATTGCAAGTGAGCTGACACCTGTTTTCTCGTCCTCCGCTGGCCAGTCTGCCGATATATATACTCTGCAATTAGTTCATTTCGGCCATACGATTTCCCATTTTCCGTTAACTTTTTCCTCCCCATCGGTGGGTGTGCCCCAAGGGCTGCATCATCCATCAGCGGCCTGCTAGTATGAACAAAAATTGCGACTTACCTTGCTGAAATGCATCTTCCAGCTCGTCTGACCACACAACCTCCCCATCTTTGCCAACATCCCGACGCGGCCGGGCCCTATACTCCAAATACCTTTGGGATTTCAGATAGCCCCTTCCCCTTCGAGGACTAATAGATGGCCCGACGCTTGACTGTACGCGTCGTTGCCTCTTGAGCTGGTATCTTTGGCTCGATAGCGGGGGGTTGGTAGAAGTCGGGGGTGGAAGGGTGGGACCAGATCCTGTGATCTCACTCGGTGCTGGGGCGTCTGCATCTGTCTCCTGCGGAAGATGAAGAAGGAAGCGAAGCCCTAACCTCTCTAGACTTGGCAGGTTCACATTCTCGGGTTGCCGATCAGACTCCATGGTTGGAATATTTGATTCGGCCCTGGCGAGAAATTCTCAAATGATGGTACAGACGGTCGCAGACAACAAAGAATATAATCCTGATTCCATCGACAAGGCTGTAGCCTCATCGAATCGCATGTGGCCACATGGCTCAGCGAGATGTAAGCGAAGGATCCCAACGCATCGACCGATGCAGAAAACGGGCTAACCTTACAGAGTGATCCTGCGGCTGATCAGATCAGATGTCAACATCCCGGCACTTGTATACCCAATCTCTACTTACTCGTGTATTAGAAGGCCCAGTCTGCAACACAACCCATAATAAGCAGAACACAAGGGGGTCAGCACTGTAACGTAAAGGGAAAGCCATCGATCTAGCAAGAAAATCGACTATGTAAAGAGACATGTATCATTTCTAGGGTAACACCGTTGTTTGAACTCCGAAGAGTTGCAGAATCACGTGTTATTGATAAACTGTCAGCGGGCATTGAGTGGGCACGGCCGTTCTGTCGGAACAATAGCAGCAGTGGAGACCGGATAACGGAGATACTAGTTAACTAACGTTAGTTATCTCCCATTTAAATTTGTCATTTTTATGGCCTCGTAAGTTGCCAGCTAGGGGTAGTATAGCAATTGATATCCAATTGGTGCGCGCTATGTTTTACTAAGCAGTATTTCCGACTCGTTCATCATTCGGAACAAATTACCTCCGGCCTTACGCATGTGCCTTGTCCCGAATACTAATGAACGCTGACCATCGGGGGATCTGGGCACTAAACACGCAGCCCACTGGCCGTGCCCTTCGCTACGCTGCGACCCACCCTCTCGCTAACGCTCATAGGTGCGCCACGCTTCCATGCCCACCACATTTTCATGCCCAATGTTCGAATACACCACACATCCAGCTAATTCAACCACCCAACATACCTAACTCTGAGATTTTCAGCGAGGAACGCAGGGAGGTCTTCGCAGCTGCTAGGCGTGAAAAACCCCCAATTTTTCGAAAATTGCGCACGAATTCGACGTGTCTCGCGATACCCTTTCGAAGCGCATCAAAAAGGCTACAGTATATCGCCTCCTTTACCAAAAGATTTGCAAAAAAACGCCCTTCGTGCATACCAGGAGACAGCCTTAATTAACTAGATAGCTAAAAATACGCGTTTAGACTGAAGAAGGTTCAAACACACTAGAAACATCACTAGGTTCCTCGGCCTGAGAAACCTTGCCTCTCCCCGTACTTTGCTCGCTTTCTAAAGATCGTTAATATACCAGTCGCAAAGAGAGTCGTCGATCAAACTTACCTGCTGGGCCATTTGCAACGCTCTCACGCGTTGGGGCCTCACGACCAGTGCAATTCTGCAACACGTCGAAAGAACTCACCGTCATTTTTAGTGCTTTGTCATCCAAGTGAAAACGGTTCGTGGATGATTGCCCGAAGGAATGAAGGTCTTCTAGATCCTCAAAGACTGGCGATCTGCTTGGCGCACGGGCAGAGGACGAACTAATAACTTCATCCTCGCCTGCTGGGACAGTGAAGTTGTCATCAATCAAAGTCTCCCAGAATTCCGGTGTAGCCATGATCTCTGTGTCGGCATCAGAACCAAACTAGTCTGTCTTATCATAGCGCCAACCCTCGTCAACGTGGATCACGATGGGATTAGAAGCCGAGCCCAATGGAGCAAGATCAACTCTAATCACTATAGGATCGGCCTGTATGCCTAACTCGGGGGAAACGATGGAGTCGCGTACGACAACTTCAGGCCATTCACAAGCTTTGTGTGCTTTTTCTGTAAAAGAGGTCATATTGACTTGAGCCGGTAGAAGAGATGGAAACAAGTATTGAACAAAGCAGGGGAAACCGAGCACTTGGTTGGAAAGACCAAATTGGATTCTTGACCGCTTTATTACGAAGACGGCGTGTGAGGTATATAGCTTTATACCTCTCGTCAGACCGATCTCGCCTTGCTTAGCCTAGACGCTAAGGCGGACTCGCTCGGAGAGGTTTTAAGCCCAGAGGGTAAAAGCTCCGGCAGGATAGCATCCAAACGAGGCCTCCTATCTGCCAATTGATTCTGTGACTGATGTATCATGTAAGGTACTACTGCACGAAAGACTCGCCCGCTCATCCGCTTGATCCAATAGCCACACTGCAAAGCGCTGTTGCTATTTCTAGGGAACGGTAGGTCTGCTTATCATTTACGTCCGGTGATCGCCGGTCGACAGAGCTCTGCTTACTAGTCGTTCCGTGTGGGGACCGAAAATAAAACGCCTAGGACGTACCGACATAGAGACGCTAGCTCCGTCGTCGTATCAGTCCATATAACGCTCGTGCCGCACTAGTAAACCTTTATTTTCCCATGAGTCCATCTCATCCTCTCCACCAATCGATCACAAAGTCAACGGGGCTTCGGCGACAAGGCGTAATCGGTGATAAGGGCTAGGGTAGGCTCCAGAATACGAATAATAGCAAGAAAAACCACGTAGACCGACGGGAATAGATATTTATATCTAGCCGGACGTGGTCGCCTAGCGAGGTCTTTAGGTTCAGGGATCGCTCCTGAGGTTCGCCATGGAATCTATGAAGCCTTACGGTCATCATAAAAGGACGGAGAGTGTCACTGTTATCGTCTTATTAACTCTCGCGGACCTAGCAACCATAAGCTAATACGTATAGCGGCTAAGAGAGTCCGGTGGTTCACGTGCGCTAATCAGTTCAATCCGGTATTCCCCGGTTCTGAAATAATACGGACGCCATCAGCCAAGGCTACCAATATCTTTACCCTCGATTTGCCGCCCTAAGGTAGATTTAAAGCCCTGCCTCATACGGGCGATTCTCCAGAAAGAGCAATATGCGAATGCACCTCAACGCGGGCAAGCCCGACGATCGGCCGACCGATTAACGTGCGAGGCGGTAAACCGGGGGCCAAAATACCTCATCTTTAGCGCAATAGCGAGAGAGCTAAGCGGAAACAGGGCACGGCGAGGGAGAGCACCGTAAATCTGCGCTTAAGGGCTCGAAGGACCGCAAGGGACTAGCTTATTCGCGCCGGCGACAAATAGGGTGGCGGAGCTCGGTCATCTAGATCAATGGTAGAAATGCCTCACTAACCGGTCGTGCATAGGGAACGGGGAGAAAGAAAGAACAGGAAGGGTGAAATGAAACATTGAAGCGGCGATGGAGGGAACTTTATAGCAACACGCACCGGGCAAAGAGGAGCTGGCTACACTAAACCCAAACAGGCACGCTAAACCGCATTGCGTAAATTATATTTTTAGGCCGCACCGGATGCGTGATAACCAACTACACCATCCGGCCAATTGATGTATGGAGACTCAAAATTATGCTACATGAATCAATTGGGTATAAAAAGAGTGTCAACATGTATCTTCCAAAAATGTCGCAAATTCTAGCTTAGAAGTTCCTGAGTATGAAAAATTTCACTTTTCAGAGTGCCAAGTGCAGTCTAGAGACACCCTAGGGTCTATTGTCGGTAATGTAATTTACCATGGTAAATTGAATGGTGGTGGGTGTGAAGATATATATATCTGTGTTGATACTCTATAATTAGAAATCCTAATCAAGGTGAATCTTTGTTATGTCGAAACCGAGGATGTTGGATAGCATACTAGAGGAAAGTAGCGTTAAGCTATGTGAAGCTAGTCCAAACCACTCATTCCACTACATAACTAAGTGTCGCATAGGTAGTCCGGTCCATACTCACTCATCCTGACTAAATTTAGTTCCAATTCATTTTCATCACAACGGAGCATATTTGATCCTCTTACTAGAAGCTTCGACGATCACTGAGAATTCGGAGGAAGATAAAGATATTCATTACGGAGGTAAGGTATATCACGGCTCGAGATGATAAGCGTTCGATTCATCTTTCCCGGAAGATTATGTTCCATTCTCTCACCGTGAAGTTTTGAGAGAAATGAAGAAGATAGGTTAGTGAGAAAATCCCAGCGCGAATGAAATCTCAAGAGACACACCTGGGAACTAGTACAATGGGTTTCATTTATAAAAAAGAGTCACTTATAGAACCCAATTTGAATTCATCCCAATCAAAAATTTTTAAGATACACAGCCAAGTGATACAGAATTCAAAAGCAAAACACATGCAAAATAGAGTGAGCACTCCGATTATCCACCATGGATGAATTGGGATATCCTGGCGACCCTAAAGATAAAAGCGAGCCTAGAGCTAAGAGAAACCCTACATAGCTTACTCAGCCAAACTAAAGATCACAACTGTCTTAAAGTCAATAAGCGTCACTTTCCCACTCAAACGGCCATGTAGCACATTGTGCTTCCCGGAATCCATAAGCCGAGGGCTCGGTGGTTCCTTCAATATGAGTCCGAGGAGGAAGGCTTCCGGCCAAAAGGGCAGGCGGGTTTTCCATGATCAGTGTGAAAATGTCGAATTCCACTATCTTGTTGGAAGAGAATGTTGAGATTCACTTGAAGAACGGAGAGGAGCAGTGATACAGGGGAGGAGATATCATTTCAAAGTCGAGGAAGCCAATTATATCAAAGATATGGATGGAGAGTTTTAAGTAACTATTATTGCAGTAGCATACTAAGTATGACTGATGAATAGAGCCACTGAGTACAGAGCGTGGCCATTGTCGGCCGCTTGAGGCAAGACTTAAGAAAAGATTTCGATTGAATTCCACAATCAGGCCAAGCAAAAAGAAATGCTAACTGTAACATTCACGAAGAGAGGAAAAGATGGAGAAAAAAAATAGAAGGCAATCTAAATGCACACACTCTGCTTGTCCAAATCGCCCAGGAATCTATCTGAGCCTCTTCCCATCCCTGCGCTTGCTCAAGAGCCACACAAAAGTACTATACACGTACCCAAGATTCGGTTCATCTTTGTCCAGCCCCGAAATTTTGTTGAAGCCTGGATTTAGTCCACAACACGCGTGTAGCGGTAGGGCTTGGCAGTGAAGCTGCCATCCTTCCAGCCAACAGCACGCTTGTACGCCACGCAGCCGTAGGTACCGCGGCACTCAAGCGTGTTGTACTCCTTCTTGGAGCTATCAGCCCACGAATGGAACAGAGTGACGTGGCCAGCAGCACCACCAGTGCCAGGTCCCAGAGTACCAACAAAGTCACCGGGCTGGAGGTCATCCCACGAGATAGCCTTAGCGATATCTGGAAGGCTGACAGTGTTGTAGCCTGGCGAATTTGCGTGAAGAGCCATGCTAACAAAGCCAGAGCAGTCGGTGCGGTACTTGCGGCCTTGAGGATCCGGGTATTCGGCGTTCATAGAGTATGGGATGTGGCGCGAGACCCAGAATTCACCGCGAGAGATGATCTCCTTGCGGCTGATCTTGCCGTTGTAGGAAGAGGTGCCGCCACCAGAGCTGCCACTGCTGCAGTCCTTGGTGACCATGCTGCTGGAGCCCGTCTTGACGTAGTAGTCGGTAACGTAGCAGCCATCAGAAGTCTTGTCCCAGATGGTGCTGCCCTTGATGTCCTCACCATGAGTCTGGCAAGTGATCTTGACGTCAGTACCCTTTGGGTAGGAGGTGACAACCGCATCGTTCGTGGAGGGACCAGTGCGACAGTTGACTCCATCGCCAGAGATGGCGTAGGCGTTAGCCATAGAGAAAGCCGCAGCTAGGGCCAGAGCCAGATTGGTGAGCTGCATGATGTCGAATTGGTACAGAGAGGTAGGTTTTGCGTGTTGGTGATCTTTCGATAAATAGTTCCGATTTCCGGGAGAACTCACTTCCTTTCGATAGTGTGTTCGAGGATTGAGACTCTGAATGGGAGAGGGATAAAAGGGTTGAAGAGTTTGATGCTTGGAATAAGACCTTGAGGCCAGGCCAGACGTGGATACTTATACTTTGACTGATGCCTCGATATTCGACCAAGTGCTATGATAGCCGGATTGAGCATCGGCTAACACGAGCATATCCGAGGCCAATCTGCCTAAATTTAGTGTCGAGATTCTCATTTACGAAAGCCAAGAAGGTATTTTCTCACTAAAAGACACGATATACTCCATAGACGGCATGTAACCATGCACGAAACGTGATTAATGCACAAAAGCTGGTAGTGACAGAATGTGGATCCTCATCCGTACCGAGCTCGTAATTAGGCATTTTTAGTTTCTAGTTCTCACGATACGAGATTGAGGCTATTTACTTTAGAATATCAATCCTACTCTGGGGCCAAAATGATCGACTATATCGAAAGTCTGAGGTGAATACGATCTGGGGTCGGAAGTTGTCCACCGCCAAAAATAGTTTCTTTTTACGAACCGCACAAGCGATCGCCAGGGTCTAAGCTAAAATAAGGTATATTGGAGCCGATGAAAACACGAGAATGCTTGACAGGGCAGGCACGATCGTCAATCTTGATGAATGAGACGAACACGATGTTGTAAGTTCTCCGAAGAGGTCGCTAAAAATAGTCTCCTTTCTTCACGCTAGCCTCGCCTTATACGAGTTTGTATGAGTGATCAGCCGGGCTAACCTTAAATAGAGGCAAAATGCGGGCGAAGGAACACGAGGTTGCTTGGCAGGGCAAGTGGGGTCGACCACCCACATTAAACATTGTTGATGAACAAGGTAAACGTAATGGACGGTGTCGAAGAGGCGAATTGTCTGATGAAATGATCTCGTATCCTTCCGATAGCTATAGCTTCAACTACCTTCAGTCCATTTCTCCTTTCCTTTGTGTCTTTTTTATGAAATTATCCGTTAATGTCACAAGTATCTCTTCTCCACTCCCTGTTCTGTTGCCATTACTTTACTCCTCGGTTAGTGTCTACCTCATCAACGGCGACTCTGTTAATTTCTCTGGCTCTGACACGAATACGGCATCATGAAGACCTACAAGCATTGCGACAGTGTGTCCCTCATATGTAAAGCCCTTGGGACAGTCGTCACTGGGAATTATATATGGGACAGGCTTGCCAATGATTGCTAGTTACAAGTCTATGTCTGCACCGGAATTAGCAACCATGCCGTCAATTGGAAGTCCGGCGAGGAGCGGGCGCAGTATACAACACGGGGTTGACGGTTCTCATTATGAACAGCTAACTCCATGGCTATCTCATAAGCCTAATGCCTTGATAGATGCAGCATGACCAGCCAGATTTGGCTTGGTGCTGCGCAGATACATCCACGATTAGCTTGGAAGGAAGTAACCCCGCAAGCATAAATCGTTCGGACATAGCCTATGAAGATTGTCGCCCATGAAGCATTTGTGATCTAGAGGTCATACTGCCGACTTCGGTATTGATTATCTTGAAAAAGGTAAGATAGTACTAGGCTTTCAGGGGCCTATTTAATCCCTCAGATCAGTTACTGAGGGTCTGAATATATACACAACAAAAAAATATATCGTCACAAATGTATCACGTCTCATTGATCCAGATTGCGGAATCACAGGTAACATCCGCCTGAAGGTTATATCCCCCACTATACGAGTCATTGTTTCCTGCATAACCAAAACATTGGCCCGGCCAGTCGTCATTGACAAAGCCATTCCGCCAACAAACCGAAGAACAAACCTTTGATTCAGTGCTCTTTGTCACATTGTTCTCATTGTATGCCGCGCAGAGGTTGATGCAGTCATTCAGGCTGCTCGTCGCTTGATTGACATAAGTCGCATGATCCCCATGGATAACAGCCTGCATATTGCAGAGCTTTCGGAATTGGTATGTTGATGAATTGTATTCAACGTTGTAGATAGTGTCGTTACTCGAGGGGCAGTCACGGTAGAGCGTTTTTGTAGTTCCACTGACGGTTCCGACTATCGCTGACATGGTCGCTGTAGCCGATGCTTTATTGCTCACAGTGGTACTCGTTGATGAGTTTGACGAGTTTGACGAATTAGATGGAGATTGTTCACTGGCCTTTTGGCTGGATGTCGTTGATTCTTTCCCGCGAGATGAGAGACCTCCACCGAGGCCGCCGCCGAGGGCAGCTGCGGTGATTATAACCACGGATGCAACCACCAATATCCAAAAAGTCGTTCTTTTCAACCCGCAAACTCTTGGCTTTTCATATTGGGCATTCTTTTCGACATGTGGGCTATTATCCACATATTGTAGCCCTTGATCTGGGTACACTGCTGCCCGACTGACAGTTTCCGGGTCATGTGGAGGAACGACTTCGAGCCCTGGCGAATTGGACATTATTCTGTTCAATGAAAGTGGAATCACACTCAATTAGTGACAAGGACGGGATAATTCATAGACATAAAATACTGACTGTGGAAGCGATCACGGCCGCGCCTGCGAACGCCGATGAAAGAGAAAGCGATTTATTTTTTCGCCCCTAGGAATTCCGGCCTGGGCACGCCTTTTTGAACATGCTTTCCTCGCCCCTATTCTATCTCAGGGTCACGCGCCGACTACTTAGCGCTCAAGTCATTGCTGAACCAGTCATAGAGCCGAGCGTTCTATGGCCCCCACTAGATAAAGCGCCGGTACCTTGTCAAGACTCTTGGGCGTCGTGCGATCGCCGCACTAACTTATTTAGTTAGAAAACCGTGCGATATGATTAGAGGAAGAGCATAACCTGAAACAATAGCCGCAGACGGCCTTGGGGCGATGCGCGGGTGACAGAGCGATGCATTTGCAAAGGGACGGAAGACAGTCGCTGCGAATCTAATCCGGGGAATACTGTCGAGGACACACTTGCAGACATCAAAAGATCAAAATACTATACAACACTATATTAGGACTCAAAAAGTGTGAAAGAAAAGTCTAAGGTGAGAGAGAAGGAGGAACGCAGATGCCTCTACTTCACTATGAATCTTAGCGAGTCTGCCGACACCCCCACTAGGTGGTTGTGATGAGACCGATCAGACACGATATCAACTATTGATCACTATTCTCGTTGAATCACACTTAAAACTTTTTGATTTCAATATGGATAATCGGATTGAAATTAGATAACTACCAAGTGGATTAGATTTGTTGTTGGAAGATTCCAGTCAAGCTATTAGTCAACTAACATAAACTCCAGCTCCAGAGCGGGGAAGGGCGCCTAAGTTTCTGAACCGAGATATACTGTCCTCACACCCGTGGTCCGCTGGAAAGAACATACAGATATAGTTTCCTGAACTCTTTCATGCAGCTTGGGCGATATCTCAAGCCTATACTTTCGAGAACGAATACTCCCCGTCTTACATTTCAGGCAACAAGCCATGGCTTTGACTAGCTCACCAGAGCGCCTTCTGAAACAATGGTTTCCACACACAACAACCCCATTCATCGCGAATGCACCGATGCTCGGATTTACTGACTGCCGCTTGGCAGGTGCCGTCACCAGAGCGGGTGGATTAGGTATGTGTACACCATCCGAGATATTCCTCTTGAACAGAGCCTTGATCGCTCTGGTCGCTGATCAGCCGGATCTAGCCGGCTCACTCCTCTAGCCTGCCCATAAATCAAACATAAACGCATCGCTAACAATACAACAGGCTTCATTGGCGGCGGCTTCAATTTCGAACCTGGGTCAACCCAGCTCGCGAATCTCGATGCGCGCTTGACACAGGCGCGTGCAGAGCTTGAAATTAATGGCTCAGCCCTTGGGCTCCCTATCGGCATTGGTTTTGTCACGTTTACCCCTACTGGATTCGAAGAAAATGCCGTCGCCATCCTCGAAAAGCATCGGGTCACCGCGGTCTGGCTGGCATTCCCTAAATCAGACGCTGACCATCAACCTTTAATCGAGGCGATTCGCAAAGTCCAGGGTAAGGGCCATTGGGATGTGAAGATTTTTGTGCAAGTGGGTACTGTCGAAGCTGCGAAACAAGCTTTGGCGCAGGGGGTTGATGTCCTGGTTGTCCAAGGTGTTGATGCGGGTGGACACCAGTGGGCTCAGGGGGTAGTTTGATGTCGCTTTTACCTGAGGTGCGAGATCTCGTGGCGAAGAGTGCAAGAGCAAACAACGTTGCTATCATGGCTGCTGGTGGTATTGTGGATGCACGAGGATGTGTGGCTGCCCTGGGTTTAGGTGAGTTGTATATGCCCCGGACTATAAAACAACGGGTCGATAGTAACCTACGCAGGCGCCGATGGCATTGTTATGGGGACGAGGGTAAGTATGCTCTAAATATTGTGATTCAAGTGAAATTACTGATTGAATAGTTCATCGCTACCTCCGAATGTCCTGCTCCCCTCTCTATGAAAGAGTCGATCCTAGCTGCCACCGACGGTGGTGTCGCAACCATCAAGACGACCAAGCACGACGTTTTCCAATCTACCGACGTGTTTCCTAGGCAGTATGATGGACGAGCTATCATTGGGATCAGCTACAATGAGTCGAATGGAGGCGCTAGTGATGAAGAGATCATTCAAAGGTATAACGAGGCTAGAGAGAAGGGAGATGATCAGAGACGCACAGTGTGGGCGTAAGTTGTTTCCATTTGGCTGCAATATGTGAATCATACTGATGAATTATACAGAGGCACGGGAATTGGAATTATTAAAAAGATTGTATCTGTTGAGGAGTTGATCAAGGGTATTCAACAAGAAGCAAAACTGACCGTTGCAAGAATTGCGGAGAGAATCTAAATCGGTAGCATAGCTAGTGCGATTGGCCTATTGAGGTCTTCTGAATGCATACTATATGCCTGAACTATTTACTTATTATCTTTGTTGAACCTATTATTCCTATTCGAGAGCAGGGAGTGCCCAGTGCAAGATGTGTATACCATTGAGGAATCTAGATCTAAACATTAAAGTTGATGATCAGCTAGAATACACAAAAAGGCCAGCAAGTTAAACACCACAAGGAAGTGCAAATACAAGGCTGACATCCTGGTTACATCTGAAAAGTCCGTCAAATCAAAAGTGCAGAGATTCGAGGTTATCGGGAGCCACTGTGGAGGCCCCAATCAGGCAAGAAACCCCCCTCCCAAGTTCCCCTCTCTCTTTCTTGAATTTACCTCGCTGAAACCAGCAGCTCTTCCTCCCCTCCTCGACCAACGCTACCTCCTTTTTCCCGCCCCTTGAAGAAACACCCCCTTTGCTTCGGGGTCGTTCACAATTAGCAGACGCGTCTGCATCACAGCCCCAAATCTGGGGTCTTGGTCTTTGCTTCCGAGGCGCCGTCCGCAATCCACTCCGCACTGCTGGAGAATTTGTTCACCAGGTCTCCCGCGATTCAATCTCGACTCTCCACCCCTAAGACCCTTTTCCGCGACCCTCACACCCATCAGGCACTCACCTTCACCGAAATTCCTCACCTCGATTGCCTGCGAGTCCCAGTCCGACCCGATGAACGAACCCACGCCTTCACCTAGTCCGGCGCCCGTGCCGAAAGCCTCCCCCTCGCTCCAAGCCTTCTCCCTCACCGACTGCTGGCACCAAGCGCAAGAGAACCACCGGAAACAAGTTATACGCGGTCAAGAAGGGAAACAAGCCTGGCATTTACTACAGCTGGCCTGACTGCCTGGCCCAAATCACTGGCTTTAAAGGAGCTATCTGTACGTGACCTGGTAGCTCTTCAAACGCGATTTTCACGAGCTTTGCAAGATCCGCGACGCGCCTAGTCTGGTCGCTAGATACTAACCTTCCCCGCGCGTTCTAAAGTTCAATCCTTCCTCACTTTCGAAGATGCTACCGCGTTCCTCGCTGGCGCCAAAGTCCCGTCCGCAAATGCCTCCGCAAACGGCGGCGAAAATACACGGTTTTATGGAGTTCAACGAGGTCGAGTACCCGGTGTCTACACGGACTGGACAACAGCACAAGACCAGATTCGCGGCTTTACGCGACCTCGATACCGGAAGTTCTCGACGCGCGAAGAGGCGGAAGAATTCGTGAATGCAGGAAAAGAAGGAGCACTGGCGTCGCTTGAATTTGGAGCCCCCGGCATGACCGCGGAGAATCCCAAGGATGCAGATGGTGTCGAGTTCGCCGCTGGAGACGGGCCTCTGCCGCAAGGTGCAGAGGATGGGTTCGATCCAAATGTGCTGTTAGATCCAGCCACGGGCAAGATGGTGTACAAGACGGTTGCCAAGAAGGCAGTCACGAAAACACAGGCTGCGGGGATCCCGGGCATGTTGCGGATATACACAGATGGAAGTTCACTGCGGAACGGAACCAAGTTGGCCTCGGCCGGAGTCGGTGTTTACTTTGGACCCGGAGACTCGAGGTTTGTGTTCCCTATTCATTCGCCAAAACGTGGCCAAGTTATTCTGACTCACGGTTGATTGTCCTAGCAGGAATGTCTCAGAACCACTCAAGGGAAGCCGACAAACCAACCAACGTGCAGAGCTGACCGCCATTCTACGAGCCATTGACATCGCGCCTCGTCATCGTGATGTTACAATCTTCACCGACAGCCGATACGCAATTGACTGTGTAACAGTGTGGTTTGTCAATTGGCGACGCAATAACTGGATGACCAAGGACAACAAACCGGTCGAGAATCGTGATTTGGTCGAGTCGATCTTGGTGAAGATCGAGGAGCGCAATGAGCTCAAGGTGAAGACCTTGTTCCAATGGATCAAGGGACACAATCGCGACCCTGGTAACGAGGCGGCCGATCGTTTAGCGGTCAATGGAGCCCACGAAGGAGTGAGGCAAAAGGCCGAGGCATTGGAAGTCAGTCGCAGGGTGCCTGCAGCGGTATTTGAGGATGACTTTTGAAATGTGAACTACAGTATTCCTTTTCCCAGTGACCACGATATTCATGAAATATTACCGACATTATTTCCATGCTTTTGTGATCCTACATGCAGCATACTTGCCTCTGCATATATCCCCGATGCCGATGCCACGAGATATACATAGGTAAATGCCTGATAAAGTAGGAGTGGCTGCAAATTAAATGTCGTAGATAATTGTGTTGGATATAATCGTGCAGATTTAATAGTGAACTGTATCTAATAAAGTATGGTTATGTATTGTATACACTTCACACTCGAGATTGCCCGGAGATCGATCGGGCGTTATCGCCAAGAAGTGGGATTTCTTCCGCAATCGACGTTTGCTTCCACTTTCCCTCCGCATCCACCTCCATCTCCACCTCCCACTCGAATACTCACCTTAAAAGTGAAGGAACACAGTTTCCACCGTGGCTGTCTCTTTCTCTTCACTCTTCCAAATCAACCATATGGTCGCCTTGCGTCGCATCCAGGATCTCAAGACTATGATTGCCTAACATTTGCTGTTAACCCCGCTGTCACGTTTTTTCCGCTTGTGGCAGTTCGAAGCAAGTCAATCGCGGATCAATCTAGATCCACCGTGAATACTATTTTTCAATCGGCCGAGATACTTTGACGGATTCTAGTCCGTGATATCTCAATCTTCCCTATCGTTACCAGTGGCTAATTCGTCGTCGGGACCCTCGGCGCCGAGCAATAGCCAAGAGCGAGATGCCGACTCTCGCTTTGATCAACTTTAACATCGTCTGTGCGACGCTCGGGGGCTTTGTCTCTCTCTTCGGACTGGTATCTTACCTGTGCAAGGAGCGATTCTACCTGTCCGAGGCCCGTAAGTGACTCTATAGATTAACATAGTTCTCATTACCCTGGATGGCTTCTAACCTGATATACAGTAATCTCGCTTCTCGCGGGCGTCGCATTCTCTCCACATGCAGCCAATTTCATCCGCCCAGATGATTATGCCTTGCACTCCGAGGAGAACCTCGAGGCTATCACTCTGCACTTCACCCGTCTAGTCCTAGGCGTGCAGTTAGTCCTCGCAGGCGTCCAACTCCCCAAACGCTATCTCCAAATCGAATGGCGGAGCTTATCGCTTCTCCTCGGTCCCGGCATGGCTGCAATGTGGTTATGCAGCAGTCTAGTTATCTGGGCCATGGTCCCCAACTTCAAGTTTCTCCATGCACTGATCGTCGCCGCCTGTGTGACACCCACTGACCCGGTCTTGTCCAATTCTATTGTTAAGGGCAAGTTTGCGGACAAGCATGTTCCGCGTCCGCTGCAGCGGATCATTGTGGCCGAGTCTGGTGCTAATGATGGTCTGGGGTATCCTTTTCTTTTCTTTGGCATCTACTTGCTTAAGTATGTTGGCATGGATGGTGAAGGGTATTCTGGATGGGCGGGGAAGGCGATGGGTCAGTGGTTCTTAGAGACTTGGCTGTATACTATCATTTTGAGTGTGGCGTATGGCATCGTGGTTGGTTGGCTGTCGCGAAAGCTTCTCCACTGGGCGGAGGAGAAGCGTTATGTTGACCGCGAGAGTTTCTTGGTTTTTGCCATTGCGCTTGCCGTGAGTTCTGCCCTATGTTTGAATCATGTGCAATTCTTGGTTCCTTGCTAACGCTCTAAAATAGCTCTTCATTGTAGGAACTTGCGGTCTTATCGGCACTGATGATCTTCTCGCATGCTTTATTGCGGGTAATGTATTCACGCAGGAGTAAGTTATCGATCTAGATGCCATAAAGGAAGAGAACTGACAAATATAGTGATTGGTTCCGCCTCGAAACAATGGACGACTCTCTCCAACCAACTATCGACATGCTTCTCAATCTGGCAGTCTTCATGTGGTTTGGCGCCGTCTGCCCGTGGTCATCCTTCTTGAACAACGACATCATCCCAATCTACCGCCTTATTTTCCTGGGAATCCTAATCTTGCTGGTCCGCCGGATGCCAATCATCTTCGCGATGCACAAGTACATCCATCAAATCGAGCACATCTCCCACGCAGCATTCGTTGGATTCTTCGGCCCGATCGGCGTCGGCGCTGTCTTCTACCTCTCCATTAGCCGAGAATTCCTCCGGGAAATCACAGTCGATGGCAAAGTCCGCGAGGATGCCCAGCAAGTCATGGATACCATCAACGTCGTAGTGTGGTTCCTAGTGATCTGCAGTATCGTGAGTATCCAAACTCCCTCCCCAACTGAAAACTATCATTCTAACCACAGTCCAGGTCGTCCACGGTCTATCCGTCCCCGTCGGAAAAGCTGGCTACAACCTCCCACGCACCATCTCCAGCGCTATTAGTACTAGTACTGTTGATGAGCCGGAGCCAGTGCCCATTTCGAATATCCGTCACACGCACAGTACCGCGACGCCCCGGGGCAATCTTTCCGGACCGAGTCACCGGTCTCGTAAGCGTGGTTACCAGCGTGAATCGCCTCACCCACCGTTGTTCCGTGTTGGTCGTTCTGTGATTCGTTCACGTTCGCCTGATAGACAGCTTGGTGTGGGATCACTCGATGAGCCCGAGCGCCCTGTTAACCTCGTCACCCATGAGACCGTGGTTGGCGGGAACGAAGGGGAGCGGGGCTCGTCGAGTTCGGCGTAAATCTTTCAAGTGCCAGCCTGTGGGTGGAAATACCCAGTGCAACTTACTCTGGCCTTGGGCGGTTTGCCTTACCATAACGTGAGCAGATGGAAAGCTCCTGCTGTTTCTGATACTCTACAGGAGCAATCCGCATTCCATTTCTCAGTTACCATATTTTACTTTCTCGACATACATTTTGTGAAGGAGGAGGGTGGTTTGGAGATTTCAATGTTCATAGATTTACTTTTATTTCTGTGGATACAATAGAGCTGTTTGAGTCGTAATAATTTTGCAGTCTTTATATGAGCCACTAGGATAAAGTCCAGTGAGAAGGTAAAGAGCGTTCAGATTTGTGTAGCAAACGATGATTGTATTGACGCTATGTGATTTGTCCGAGAGAACGTTGCTAACGAGTATCGATAAACGCATGTGCATGGACCCTGTTCAAGTTCCTTCAGATTTTCTAATCCCGTCATTGTACTAGATCTAGAGTATAGACTGTTCGGTAGCACCTCGCATCCTCAGACATATTGAAATCTAAGCCACTAGAGGGCATTCGCAATAGCGGTATACGCAGCCTTGGGGTTGTAGTTGCCGTCAAACAGCAGAGGTGTGGAGCTGGCGCGCCACGAATCCTAAGAAAACATTCCTGTTAGTATACGACCATTTGCACTTTCATATAAAAGGGTTTAGTTACCGGGTCAGCGACTCCCCAAACTGTGATTCCGATACACTTTGCCTGGTTTAGACAAGCATTGACAACCTATGATAATCAATATATTAGCCCGAAGCCAGTTATACCAGCTGTGACTTTCGAAAACTCACATTGACATAGTCCGTAGAGCTAGCGCCAGCAATGTCAAGCTCAGTGATTGCGATTTCCTGGGTTCCGGCGCCGGCAAGAGCATTCAGAGCTGTGAGAGGCTATCAGTTTCTCGTCATTTGAAATGACCTAAAAGGGTACTTATCCAGCAACTCCGGAACCGGCACCAGCGCTCAAGTGAGTTTGAGAGCCTTATAAACGTTTAGTAATTCGTTTTAGCAGTTATGATAGAGAGTATCGTACCAATTCCGTCAATGGGAATACCAGCTGCAAGCCACTTCTTGACGTGGCTAACCATGCCGCTCACTTTGGAGTAAGAAGCAGAGTCCAGGCTTTACATAGTTAGACCAGATAACAAACAGATTAATAAGATATAACTCACTTGTAATCGTTGATATAGAGCTTTGCATTGGGATCCGCAGCGCGAGCGGTCTCGAAAGCGATGCGCACGTAATCCTCGCCAATGACGTTGTAGAAGACGCTGTTGCGGAGGGAGCCGTCCTCGTTGAATATCTCATTCAGGACGTCCTTGTATAGGTTAGCAAATGATATTAGTTAAATTTGGGGATAGATCTCACCCAGGCGTAGATCTTGCCCTTGTAGCGGGTCATCAACGTGGTAATGTGGTTCTGCATGACGCTGATGAGAGTGTTCTTGTCCGTGATGGAGGAGACCCATGAGGGGAGCTGAGAGTGCCAAACTTGGAGGGAACGTTTAGCTTTGATAATTTAGAGTTGTGAAATAGGGTTCTAGGGACCTACCGAGAGTGTGACCACGGATCAGCTTCCCGTTTGACTGGGCAAAGTTGACCTAGGATTTGTTAGAGAAGAACAAAAAATCATATTCCGCGGGATATTCCAGGTACATACCAGGTAATCCGACCCCGAGAAGGAAAATTGGCCTCGGTTCGCTTTTTCACAAATCAGTTTCTGATATACCCAGCCATACCGAGAAAGTTAGACTAACGCTCAGTAGCATCCCACTTCATGCTGTTCTCCGGGGTCAGTTGACCGAAATCAGCCTTGATAATTGCTGGATTCTGGGTATTCTTGGTCAAGGTGCCCTGGTCACCAATAGTTCCAAAATACTTCTTTCCATGGGTCTTGAATTTGGCATCGATGCTCACGGAGGCCTGTCGGGAATCAACAGGTCCGGAAAGTGCTTGACCAGCGAAAAGGAAAGCTAGAGCAGCGGCCTTGAGTTGAACCATTTTGGAAGTGTGTTAGGTGTTTGTGTGACCTGATTGTAAGAATGATTTTGTGATAGATACATCTTTTCGGGGAATCAAGTCGATACTTATACACGACAAGAGTTTGCATTCCTCAAGCGAGGCAGGTTCATAGTCCAGATGCTGGCTAATTGACAATCCTTCCCCGATGCAAAACGGGCGTCGCACCATTTATCCCTCCCACCGATGAGAAACGGACGTTCCCCATTCTATCCAAGACCCTTGTGAATGACCCTGAGGAAACGATATTCAATCGTTATTTTAGCCGAGGTGCTTGTAAGAAAGAATTTAGCCTGAAACTGAGTATCGTGCCAAGCGCTGTTGGGCAGGGCGATTGAAAGTTCCAGCCTTGACATGTAACAATAAAAGGACCTAAATATCTTGGCGTGTTGTCAGGAGACGAGAACCGTCGTCAGTTTAAACCAGAAAGGGTCATTCGCAAGTGGGGACGGCGGGGATGTGGATCACCAAAAGGCTAAAGGGTAGTCAACCTGCAACTAATACAAACTTCGTTAATCAGGGTCTGAAGTTCTTCACGAAATATCGGCGCCACAAACTGATTCCCTTCAAATCTCCGAGGTACTTCTGTGCCACCTTGTTTGTGTCAGTCTTTAGGTAGCTTTCGGCAAGGCACGGCCCTAATCGAGTGTCAACCACCGATCTTGATACTAGTGCGTTTCAAAGTAGAACGGCTCTGTAATAGCGTTTGTCCGCAAAAGACAGCTCACTCAGCGTTGGCGTGATGAATTTTACAATTACACACTGTGTTGGTGCTGCCAGAGTAAAAAGGGTTTGGCAGCCATATACATCTCCTTCATATGATCTCCGTGAAGGATATGTGCTCTAAACAAATCAATAGATCAACCTTCAGAAGAGATCACCAATGCACCCCTATGCCCGTTTTCATAATCACCATCAGACAATAATTCCAGCAAACTTCAATACCTCTCGGACCTTGGAACAGGTTCGTGTTAGAACATCGCTGCAAGGAGTCTGCATCTGCTGTGAGTTGCCTCTGTGGGGTATTCGCCATGACATCGGAAACTGTTCATAGCCGGCTGAAGTGGCTTTCTTCACGAATATTTATCAAGGACCCTGCATGACTAGTGTAGGAGCAGATTATCCAATAGTCACTCATATTATCAACGAAGTGGTTAGTGCCTCTTAAAGAGTGGACGCCTACCCCGGAAAATCGCCCGATCTAGTTAGTCAAATGTAACGGCCATTACTCCGCACATAGCTAGAGCTATGGATGAATTGATCGCTGGCGGCTGATATTTCAGTTCGGCAATTGGAGAAATTATATATGCCGGTATGGTATCTTCAGGACATGTATCCCCAGCTCTGCCTTTCTCTGGACTAATTTCTTCTGTTCAACCTATGAATATCAGCGAGCAATCTCGGCCAATCCTAGTAAAAGGTAGTCATAATGGCGAGAGAAAATTGGCACTTCATTGGGCCTGGTCAGACAGCTTACAGATTACTCAGAGACCTACTAGAAACATCTATTGAATAAATTATGCACTTCATCTGCGCTCGGCATACCCTGAGGAAAATCTACACTATGGTGCATCTTGTGAATTATCTTGCTTTTATTTCTCAGTATGACCCCGCTTCCTAAGGTGTGCTGTGTTCTTTGGAGAAAAACATAAGGACTCCATAGGATTTATCTAAGGTCTCTATTAAATGCTTAGTCGACGCTTAGTCCATACCTAAAGGCGTGCTTTACCATGAACTGTGGGTCTGTGCGAGGCTGACTTGAAGGCTGACCTGACGAGTGCTGTGAGAAACCCAGCCAATTTTGTACTAAGCCTCGCTCTCACCAGTCGTGGTATCAGATGAGTTAGTGCTGGTTCTGCTGGAAGAGATGGTAGTCTCAGCCAGCGCATGGAACGTGGGGCCTGGTGGAAGAAGTTCGGATCAAACCCACGATGCATTCGGCGATGTCGTGGAAGCGATTCTTGCGGCTATGGGGACTAATGGATTAACGAATGTGAGTCCTTGGGCCATGGTCCAAGGCTCTGTCACCCCAGGGCAATACTGCGCACCTGCCTGGGTGAAAGCCCTTATGCCTCAAGGTCCAGGCGCGCTGGGGAAAGGAGGTATCCTATGGAACATGTCAGGTGTTGACACCACCAATATGACCAAGTTCACTACTACCGCGACCGCTAATGGATATGCATATGCTTCTAGCAGGAGCACAACTATCACGGCGATAATCGTGCTGCTCATTTACTGCGTGATGGTCGTGCCGCACACCATCTACACGTTTTGGACGGGCTGGAGCTCATCTAGCTGGGATTCAATCCCGGAGATTGTGGCACTGGCCATGCAATCAACACCAACTGAAATCCTTGAAAACACAGGCGCAGGAATTTCTACTACCCGCGTTTTCAGCGAGCCTGTGCAAGTTTGGGATATGGGTCAGCGCCTGGAGCTAACCTTCCGAGATACGAGAAATGGTGGGATAGAGATCAAGGAAAACGAGACATATCGATAGTCGTTCATTGTCTTTAACCTGCTTAATAATTTACCTTGTTGTCATATCCCTAGGTCGTTTCTCTGATAGAGTTATCTTTTGAGGCCCAAGGTCCTCTCGGTAGTGGCTACTTCCACTGACGGGTTATACAGCGCAGCTTGAGTACCGGTAGGAAGTCATGCATTAATTATAGGATGACTGAATGGACTCCAGGGACCCCAAATCTGAATCTTAAGGCAGACCTTCCTCCCCAGTTAGAAACAACAAAGCTTCGCAAGCACGCATAAAGCCTGCGGGCGGCCTTAAAATCTCACTTGAAGAACCCGTGAGTCACACCCAGAATTGAATGATAATACGGCGTTTCAAATCTTGTTGCCTACACTTATAACTGACCATTTAAAGAGGGGAGCTCGCGGCGGAGGGTCCAGGCCAGTGTTTTCTTGTTCAACTTCTTCATCTGAAAGTGCCCAAAACTATGACCGATACTCCCAGCAACCCCGCTCCCACCAGGGACTCAACTCTCACGTTTCGCGAAGTCACCGAGGACAATTGGCGTGCAGTAGCGAATTTAAGCCTCAAGCCCGGCCAGACAGGCAACCTCGCACCAAACGTATGGTCTCTCTGTGAAGCTCATTACTCTGAAGACGCATGGGTACGAGGCATCTATGCCGACGAAACACTTGTCGGTATGCTTATGATGGCGATATGGGATCCTGATGAGGCTTATTATATCTGGCGGTTCATGATTGATGGCCGGTATCAGGGTCTTGGGTACGGTCAGCGGGGTGTGGAATTCGCCATCGCACACATACGGCAACATAATCCTCGTGCTAAGACGTTGGGGGTGATGTCAACTCCACCAGAGGGGAAAACGAGCGACAATCCACTCAAGAATGTGAAACCCGAGGATTCGCCGTATAAGTTTTATCAAAAACTTGGATTTAAGGAGACTGCACCACCGGATGAAGATGGAGAAATTATGATGTCGATAGATTTATAAACAGTCAATGTTCAACTACCTGACTGTCTTGAAGTGGGCCTACATACCCGGTTCCCTGTTTGTCCTTATTTCCCTGTCAGCAAGCTAGACGACAGCACTACGTCTAGTAAAAGTGTCCGTCTCAAACAAAGGGGTTTGAAATCCGCATCAGGAGCAAGAAGTTTTCAAAGAAGCTTCCATTTGAGTTACTACGACGTAGACGACGATTTAAATAACCCATCAAAGTCCAAGATACCACAATCCACTACAACTCGAATGTACTGGTCGGCCGAATCTGCAATCCAGCTTTCTCATATGTTCGATCAATGGCCTCCATCTGCGCAATACTCTCTGCTCCATCAACCCACACACCAGATCCCTCACGACCCTTGACTCGATTCACAAATTCTTCCAACTGACAGCGATATGAAGTCCACCAGTCTTTGTATACTGCGGCACGCTTGTCTCCTTCGGGCCAGTTGTATGCCGTTTTGTAAGTTGTCTCATTCCAGGTCTTGGTTATTTCATCTCCGCGTCGCAGGGTATGCTCATCCGAGATATCAATCCGATGGTAGAAAGTTGGAATTATAAAATTCCGCATGGTCAAGGTCCGTTGCACAAAGTGCTGGCTCCCCTCGTCATTCGACGTGTCAGCAAGCACCGGCTCAAAAGTAACAGAGTTCTTCGGCCAATAGAAAGAAGGTAACTTCCGGGTCCACGACGCTGGGAAAAAGGAAGGCCAGTTTCCTTCCGCGACCTGGTCTCCGCGTACGAGGATATCGATCGAGTCAGTTGTGCGGTATGTGACATCGACTGCCTCATCAATCTGGGGCTCAGTGACTGTTCCATCGGCTCCAGGTGGTAATCCCCGGTAGCTGACACTAGTTGGCTCAAGGATCTTGTCACGTCCCAGAATTTGGCGAACAGAGGAAAGAGGATATGTTCCCACGTCCATCATGCAACCACCAGCCAGGCCATATTTGAAGCGAATATCGTCAGGCCCCAAAATACCCGGTGAAACAAAAAATTCACCATAAATGGATTTGATGGCTCCAGGCGATTTACGAACCTCCGAGAGATACGTCTGCCAGGCTGGGTGGAATTGATAGTGGAAGGCTTCCAGAAGAACAGGGGCATTCTGAGCAGTTATCAATGGATGATTGAACAGCTTCTTTGCCTCAATAGCATTTGAGCATGATGGTTTCTCGAGAAGAACATGTTTTCCTGCACGAATCGATCGTAGGGCCCATTCGTAGTGCAGGCCGTTTGGCAGAGCAATGTAGATTGCATCGATCGATGGGTCATCTAGCATTTCTGTGTGAACCATCACAGATCAGTCCATGCACAGTATGGCCTTATTGAAAAATAGTGTGTTCAAACCTTGGTAAGATGAGTGCACAATAGGAATCCCATGTGCCGTAGCATACTTTTTGGCGCGTTCACTATCGCGAGCTGCGACAGCTGCCACGATGACATCCGGGTGGGACCTGGCTGGATTCACTACCACGAAAGGTCTATCACGGGTGTACATTATTATTAGCCGATATTTCTCTCAATGCCTGGTACCTGGAAATACAAACGCGATCTTCGAAGCTCCTAGCAACCCGATCCGAATAGCATCATCATTTTTAGGTGGAGTTGGGGGATAGATAACGGTGTAAAGCCTCTGGAAGATGTCAAGGGCGAACATGTTGACTTTGACTCAAGCTTAAGCCAACGAGTATGATAGCTAGACTGGCTTCTTGCTAAAGTTATGATGTTGGCCAAGAAAGCCAAGTCAAGACCTCAGGGGGGCTGGGAAAATCAGGCCCCCAAGTCAAGGGTAACATTCCCCGCACCTACAATTATAAAGATAGCCAATGATACCTATGGAAATTATAGTATGACGTGCTGGCCACGTACTACCACTGACACAAAATGTCAGAGCTCTTTCGAATATCTTCAATCGGGCCATAACGGGAAAGAATCAAAAACACACTATCTAGCTTAGACAATTAGCACTACATCAATTAATACACATACTGCATAAAACCGCATACGCAATTCTTGCGAGAAAGATAAAGAGTTGTAGGAATAGCAACGATAATAACAAATTTGAAGAATAACGTATCCGTAGGTTACTTCCAGTGATTTATTGATGTTCGCCCTTCAGCCAAGCTACCATGAGGATTGTCTTAAAATTGGTTTCACAAGTAAACCTTCATATATGGTCACGACACATTCTCAGAAATACAAGGACAGCATTGCAACCTTGTTCAGTCAAGAATGATTGAATGAGATACTCTACGTACCTCGTATAATATGGCAAGGCCCAGATTTGTAATACTTCTATCCCTTCAACAGGTTCGGCATCATGGATATACCCGACGGGTCAATCGCATTTGACCCACATTATAAGCTCCAATGATACATCTATATTCTTTAAGCTACTACTCATTCTAGAATATTGGACCGAATCGGAGCTAGAAAACACCGGTTCACACCTAGTATTTAGCGGATCCATCAAGGTAAGCTGTCTTTAGAGCTCGTATTTCGGACAAGCCCCCACCCTGATTTCAAAGCAAGCTGACAGCTTGTGGTGGGCCAAGCCTATACGACAAGTACATGCTTCGTAGCTCCTATTGGAGCATTTGATAACTTTATATTACGAGACATTCATTTAAGACCCCCTTCTTCATGAGTAAAGTCGGAAATGTAAAGCCCGACAGTCCTCATCGGCCTCCGACTTGCCGATGGCTGTTCACTCGAGAATGTATAAAAACAGGACCGTGAAGCTGTCAGTTTTAATATCCAGATCAAATACATACAAATTCACCACAGCCAAGCTCAACAGTTCACACAATGTCCTCTCCTACCACCATCGTCTTCGGACCTACCGGCCACGTCGGCTCCGCCGCAGCCATCACCGCAGCAGAACTCGGCGCAAAGGTAGTGCTCGCACTACGTGACACCCAAAAGCCTATCCCAGGTATAACAGCAGACCAAGAGAAATCCGGATCCTTCGAAAGAGTCCACGCCGATCTCACCAAACCCGACACCATCGAAGCAGCCGTTCGCACAACCGGAGCCAAACATGCCTTTATATACCTTACCTATGGAAGTCCGGACCACATGCGAGGCACCATCGAAGCGCTCAAGGCTTCCGGTATTGAATTCGTGGTGTTTTTGAGCAGTTTCGGCGTTCATGGAGATCTCCGAAGTATCGAGCAGAGCAATACCGTCGCGTATATACATGGACAGGTTGAGATTAACCTGGAAGAGGTTTTCGGCGCGGATGGCTACGTCGCTGTTCGACCGGCATTCTTCAATACCAATGCGAAGTGGTGGGCCGGTATGATCCGCGAGGGGGAAGTCAAGATTGCGTATCCGGATAGCACTTTTGACTGGATTTCTCCGGGTGATATTGGCCGTATTGCTGGAAAGCTGCTTGTCCAGGGAATTCAGGCGACGTCTGGAGCGGAAGACCGGAACTTTATCCCTCTTTGTGGACCGAAGTTGGTGTCTCAGGGGGATGCTATGGGTATCTTTGGCAGGGCGATTGGCAAAGATGTCAAAGTCACCGAGGTGGATGAGGAGGAGGGTACCAAGATCTTGATTGAGAATGGCCTACCTGAGTTTGTGGCGGGGCCTTTGGTTAAGTCTTTGGCTCCTGCAAGCGGGGGCTCTAGGCAGTATGATGTGGGAAGGTATACGGAGGGATCTCTGAACCTGAAGAAGTATGCTGGGCAGGTCACCAGTCTGGAGGAGTGGGCTGTGGCTAACAAGGAAGTCTTTGGTGTGTAAGGAGCGTGGCATTGTTTGTACCATCTCAAATTAATCTCAGATTGATTCTCGATCCAATATGTGGATGTCTTTGGTATTCGCCATCGGCATTGTATAGCTGATTCTTGTAACATGAGTAGACGAGATAGGCCATTTTTGGTAGTAGAAGTATTGGAGGAACACGCCACAAGGGAATTCAGAAAATGTAAATCATGTAGGCCATTACTTCAGGGACAGAAATAGATATTCCTCAGCGTACATCTGAAAGAGATCACACTTGACAAGGGCGAGTGCTCGACCAGAGCGCAAAGATTGATACAAGGAAAGTTCATGATGAACCGAACGCCATGCATTGATACAGTTATCACTACCAGAGAAGGTATTGATAAAGAACGAAAAAAAAATCAAAATTTCAAAACAAGATTAGCAGACAAGAAAGAGTCCAGAAATTCTTTGAGAAGAACTTTCAAACCCCACGTCCACCGCTATTGCACATCAAAAAGAAAAGAAAAACATGCTCAATCCGGTCGCGCGGTATTATCCATTAACATGAAAGAGCTCGTCGTTGGGAAGCTCGTCAGCAATTTTGAAGCCGAGTTCCCAATTAGATCAGGCATTAATGAGAGCATATTGCAATTCACATTCACATTCATGCCCATATCCACGTTCCTCCGGGCGTATCATCTCCATTCATTCCATGCGTGGTTTGTTGTGTTTCATGCATCAAATATCGTAGCACATCATGCACAAAGGTAAAGTTGACTCCGGTGATGCGTGTGGGAAAACATAATAGTCAGGCGGCTGTAAACAGCACTCGTTTACTAAACAGGTGCAGTGTAGTCGCCGAGGATCTTGCGCGTGAACTGGATCATTCGGACAACCCAGTCAACAAGCGCCGGGCTTGCCTTGTTCAGCTGGTTGGTCTCCTGCGTGGCAGTGATGTAGAAGCCGTGCAGGCGCTGAGCGAGCTTGTTCATGGTGATGGGAACAACCTGGCGCAGGTCCTCATTCATGATGAGAGAGACGCGCATGTTGGCGTTCTAAAGGAAGAACCGCGTTAGTAACGAATATCAAGGGTATAAGTATTGAAGCTTACCTGGCGAGATTCGGGATCAACCATGGTGAGGACGGTCTCCAGCCACTTGAGGCGCTTGCTGATATTGGTGTTCAGGGAGACGGTTACAGCCACGGCAACCGAGAGGTTGAGCATCACATTCAGGTTAAGCATATACTCCGGGTCGATGCGAGTGAAAAGGAGGTCGAAGAGGTCGGCCTGGCGGCTGGATTCGATCCACTATGAGGAAGATAGCGTTAGTCACAGTCTCCTATGCTAAAAGCGCGGGGAAATAACATACCTTCAGAGTAGCTGCTTCGTATTTACCTTCCTCAAAGAACAGCTTCATAATGGCGTTCATCTCGGAATCACCCGAGGGCTGGGCCGGTGCCTGTTGGCCAAGCAGAGTGGTAACCTTGCCTGAGAGTTCCTGCAGGGCAGCGGACAGCTGGTCAATCTTGGCATGATCGCTCTGGCGCTGAGCCTCGTAGTGCTTCGCCTGGGAGCGGAACAGCCGGTCAAGGTCAGCCTCAACCTTCTGAGCACTGCGAGACCCATTCTCCACCACAGGCGTGATGGCACCTTGGATGAGAGCATCGAGGCGTGGCGACAACTTCTGGATGACAGAGTCCGAGATGGTCTTCATCACAGCAGGCTGCTGCAGGGCAGCGTTGACAGCCTTGGGCAGGGCCTGACGGAGCTCATCGTTGAGTGCACCGCCAAGCTGCTGAGACACGGCGGCACCGATTTGCTTGCCAACAGCGGCAGAGGTGGCATCGCCGATGGCGGGGACAACCTCAGTCTGGATACTGGTGGACACGATGCGGGCCAGGTTCTTCTCCACGTTATCGGACAGGGTGCTGGAGACGAGGCGGAGCACTTGGTCTTGTTTCGCGGACGAGGCAGCGTCCCAGCTGCGGCGGTCCTCGTCGAAGCGACGGTAGAGTGACTCGAATTCGCGGCCAAGGCTCTTGTTGAACTCATCGGAGACGCTGCTCTGAAGGCTCTCCAGGTGCTTGTTCAGAGCCTCATCACTGAGGCGGGCGTTGGCCTGGCCAGAGGCGAAGCCAGCCGGGATTGCGCGCTCAGTAGCGTCGTTGGCAGTCATGGTGGGAGTTGCAGAGGGAAGGAACTCGTTGTCCTTGGAAGCAGGAAGAGGTTCAACACCAACTGTGGCAGTGGGCTCCTTAGCCTTCACATTCGTCTCAGAAGTGACGGCAGGTGCCTTCTTCTTCTTCTTTTTGTCAGACTTCTCAGCGATGCCTGGCGCCTCAGTTTGATCCTTGACAGCCTCCTCAGCAACCTTCTTCTTGCCAGCAGCCTTGGTAGGCGACGCGTTACGCGATGGGACAACACCAGCAGTCGATTCAACGGTCTCCGTCTTCTTGACGGCGGCCTCCTTGGCAGAGCGGGATGGAGTGGACGCAGTGTCACCATTGACAGAGGGGTCATCAGTGACATAGGCAGGGAAGGTCTGGAGATCAGAGATCTCAATAGAACCAGCCTCCAAACCATCAATGGCACGGGAGACCTTGTTGTCCTCGGTCCATCCCAGATCCTCCTTCTTGATGTTCAGGCAGGTAACACCACGCGAATGCATAACGTACAACTCGAACAAGCCAGTCTCCTCAGTACCCCGCTTATCAGCGGCAGACTTGGTGATCGGCAGAAGCTCCAGGCTTCGCAGTTGACCCTTGGAACCAAGAGAGATCTCCCGGATTCCGCTCAAGCAAGCAGTCGAATCGGGCTTAGGGAGAGTGCTGTCCTTATCGGTAGCAGCCTTGATGAAAGCTGCCTGGGACATAGCCGGCAGGTTATAGCGGGGTGCAGACAGGTGAACGAAGTAAATCGAGTTGCGCGTGGGGTGGCCAACGACAATAATGCCCGATGCCGGGTGGTACGCGACGCTGCAGATAGCGTCCGACTCGTTCTCGTGGGGGAACTTGACCTCCTCCACGGCCTTGCCAAGCCCAATGTCCCAGAGCTGCAAGGTGTGGTTCTGCTTGAGGCCGACGAGAACGTAGCGTAGCGCCATAGCACGCGAGTAGGGGCGCAGCTTGTCGAGGAACAGCACCGAGGTAGGCCAAGACTTCTCAGCAGGCGAGCCGGTGACGAAAGTGTTGAGAGGCACCCGAACCTCCGTGGGGGCCTGACCCTCGAGGAAAGAGGGGTTATCCAGGATATCACTGATATCCCAGAAACGTAAACGACCGGTCTTGTCGAGGGAGGCAATGACAGTGTCATCGTCACTGAAGGCAAAGTCCTTTCCAGCCTTGCCAGTCGAGATCTTCAATGCACGCTCCTTGAAGAACTTCTCGGTGTTGACGGTGCGCTGGGAACCGACGACACCGTAGGTAGCAGACATAGCCGCCTGAGGAGAGATAACATAGATGTTCTTGCCGCGACCAATAGCAAAGAGATCAGGGTGACGAGAGCTTCGCTTGGCCCGCGTTTTCAGCTGGCCGCCAGAAGTGTTCTCGTCAGAGGCAGGGAAGGGCGGGAAGATCAAGCTTTCGCTTTCCAGAGCATCCAGCTCGAACAGGTCCTTTCCGGCTCGGGAAATCAACGCCCAGTAGACGGCACCGCTGACACCAATGCCAAGGATAGCCTGGACGTCGGACTGGCCAGATGTGGCGTGAGTGGTGCAGAGAGCAACATTGAACACGCGGTCACGGGTAGCACGGAAGACCTGTCGGTCACTTCCGTCATCCTGACGAATGATTCTGATACCACCTGTCTTAGCAAGGGCATACACAATGTAGTCCGAGGTCGCTGCGGTGAGCGAGCGATCCAACTGGTCAAACTCCTTCTTGAGACGGGCAATGTCCATGATGCCGTCGTCACGGAAATCCACAAGCTTAGCAGCAGATGGCTTCACGGTGATGGAAATGAAGGGTCGCAGGGGGAAGTTGTGAACAGATACGACACGTTCCTCGTCCTTTTCGGCGCTGTCTTCAGCGCTCTCCCAGCTATCAGCCAGAGCCTCGGCAGTTTCGTTGGCGCTCTGGACAACAGGAGTCGGGATACTGTCAGTGACAGTCTCCTCAATCTCCTTAGTCTCCTTGACAGACTCGCTATCCGTTTCGGGCTGCTTCTCCTGGTTCTCAACCTCGGTGCGAACATCGTCGACTCTAGTGATTGTCTCCCGCATGTGGTTGCGGATCGCCGCGAGAAGCTCTTCAGGCTCCCCAGACTGGGTGGCAGGAACATCAATGTCCAACTCAACCTCACGCTGAGCGGACTCAGTTCCGTTGATGGTGCGTCCAATTTCACCCACGAGACGACTGACGACATCATTCATAGCCTGGCGCTGTTCGGGTTCCAACACAGGGGACTGGTTGCGCTTCGGAGGCTGCACCACTTGAGGAGCGACAGGAGGTTCAATAGTAGCAGTGACATTGACCTTCTCCTTCTTAGTAACTTCCACAACTGGAGTCTCGTTATCAGACTTGGGCTGCGGAGACTTGTTACGAGGGGAGATGGCAGCCAGCTGGTCGAACGGGTTAACATAGGTGAACATGGAGTCCTTGGAGGGAGATGCAACCGTTTCCGGAATCGCAGTCTCCTCAGGATCGGTATCCAGTACTTCCATGACAATGCCGTTGTTACCCTGGTCAGGAGCAGGTCCACTAGGAGCTTGCTGAGGAGGGGTTGGCTGAGCAGTGGGAACCAAAGCAGGCGCCTCTACTACAGCTGGACCAGGCTGGGCCCGGTTGAGCAGACGGAGTAGCATGTCCTGGGTGTTTTCACTAGGACCCTCAGGCTGAGCAGAGGGCACCGGTGCCGGTGCAACGGCGGGAACTGGCGAGGGCTCTGCAGGGATCGCCTTCTGGCCGAACAGAGAAGCTACCAAGTCTGACGCGGAAATGTTTCGTCCGTGCGACGGGGTCGGCTCCTGAACTGGGGGAGAGCGAGGCTGCTCGGGGGCAACGGGAGGAGCTGGCTGGGGAGCAGCACCAGGACCCTGGCTGAATCTCAGCAGGTTGAGCAGGCTTGCAGCACTATCCTGGTTGCTTTGCTGGCGAGGTGGCGGCGGCGCGTATGGCTGCTGCTGCCACTCAGCACGGGGGTCGGCACATTAGGACTGAGGATGTCCGAGCCGTGGTGCGGCGGCGTGTTCACAGGAGAAGGGCTGTGAATGGCCGAGGAAACCGAAGGATGGTGATAACCGTGCAGATGGGGATGGGGGAAGCTCTGGCCATCGTACGGCTGCTGCTGGTGTTGTTGTTGTGGATGAGGAGGGAACATGCCCGGAGGATAGGGCGGCTGCTGGTAAGGCTGCTGGGCCCGCTGATAGTGAGGATTCTCTTGACCAGGAACATTCGATGGCGAAGGCCGCGGGCGAATGCTGGCCAGCAGGGCCTGGAGATCATTCGGGGTGGACATTTCTGCCGCGCGCCGTGGATAACAGGCGACCTCCGCACGAAAACCAAGCTTTACAAGCTCTCAAATAGCTCTCTTTCGAGAGGATAAGGGGAGTACTAGCCAGTCAAGATGAAGCAGAAAAGGGAAGTGACGAAATTGGGTTGGTTGCGAACGGAAGGATGGGCGGTTATTGAGGAGGAAGAAAGAAGAGCGAGGCGGTGGTTGTGCGAGATGAAAAGGATGTGACGGTCAAATTGGAGAAGTAAAACGCCGCAGTGGCTGGGTGCCGTGGCTGAGGTAGGTTAATTACGGTAATTACCGTACGGACGTATAATGATCTGGGGCCCGACTTTCCGTCTGGCTTGGGCTGATCGCCGCTGCGCCTTCGACTCTGATCACTTCACAGAATATCCTCTACCCATCATCTGCATCTCACATGGCTGTCTGTGAATAACATCAGTCTCGGATAGAGAATTTCCTCTGCATACACTCTCGTCTCAAGCACATCACCAGTCGGCCCAGCTCCCACCGTGGGCTGGCGTCATCCACCATGTTCTGTCTCCGCAGGTAAGCACGTCCAACTCGACATTCAAGATAGGTCAACGACCATGGACTAGACCGGAATCTAATCATTTTCTTCGGATATCAACAGTTGGCTCCCTCTGCTATTTATACCCACCAACGCCTCCCCTCTATTCATCATCTCCTTCATCGCCCTCACCTACATCATCCACCGACCATGCATCTACTGCTCCGCCCTCCTCCTCATCCTCTTCGTATCATCCTGCCACTGGTCTGATCGATGCATATTCGATCTCCGCAGTAACTGGTTCGCCCCGCGCTACAGTTCCGCATCCGCCGATAGCTTCGTTTCAGGCAACACCACCATGGAGGCGCCTTTGCCAGGTGACAGCCTCGCCGGCTTCGTCTTCGATACCTTCAACTCAACCGCCAAAGCATTGGCTGGAGCTGCACTAGAAAGTGCACAGCAAAAACTTGGTGTGGAATCAAGGTCGGAGGAGTGGACTGGCGTGGGTCTGGAATGGCTGCGCAGTTTGCTGGGTCGGCAGGAGTGGACGCTCCCTTGTGTGGATGTGAAGGTGCGGTTATAAATTGATGAATTGTGAGATATGATTTAGAGCTGGGCTCTGAATTGCTCGTCCAATATTCTCACTCGAGGGTCATCTGCGAAGAGAGCTTGGCCTTCTTGATGAGAGGTCGTGAACTTGATTCCCTACACACCCACGCGCACGGAACTGGATATCGCCCCTCTATGACTGATCCTGATTCTCGGTTTTGGGTTTACAACGGATTGTTGATAATTTGGAGATTGGCCCGACTCTTTTGCTTGGAATACGCATTGCACTGTATATTTGACATTGGAGGTACTATTACGATTAGACGGCAAATCAAGCAAATTTTCATTCAAATCAATGCTCGAACAATTATCCAATCCCCATTCTTGACATTCAATCTCACAATCAGCAAAACCCCTCATGAGACATTGACTCAAGCCGTCATAGTCGGAGTCGCAGTCACATCACCATCAACACCAACATCCTGCAAAACCGCAGCAGCAGTCACAAACGTACTCCAAGATACCGAAGGCGTCGCAGTGGGATTCCCACCGGGACCCGACAAACACATACCGAGGGCATTCAACAGTCTAATAGCAGCAGGAATGCAAGCTGCGCAAGAGCAAATCTATGATAAGGCAAACCGAACCAGGCATTAGTATATGTATCGCGCAGACATCCTCACTGCCCTCAAGATAGGCATATAAGGTAGGTCGGTACATACCCCTTGCATCCCATCTGTCAAACACTTTGACAGCGCTGCCGGGTCTCGTGCTTGTAAAGCGGATGCGATACAAGATAATGTACCGGTAAGACCGAGGCAGGCGTTTAGATTGCAGGTTGGTGGGAGGAGTTCGACAGTTATCCGGTTTTGTTCGAGTACTGTCCGTGATTGAGAGGTCAGTATAAAGCAGCGGCGCATAGAGGATGACTTTATGGAATCAGGTAGCGGCGATGCCAGTCACCGCCATGTGCTGGCATAGGAGTGCATACAAGATAAAGGTGCTGCATAGCTTCGATCGTGAAGTCGAGAAGACGTTACTGGAGTAGACGATAACGGCGAAGATGGTACTGGCGAAGACGAGGCCTCCGTACTAGCAACCCCCGACGTCAAGCCCGCCGCAAGAATGATAGTCGAGATGTTTATACGCATATTAGCAGCGTCCACTATTATAGGAAGTAGCGAGTGCTTTTACACCTCTTCCTCGACAATCCTAAGTGGTAAACCCAGCCCTATTTATCTTCATGGTCAATCACCCCTCTCAAGTCCCGTCACACTAATAATCCCTTTCCCTCTCCTAGCCTGTCTGTTACTACGCAAGCAAAAAACCTCACATCTATCCCATCCTATCCAATAACCCCGGGTACTCCGGTGTGATATTGATACGGATAGCTGCGAGTATAAGTAAGGCAAACTTGGTAGATTTAGGTCACACTAGGTCACATCCGGGGGATCGAGCGTTGGGCGGGAGACACTGGGTAAATGCACTCAGCCTTGTCTGTTAAATCCAAGCCTTATAGGATGTTTATAACTATGTGGCCTAATTCTTCTTCATGAAGTGTGTACTGTGCATTGTAGATTTTGTTCACCTATCGGTATTAAGGATTGATGATCGTGTTAAGCGGTAGGAGACGAAGACTTGAGAAACCATTATCAAACAACTTAGAGAGCTGTCAATGGTTACTTCGAAGGGTTTCCTTACACTGAGAATCCCCTTGTACCCGTTCCTGCGTCGCCTGAGGTATTCTGTATATCTTCAAGTCCTCTAGTATATATACATAGAGCACAGTATAACATCCTCACCAAGTGTAAGTATAACCTTGTAATCCTAGATAGCACACGAATTCAAAATCAATTATTGAACATGGATTAATATCCTTAATTACATGACGAAGAGGTATCTGACAAAATAAAAGAAAAAACAACAACACTTTCCCAAAAGACATTACCCATAGAGGGGGGAAGGACAAAAATCAACAACCCGTGTACAGATCACGACCGCCCACTGGGATGAAATCAAACAAGGATTTCCCAGAACATCAAGTATCGGAGAGACATACAAGAACAAGAAACAAGACATGACGCCTGCCCGTGGAGGCACGCAAATAGAGAGAAAAAAAATAACAAGCAGACGCAAAAAAATCGTGAAACATGACCCGAGGAAAATGTGGTATCACAACGTCAAAAGCTCTGTTCATCGTCGACAGGGGCCAGAATGGACCTGACCGCGTCTCGTCACTAGAAAAGGAACTCGAAACGCCTCGAAGAGTCTCTGAAGACATAAAATTCCATGTATGTATCGGAAGAAACATGTAAAATGTAAACATGTGAAGCAGGGCAAAAAAAAAAAAGATCAGCACGTAAGAAGACTAAGCTTCAACATCGTAAAACTTTGTGTGGAAAATCGGGCTTTTAGTTATAACCACTTCCGACGGGTAGGGGCCAGTCGTCTTCGGTGATACTGCTCCAGAAGCCCCAGACACCAATGACGGAGAGGAGGGTGAACAGGGTTTCGAATAAAGCGCCGTTGATTTTCCCGGATGTGGCCTGGCATAGATGCGTACTGATCACGTACTGGAAGATCTGGCCAATGGCGAAAAGCAGGCCGGCGCCGGCAAGGTAGACTGTTACACGAGTAGTTAGTTATACGGTCTCGATCAAACGGCTGCATAGATGACATACACATTGGGCGGAGCTCGCCCAGCACCCGCAACACTAGGACGGTCTCGAGCAAGAAGAACAGAACCAGGCAAACCAGCGGGAAGAGCTGGTACAACACATAGAGGCCGATGTTGCGGTTGTTGCTGCCCGTCACGCTAGAGTCGAAATGTCCGGTCCAAGAGAACGCCGTGTCGAGGGCGATATATCCAGTACCAATGAATAAAGCGATAGCAGAGGCGGAAATCAGGCCAATTGACGCTGGCGTGCCGTCGTCAAGGAGCTGGAAGCCAACAAGCGCGTTCAAAAGAAGGATCCAGCAAGTGGCGGTGATCGCCGCAATGTGGACCGCCGAAAATCCCTAGTCGATCCCACAAAAATTAGATACCCCTCTAGCTCGAAGCTAAGTCTTCAGTTCAAGTCAAGATCCCATACCTTTCGCACATCATCGTGAAGTGGAATACCACCGACGGTAAAAATCTCACAAATCTCGATAATAATGAATCCCAACAAAAACATTTGAATCTCACTATACAGTCCACACCATTAGCCAATCAATTCCCCAATCCGTATTCTGTATTCCCGAGGGTGTACATACCGTCGCCCGACGGCGGCATGCTTCCTGTCCGACCTCCATATCAGTGCGATCGAGACCAGAATAGCAATGAACGCGAAGAGAATCGAGCCTGTCTCCGAATTAACCCAACCATTCCCCACGTATTCAACCCCGAATCATTCCATATGACCATATGACGCAAGCATACCTAGATTAGCGAGATTCCGACCTCCACTAAGCCCGATACCTTCCAAAACACATCCACCGTAGCCAATTCCAGGCGGTTGGTTCACCTTGAAAAGCTATATGCGACAAAACTCAGTCAGTCTGGGGCGGGTCCGGCGCAAGCACAAACAACCAGAAGAAAAAAAAGGTCTCACGAACATTGCAGACGGGTAATGTCGAGTCGCGACAAAAGTCCTGTAATACCCTCCACGGTCAGTACAACTGATTCATATCCTAATGTGCTGCGTATGCCTTTGTCTTCGTTCCCGGTTCCCGATGCAGCTGCCGTGCCCGTTCCTATTCGGTATGGGCAGGACCAAGGCTGCCGATTGGGCGGAGAGCACGCAGAGCATTCCATTCCAGGTCGAAGATCGCAGAGAACTCACGTGGAAATTGCCGAATTGCGTCGAACCCATGGCGAATTGAAGGGCTCACGACGCCGACGACGAGTGGGTGAGGGAGTGAAAACAAGGCGTCTCGGTCGGGAGTGCGACTGCTAGTTGGGGGAGGTCTTGGGGGAGGTTATATTCGCAATGAGTCCCCTGACCCGTGGCTGGGAGAAACGGTCGCGATCGCGTGGTGGTTTAGAACGGTGCGAACGGGGGATCGAGGTCGAAAGAGAGCGCGACGGAGGTAGCGAGAGTGGGTGAAGATCGGGGGAAGGTCGAGAAGGGTGGAGGTGGTGGAGGACTGGTGGTTGGTGGTGGACTAGCGCTTGGTCTTGGTCTTAACTACGCCTCAGTCCTCAGGCCAACGCAAATTGAGTGGCACTCGAGCAGGGAATCGACCACGCTAATTCACCTCTAGCGTCTTTCGTAATGACGACCACTCGGTCCTGAAAATTGTGTCTACGAACTGTCTACTCATTTCTTTTCTTTCCTTCCCCCTTTCTGTTCAATATTCTCTACCCCATAAATTCCCCTGTAGTTGGGAACTGTGAAGCCAGGGACCAGCCAGTTCCATGGGCGAGCCACTGGTAAACGGCGGGCAGTCCGTGGGTGATCCCAGCTTGGGCCCAGCTAAGAATAGAAGATACCAAGGACAGTACACGAAGTAAGCAAATAGAAGGAAATGCACTACGATGTGGCTGCAGTCTTTTCCCGAGGTCCTCTGCAGAAATGGCACAGACCTATCATGGAGAGAGCTCTAGGTCTGATCACATTATTTATCCATCATCGATGATCGAATATCACATTGAATAATGGGGCTATCCACCGATCGTTTCCTTTCCAGCCCCCGCCCGACCGACCAAGAACTTAATTACAGCTATCAGGAACGAGATAGCTAATACCGTACCAGATTGCTGCTAGTCTCTTTACGACGTCACTAGACAACTCTAACTATAGTTACAATCTACAATTACTTCAATTACTACAGCTACAGTATCATAAACTATACATAGTCTAAGAGCAAACGGAGCACTACAAACGCCTCGGCCTTCCAATTCCCAAGGTTCCAGCCAGCCACCCCCGCCCTTGCACGCCGTATCATCGACGATCGCGTCGGCCTGGCGACCACATAGGCAATATCGTGCACACACCTAGCTTGTTCAGGATAAAAAATTATTTCGAGATTTCATGCCTCAAGTAAACTATAACTTCTAAGCTAACTTCCAGAAGATAAAACTATACGGAAGAGTACGTATAACTTCTTGCATCACCCACTTTGGGCCACCCATTGTACTGTACTATCCTCGCATCCTTACCCACGTACAGTATCCCTTGAAATCCCCACCAGCCATCTTCACAATCCACCTCTACCAGACTTAAACAATACAATCAATCAATAAATCACCATCAAACATTGATCCCGGTCATCCCCCCCCCCCCCCCCCCCCCCTTTTTCTGTGCGCACTCCGTCCTACCCAACCCCATCCTGTCCCTCGGAGCTCTCGCCGAGCCCAAGACAGGATCAGAATAGCACTGCGACCATGTACGTCCACCCACTTAGCAAACATCCTCAACAACCAACTTCTTTCCATCATGCTCGCCCAAGTCCAACTTCAAGGTGCGTCCGAAAAGTTCCAGCAGCATCTCGAAACAGGCCTTGGTGATGGCAGGATCGTACCGGCCCTTGCTAAGCTCATCTCGGATAAAGGCATCTGTGTCGTAGTCAGTGAAACTCTATCCAGAACAGAAAAGAAAGAAAGAAAAGATGGGTCAGGTAGTATATAAAGACTCACGTTGTGCCCAAGCGACTTCGTAGAAACTGAAAAGAACGCCCTTCTCATGCAGGGTCTTGCGGATCAAGTCCCGTCCCTCTGGCGGGACATGGTTGTCATTTTTGCCGAAGATCTAGAGAAGGTATAGCACGTCAGCTTATCATACTAGCAAGCACGGGGATCATCAAAAAAACATGAAAGAAACATATCAAGTAGACCCGATTTCATCTCAAGGAAAAGGATAGGATATCTCACCATCAACAACTCCCCCTTAATATCCCCCGCCCTGGCAAGACTATCATCATTCTTCCCCAGCGCCAAAGTCTTACTATGGATATCGGTCGCAAAGTAACACACCGCCGCCTTAATGCGACTATCCAACGCACACCGATACGCAAGATGGCCACCCAGACACATACCCGTCGCGCCAACGCGGCCATTGCATGTCGGCAGTGAGAGGAGATAGTCTACCGAGAGACTGGCGTCTTCGTCGTAGGCGGATAGTTTCTGTTTTAGTGGGTTAGTTATTAGTTACCTAGTATATGGGATATAGACGTAGAATATGAGGGGGATTGGGTATTGGATGGGTATATAGTAACATCTCATCAATGTTGAGGAGGGTATAACCGAGGTGAGTAACATACCTTCCCAATCTTCCACGCGTTCCCCTTATCCGTATCCTCCGCATCATACTTAAGAGGCTCCGGACCCGTAAACTCATGATAACTAGACGGAGCCGCACAAATATAACCCTGACCGGCAATCTGTCGCGCAAAGCGTGCAACAGGACCAGTCACTGTTTACATCCCATCCACATAAATCTTGTCAGTTACACCTCTGACTAGAATGTTGGACAGATCCGGTGATATCACCAGATGGAGGGCATCTCACCTTGGTAGATCTCGCTGAAGACGACTACGCCTGGGAATCGGGCATTGGGGTAGCCCGGGATAGTAGGGTGGTAGATGTAGATTCCTGAGATATGTTTAGTACGGACTTTTCATTTGGATGGTGTAATTGTGCGTGGTATCCTTGATCATGTCTTGGATGTATGGTGGGGGGTAAGCTCGTGAGGGAGATCTTGTACTTACGCATCGTCCCCTGGCCATCGGCCGTAGTGGGGACATCGACGTGAGACTCTTGGATGAGCATGGTGTCAATTGCTTCAAGTGAGCAGATTCCGAGTTCTCAGGAATGAATGTCCGCAATTCAAGGTCGTGGACGTCGGAGCTCGTAAAAACAGTTTATCGATAAGACCGCGGGGTGCTCCCCAGTCATCTGACCTAATAGTGAGAGGTGGGCCTTTTACGCCCATAGCTCAAAAGACTACGGAGTACATACATCCGGCAAGATTTCAAGTTACGCAAATACAGAGGAGATTAGATTTACATAGACGACGTATATCTTCACTTAATCATTGAGAGATTCCGAAAGTTCAATTACCATTTCCTGTAGGTAGATGAAACGCCAAGAGGATACAATGCAAATGAGAAAGGATCTCGACGAAAAGTACAGGTCGCCAATGGATAGAAACAGCGAAGATTGAAAATTAAAACAGACATAAAACAACATGAGAAAAAAACTTCATTGAATAATGTACACGAAGCGGAATATGGGCCCCGTTACCGCGAGACCCCCTCGAACTGGGATCCTACGGCACCGAAGTTTTGGCAAGCATTATAAGGAAAATATCTCGAATCGTGTTCAAGTCCCAAAAAAGTGGTTATGGAAAAAGAAATTTTGGTGGGCTGCCAGGAAAGCAGTATGACCTCGAAGCCCCTGTACAAAGATTATAAAACAAGGGGGGTTATGGAACAGAAGATGCGATACCCAAATAAGTGGGTAGATTAGAAGACGTACTATAGTAATAACTGGTCAGTATTGTTCGAATGTATGATATCGGGTGGCATGGTGATACTCACAGGAATGAACAGGTAAGGAACCTGCTTCTCATACTCAGTCCAGGTCTCGCCGTACTTGATACGGCACCGCTGGATGTCACGCAGAGCACGATGGGAAATCATGCAGGCGAAGAAGAGGGGGGTAGAACCAGGGGAAGGGGCTGGAGAAGCCAGTGATCAGACCCCAGTTGAGGGCGAAGTACAGATCGCAAGTGTAGTGGATCTTGCGAGCCTTGCCGTCTGTTGAGAACGTTAGTATGTAGTTCCACAGAAGTAGATTGCTTGTTGGGATAAACTTACACCACCCATCGACCAGAATCTTTGATCCATCGGGGCCGGTCAAAGTCTTGGGGTTCTCCAGAGTCTGCCAAGGCAGCTGGGGGAAAGACTTGCGCTGGACCATAGTACCACGCTCTTGCTGGCGGTAACGGTTCTTCTGGCTGTTGGTGGTATCCCAGACCCAGTAGACGAAGAGGTAGGCAATGTACAGGAAAGCAAGGAAGAAACGGTTCCAGTGGTACTCGGAGGGGTCGTGGTTAGCCAGGTAGATGGTGCAGTGGCAGTAGCTCAAGGGCACACCAGCCAAGTTCCAGAAGATGAGCATGAAGCCCCACTTCTCGTAGTACATATCCCTGTTCTTTACATTAGCTAGATCCCGAAGAACATCCATTGAATACAGGACGATGACCTACCAGGTAGACACGATGCACTCCTCACCCTTGGAGCAGGCATTGGCATAAAGGAAGTGAGCCATAACAAGGAACATGACCTCACCGGACACGTAACCGTAGTTCTCGTACTGGCGAGCGGCAGCACCCATGGACAGACCCAGCAGGATGTACCAAGGCAGACGGACTTCGAAGAACATCTTGAAGTCAAGAATGCCAAACATACGGGGGTTGAGCTCCGCACCCATGAAGAAGTCGTAAATGGGGGAACCGGTCATGCGGTGCTGCTGGCCACGGTACAGGGCCGAGAAGTAGGCGATGAAGGAAACCAGGTAGCCAGACAGAATCGCAACGCTCAAAAGAGGGCCGAACTCGTCAATGATAGTGTACAGCTTGAAGAGGCCAGTGAAGTGGAGGACCAGCGCCAGAATGATGCTAGTGTAGAACGACCACACGCCAGAGCAGTAGTACGGGAGCTGCTTACCACCCAAGTGAGGCAACGGCCGTCCGGAGACAGAAACACCGGGCAAAAGAACGTAGCAGGCACCCTCGAAGATGAAGAAAACCCAGTAGATAGTCCAGGCCTTGACCGACGGGAATGCGCCAGTGTAGACCAGGTTCACCAGATGGGAGAAGAACTCGCCGTAGCTCTGGCCCTCCTCAGGACGAGGGAACTTGCCATCGTAGTAAGTCGCGCCAATCCACATGTAGTACATGAGCATGGGGAAACCGATCATCATGGCCAGGACACCCGGAGATCCACCAAACTCATAGTGTCCACTGTAGTCGATCTTGGGGTCCAAGCCTTCCTCCCAACCGTCAACGATGCGCGACTTGGGCTTGGCCGAGCCATTGGCGGCGTGGCCATTGGTCGCAACCTTCACTGGAGCCTCAATCTCCTCCTCATCCTCTGACTTGACCTTGGCGGAAGTGCGACGGCGAGTGGTAGACTTGGACCGGGTCTCGGAGGGGGTATCGGACACGTCTTTCTCGCTCATGTCGAGGGCAGCGCTCTTGCGAGTGGAACGACGGCCAGGGGTCTCGATATAACCGGGGCGCTCCATCTTCCTGAAACGATGCGCAAGCACACAAGATTAGCGAAAGAAAGTTTCTAAAAGGCAGTGCGCAAGAATTGGCAGGGGAGGCTTCGTTCTTATAGTAGCCCGCGACGGGGGGGAGTGCCCTCGGTGGATCGCAAGACAGATTTTAAGAGAGCCACTTACTTGGGGGTTTTCCCCGTTTGAGAGCGGGTCAAAGTCATGATTGCCTAATCGGAAGGCCGATATCCGACAGCAATTGAGGGCGGATAGAAGGGCAAAAGGGGGAAAGGTGAAGAGGAAGAGAAGGGGTCACGAAGTTAGAGGGAAGGAGAAAAACAGATTGTTTACACGTATGGAGTACCGTGTACTGCTGGGCCCACGGGAGTTATGTGCGGGTAGGGGCCAACTCCCACCGAATTACTTCCACGTTACCAATTACTACACGTAATTTTACTTATTTTACTTGCGGAATACGCCCGGCTCACGCCTCTTCCGCTCGTCTGTCTCCCCCACACATTCGCCGGTCCGATACCCTGCTACAGTATAGACATAGTCTGCTCTAGTTATACTGTAATTACATGGCCTGACCCCTGGGACTTGTCCCGCGGTTCTGTGCTTCCTACACTTGGCAGCCGACTCCGTTAGTTGGGCCACAATTAGGAACGGAGTGGGTATCCTCGCTATCGCCTTCCCTGCAGTGACGATCCCAATGCCAAGCTTGTCGTTCGATGCGGGTTCCCTACTAAGGTGCTGACTACGGAACCAGGAACCAGGATTCGTGGCTTTGCGAGGATTACGCAAAGGACTGCACTAGAAACAATAAATCTAAGCGAAAGATACATTGATATTCGTGGTCTTATGTTTATTTCCATTTATTCTGTATTCTGTATTCCAAGATCGCATTGAAATGTTGTGTACTGGAATGTGGGCCCAGAGCCGAGATGCAAAAAGGCAGGACGGAACTCGAACATTCGGTTTAACAAGAAATGATATATATATAATGATAAGATAGGGTGATGCAGTGCAGTGCGCAACGCAGAGACAGAATTCAGATACCACTCCAAGCCACTTCCTTCAAGTATAGACCTCCGTGCTATGAAAAGCATCTGCGCCTGATCCGGCCGATCGTCGGGGTCTATGCTCCTCTATGACTGTTGGTCGACATCAAGGTAATCTTGTTCTTCTTTTTCTTCTTGCCACCACCACCTCCTCCTCCTCCACCACCACCACCACTTGCACTTTGTGAGGCTGAGGGTCCAGGAGCCAGGCTTTCATGAGCAGTTTGTGCAATGATTTCGGACTCTTGTCGGGCCAGTAGCTCGTCCTCCCAGCCCTGTAACCAGCCATCGTTCGGAACTGTACGTTGGGCATCCAAAGTCGGAGAAAGCGATGGAATCGCAGTCGTTCCCCAGACAGTACGAGCCCCTGGTGGGCTGGTGGAAGGGGATGCTAATGCGCCAAATTGAGAAGCAGCACGAGGGGGCGAGGCGGAAGACATGCCACTGTCAAACTGGGACAGCTCGGCATTGTTGGCCAGCGGTTGGAAGTCGTGAGTAGAGAACGGCGCTTCGCTAGCACTGCCGAAACTTGGTCGTTTGCGACGTGCAGCAGCCCAGCGCTCCTCGTCCTCCTTTTTCTCCGCGCGGATGCGATCTTTCTCTTCGCGAGCTTCTTTATCCCGGTTACGTTTGCGCCTCTTCTCGGTCTCAGAGCGGAAACGGTTCAAGACTTCCGGCACAACGACATCCCTCCAGTCACATTCGAGGAAGTTGACCTCACATCCATAAGGCAGGTGGCCCAAGTATTTGACACGCTTGCGAAGGTCGTCATCAACCATGTGGCCAGTGGAGATATGCTCTACCCGGGGCAGGATCGTAGCAGGGAAATGAGCATAGTCGCCAAAGGCTGCCTTGAGAATGCGAATGTCAAGAGAAGACAAATAGAACTGAGGTAGTGCCTGATAAAAGTAATACGGTTGATCAGACGGATGTGCCTGTGCTTCCTTGCCCTTGCCATTTGGCTGCGACTTGGCAGGGGGCTTTTGGTTGATTTGAATGTTGCCCATGGCCTCTGATAGATGTTCCGCTTCATCTGAGGGATGTGGGGCTGATGTTACGTCCGTTGGGGGTTGAGTGATATCAGTGCCAGAAGCAGCTGTCGATGCAGCGGAAGATCCGTTACCAGACGGATTCATGCTTTCGGATGAACCAGATGCAGAGGTATCGGGCTCCATGGCTGGGTCACGGATCTGCTTATTTGCGGCAGACTGACGAGAAATGTCGGGTGGATTCCCAATCCCTTGCACCTTCTCTTTGGCCTCGTTGATAGTACCAATCGCCTTTCGGGTCCAGGTGTTCTCATCACCAAACAAAAGCTCATCTTCGATTTCCTGTCTGCGAAGGTCTTCAATCTCAGCCTCGTACTGAGAGATCATGTAGTCTTGCCCTCCCTTCATGATTCGAGAATAATCAGCGACCTCCGCAACATGGAACCATGGAACATCATCCCCAGCATTGAGAGTCTCGGCACCGTCTCGTGGAAGAGCGAGAGTACTACCAGGCTCTCGCTTGACAAGTCTCAAGACAACATCTCCACCTTCAACGGGAAGATCACCCTCTTGGCCGCGGAACCATCGAACTGGGCGAGTTTCAGAGGAGTAGATCGAGTCCCAACAAATTGGACATTTCTTCCATCGAGGTTTCTTCTCTGGGACATGGTGGTTATCGTCATCCGATGAATGCATGTAACGAATGAGACAGGGCAGGCAAAAGATATGCCCGCATCGAGCCATTCGTGGCGCAACCGGCGTGGACAGACAGATTGGACAACTAGCAGCCTGGGTTTGAGCGGAGACCAGTACCTGAAGGACTGAAGCCCAGTCCAGATGAACGTCGGCATTCGCTGCCTGCGCATGGTAGTTTTGGGTTGGCGAGACAATGAATCGGTAATTGGCATGCACGTAGCGCGCCTTATCCACCGCATGATATCCAGATCCCGCTCCCCATGATGTATAGCGCCGGGTGTTACGCGGCTGCGGCTGGTACTGCGGACGGGGTGGCAAGGAAAAGTTCATCAAATGGGTGATGGACGTCTGTCCCTTGCGACTGTTTGTTGATCTCATGACGGCCTGGACATAATGAAGTGTGTCAGTAGGCAATCTCGACCCAGTATTCTTAGAATACCTACCGATTCACTGTACTCGTCATCATCCAACAATCGGGGTTTCCTCTGCCGCTTGTGCTGACTCTTGAGGGCCTGGTTATTCCTCGCCGCGCCTAGATTTCTGGTGGATAGTCCTGCGCCAACACTTCCTGATCCCCCTGCACGTCGTTGAAAGCTATTGTCGGTCGAAGCTGTCGAGTGAAATGTCGCGGGAGCGGCCGAGGTATTTGATATATTTACCGCTTTAGAGGCAGCCGGATTTTGTCCCGCATTGGACGACATCTCCGAGGAGGGATTGGCAAAACGGAGACCAAAATTGACCTCGAAATGAAACTGTTTGGGTTCAGCCAAGGAATCCCAGCTGGCCAGGAAGCAGACAAGAGGGGTTTGCTGGGATCTGATAGTCTCAGTCAGATAAGGTGGAGCGTCAAATCACCTAGGACAAGCAGTATCAAGACCACCACCACGGCTTAACAAGCAGAGAGGAGTTTGCAAAGGATAAGAATAGACGACGCCTCGAGGGGCCATCTAAGAATAGACGAAGCGTCCAGGAATAGGACGCCGTTGCTTGCAAGAGTCGTCGAGGAGGGGCGGCGGGCATGACATCGCCAGCACGTGCCGGATGACTCAGCGTTTGCTGATTCAGCGCCCGGGATTCCACCTCGCGGCACTTCAGCTTCGCTTCGGAAGAGGGTCGATGAGGGACTATCTGCTTCTTCCCCTAATCCCCCTTTCACTTACCCAGACTCTCTAGTCTGCTGGCCGTCATAACCAACTTTCCCACTCTTTGACGTGACTATTCAGGTATCAAACCCCTCACTTCAAGCTGTCCCCCGGCGCATCGTGGTTAATTGTCATTTGTTCTGCTCATTCAGGAAATCTATCCCATCCGAATTCCGCTGTATTCTCTACGCTTCCAACCTCCCTCCCAACCTCCGGACGGAGCCAAAATGGCTGCATAATCTCGCCTGAGGCTTCGTGTTTCCTCTCCCAATCACTTAATCCTCTTGATTTTCCCATAGCGCATGGCTCCCATTGAGGTAACGCGTGTGGTCAAAGCATAAAGGCAACACCTCCCTCCGAGCCCGATCAAGATGAACCACCATCTCCCCGCGATGCCTCATGGGCAGCCGCCCATGCCCCCGTCGCGGAGACAGCAAGATTTCTACAACCCCGCTCCTCCCAACATGCGCACACCGGCGTATATGGGATACCCTCCACACATGAATGGGCACATGCCTCCCGCGTATTCGCCGCAGCAGTTCCCTCCTTGGTATCCTCCCTATGGACATATGCAGCAGATGCCACCTCGTCCTTATCAACCACCATACGGACCCATGATTGTGTCTTCATATCCTCAAGCACAGCCCATCATGGCCCCTACTCATATCCCGCATCACTCTTTGCCTATGCAACCCCGGACATCAACTCCCATGCAGCCAGCCATGTCTTCGTCGATTCCGCCGCCCCCACCACTCCAACACGAGATGCATGATCCCCACGCCATCCTTCCTGTCCAGCAACAACCTCAGCATTATCCAGTAGCTTCTCCCCCTCCTCGATGGGAGCCCAAGCCAATCATGCCCGATCCCGAGCCGGTCTTCGCTGCACCAGTAAGTTTATCCTGAAATTATAGGACTCGGACTCAGAACTGAGGACTGATCACTATCACAGGTGCCCTGGGATTCCGTCACCGACTTTCCCTTCCCCGCTGGGCCACCCTTCAGACGCCGAAACATTCGTCCCATGCCGGACCGAGTCCAGTTTCCTCCCAAAGACGGACGCTGGATCATTGGAGACCTGAAGGGCAAATGGGTGAAACCCAAGCTTGCTAAGAAGGCCGCTCCAATCACCTCAGAACCTCAGACGCCAACTACTTCAGTACATCCCTCGGATGGTCACTCCACGCAAGCTACCACGCCCTCCCCCACTGCCAAGTCTCAACCCCAGAAAAAGGACACCAAGCCCGCCATCCCCATCGTCCCGGTCGTACCGACCACCCCAGTAGCCTCGCGCCGTGAAGCCAAGGATACATCCAGTGCCGGTTCGGAAACACCCAAGTCTTCCACTGCCACTGCCGAGTCAGAGACCGGGTCCACGCCTGCTGCCGATGATACCGCCAAGCCAACTTCACCTGTTCGCTCCGCACCAAAGTCCTGGGCTGATCTTGTTCGATCCAAGAATGCTGCCCGTTCTACGAGCGCTCCTGCTCCCTCGGACTCGAACACCCTGGCCGTACAAAAGAGCGAGTCTCTCTCAGACGTCCTGAACAGCCTGGGCGAAGATGTCACTCAGTACAGTGACAAGATCGCATTCCTCGAGCCCCGAGGGTTGGTAAACACGGGAAACATGTGCTATATGAACTCGGTCCTGCAGATCCTGGTTTCATGCGTTCCATTCCACCAGTTCCTCGACCATGTCGGTCGACGAGCAGCTCACAGCTTCCACAGCGACATGCCTTTGATCGACGCCATGATTATGTTCATGCGCGAGTTCAACGTCATCGATGCCGCCGCATCGGAGGATCAGCTGAGACTTCGATTGAAGCCAAACGAGCTGGAGCAATATGGCGAAGCCTTTGTTCCGGAGTTTGTCTATGAAATGATTCGACAGTTGCCTCGTTTCCGCGACATGCGCCGTGGCCATCAGCAAGATGCCCAGGAGTTCCTTGGCTTCCTGCTTGAGGAGCTGCATGAGGAATGTGATCGCGCTGCAAAGCATGTATCCAAGCTTCACGGTGCTAACGGTGTCGACGGACACGGTACCACCAATGGAACGTCCGGTGACGGTGAATGGTTGGAGGTTGGCCACAAGCAAAAGGCGGCGGTGACGCAGTCATCCGGTGCCATCGCTACCGAATCCCCCATCACTAGAATCTTCGGAGGCAAGCTTCGGTCGGAGTTCAAGGTGCCAGGCAACAAGACCTCGGTTACCATGGAACCCTATCAGCCCTTGCAACTCGATATTGGCGCGCCTGATGTCCACAACATTGTTGATGCGCTGAAGGGCTTGACCAAGCCTGAGAGTATCCAAGGCGATTTCAACTCGTCCCGTGGTCCCAACGTGACAGCCACCAAGCAGATGTTCATTGAAACGCTGCCTCCCGTTCTGATTCTGCACCTTAAGCGTTTCCATTACGATAGCTTGACTGGTGCCACCCAGAAGATTTGGAAGAAGGTTGGCTATCCGCTCGACTTGGAGATCCCACGTGAGGTCTTCCCAGCCCACCGGCGTAACACCCTAACAGCCCAAGGTGGCCTTCCCCAGTACCGTCTCATGGGTGTCATCTACCATCACGGAAAGAATGCCAGCGGCGGTCACTATACCGTTGATGTTCGACGCCAGGACGGCCGCGAATGGATCCGCATGGACGACACTGTCATTCGTCGTGTTCGCAGTGAGGACGTTGCAGAGGCTGGTGGCGAGGAGGACCCCAAGGTTCTTGCAGCTGCCCTTGAGCAGCACAGGCAGGACAAGATTCCTCGCTCCAACATTTTCGAGAACATCGACCAAGACGATATGGAGTCGGCCGATAGTGAGAAGGGCTGGAGCCAAGTGAGTGGTTCCGGTTCCTCTGGGCACTCGAGCAAGAAATCGATGACCATTGTCACTCCCTCCTCCGGACCCTCGTCTGGCGTGCGTACTCCACTTGGCAGGTATGGCTCTCGGGACAACCGTGTTGCCTATCTGCTGTTCTACCAGCGGATTGCTTAAGTGGCTTGATGCCAGATAAGCACGGTTCTACTTGATATTCGCCCCGTGCGTCCTACTTGTCTTTGGGCCTCCTCACTTGCCTAGACGCTGCTTTATTCCCTCATCGTTATCACACATTCTCATGACAGCATCATACCCTCTTCTTATGGCACCCATCACATCCGGTGCTATCTAACTTCATTATATTCTACCCTTTTTTCCAATACGTCATCCACACCTGCAGGGCACGAATACCTCCCTGTTTCAGCCGGTTGTACATACCGCTTTCCGGTCGAATTGCGACCGTACATTTTGGCCCTACGACCAATGCCTACACATTTGGGTGTTGGTCAACATCCCTAGGCAGGGTGTCGATATGGCTACGGGCATGGCGGGCCCCTCTCTTATCGACACCCTTACAACTAGGGATCGGCTCCCAAGTGCCTTGTGGCAAGCTTCGAACTTGGGGTCGCCAAACCCGTCCTTCAACACGGGGCGCTCATACACATACCTCACATAGTCTTCACATCAACAAATCCAAATGATGCACTCTCAGTCCTCTTGCTTGCGTTCTCATCATCATCACTATGCACCTCATCTTTGTAGCCACCCTTGCAATCTACACTAGCCTGCGAGTCCTTTTTTCTGATCAATCTTCGGGGCTATATCTTATGGGATGTCGAACTTGGTTGATACCCTCCATTTCCGTTCCGTTTCTTCTCATGGATACATACCCGGTCATTTACATTTTCGGGGCGTGCGTGTTTCACACAAAGAGCAGATGACTTCTTCTTTCTTTTCTGCGATTGATATCTTGCTTTGATATCTCTCTGTTATGCCTTTCTTGCATGTACTTTTGCCAAGTCTTTTGATGTATGGCGTGGCTGGGGGATCTGTGACGACGTCATGAATTTCCTTGTCTGTTTTTATTTCCTTTTTCTTCCATAGAATGTGGAGGTTGGGGACTGGGGGTGGCGGGGTTGATATACTCGGATTTTGAGATCCGATGCTGATATTTTCTGCCAGTCGCGGTGGTGAATCTGATACCGTGGCTCTGGCTCTTCGTGGATGGTGGATGGTGGATGGTGGTTTTGCGAGGGGGAGATGGGGCTGGAGGGTGGTTCTTTGTGACTGGCTGCACCTAAGCTGGTGCTCCCTGGCTTTAGAAGGGAGGAGAGGAGTGAAACGAGGTTGCAAGAGTTGAAGTTGGGGATGGAGGAGGAAGTTGAGAATGCAGGTGACGGACCTCCGAAAAGCATGTTTTTACAGAAGCCCCAAAAAAATTTCAAAGGAAGTTTTATTAAAATGCCTTATTCCTATAGACCGTAGATGTGTGCATGTTGACAGCAGAATCATGAATGTAATTGTACATGGTATTTAATCTAACAATTGAATCTAACATCTGTAGATCGCTGGGATATCACTCGAAAAGTGACATGAAAGCACGCTGGTTTATGCATGGAAGGCCAGGTCCTCGCCATCACCCTCCTCGGCCACATCAACCTCCCAGTCCTCTCCTGCGCCATCAGTCTCCACAAACTCAAACCCGAGAGCACGCCAGTTCAGTTCCTTGCGCCAGTGGAGGCCGTAATACTCTCGGCCCTCGATCTCATCATCCTGCTCGTCTTCGGCCACGGAATCGGAATTCCAGTCTCCGGGGGTAGGATGAACAACGGGCTCCGATGCGATACCACCGCCCTGCATACGGCCGGCGCGGGGGAAGATCACTGCGCGGAAGCGTGAGAGGAGCATTCCCATTGAGCAGCACAAACACGGCTCGTGGGAGAGGTAGATGTCCAAGCCTGTGCAGAGGTATCCGCCCTGGGAGCGGGTGCGGATGCGGGAAGTTTCCGGGGGAGATGAACATCCCCAGAAATCTGGGGGTGAGCACACGTAACCGATTACCGGGGTTGATTCAGGGATGGCTATGGCTGCGGTGGGGGGTGGCGGAGCTGGGAGGGTGGTGAGTGGGTCGACTGAGTCGGTTGCTTCGAGGTTAACGTCAAGCGAGGCCATGGCAATCTCTGGATTGGCCTCTTCGTGCTTGCGCTTCTTCGGCGACAAGGGAGTAGCGACGGAGTTCTCTGGCTCCGGGTTTGCGGATTGGCCGCAAACTTCGTACAGGAAGTGTGACTCCAGTGGGCTGAGCTTGGTAGACAGCTGCGGGTCTGTCGCGATGACGGGAAGGATCGAGTCATCGTATTGCGAAAGGTGGTCACCCTCCTCACGTCGGCGACGAGCGACGAGCTCTGCCGCGCGCATCAGGGCGTGCAAATCCGGACCTCCCTCGAGGTCAGGATCATAGATAGTGCTCGCCGGGTTTGGGGCCACGCCGGAGTGGAGGTCAGTCTGGGAGGACGCACCGGCCTCAGAGCGTGCATATCGAACATCGCCTCCCACGGAGACGACAGCATCCATCCAGCGGTCCGTAGAATCAGTGTCATCTCGCCAAGCCTGGTTCTCAAGCCGATCCTCAATGGAGGGGTCAACGATGACAGCCCCGACGCCCCGACCGCGGCCGGTCTGCTTCGATTCTTCGGCGACCTTTCGCGCCAGGGCGAGGTAGAATCCCGAGCGGGGCCTGATAGATTCCTGCACACGAGTGAGAACCTGAGGTGGGGGAGCGACGGTGGAGCGGGGTGCGGCGGGGTTGAAGACCACCGGCCACATCGTCTTGGTCCATTTTTCGCCCTGGGCAGCGGTAAAGGGGGGGTAGATCGGGACCTGGGTCTTGAGGATACGGATTTGGGGGGGCTGAGGCTCCGGGGAGCCTGAGGTCGAGGTAGGGGAAGACGGAGGGGGGGGTTTGCGGGGGGTGTAGCAGAGCTGCGACGGCGAGGCACTGGTGCGAAGGGAGCCAGTAGCTCCTGCAGGGACTCGACATCCGGCAAGGGAGGTGGAATTACGACAAAGATTGTCTGGCCGTTATTCGCGGGGGCGGACGTGTCGGCTTCAATCTCTTGGAGGAGATGATCTGGGAGCATGGTCCGTTTCGCAAAGCGGCGCAGGTGGCCCATAGAGGCATCGCGAGGGAAGGCAGCGTCAAGAACTCTGGAAATCTTTGTGTTAGATACGTTCCATAAATAAATTTCTCAATCTCATCAGAAACGATGCACTCACTTGATCACCTTGGAAGCGGCTTTGACATTGACCTCCGCAACGATGGCATCGGCTGTAGATCCGAGTTAGAGTTCCATGTCCCAGCCGTCAGATCTGGGGATCCAGTCGCAGTACAAATGACATACCAAAGTCCTCTGGTGGTCGAGTCTCTTGTATGGTCCTGACCGGGACGACCTCTCCCTTCAGAGGCTCGATGGCCTTGACTATCTCTTCAACATTCATCATGGAGCTCCCAGTTGGACAGCGAATCTCGGGGTTGTTCGACAGGTTGATGGAGGGGGCAGCGGAGGAGCTGGGGGAAGGGAGAAGAATGGAAAGTCTATTGCATGATGATGAAGGCCAAAAGGGATGTCACGGTAGCGCTCAGGTGCTTATAATCAAACGCGCGACGCGATGTTGCCGGACGTGGTGACGCCAAATTAAGATTTTAGATCGGCCGATGCCCTAGACCCCGCACCCTAAGCCCTACATGCCGAATTAGGAAGTCCTTATCTATATCCATGTTTTTGAGTATGACGACCAGCATCTCTGGCAAGTAGTGATGCAGACAGCTCGTTGGGATATTTCTTTCATATATCAGGTTGTTTCCTTTTGGTTGTTCTTGTATTTTCTTTCTTGTTTCATTCTTCCGTGGTAAATTTATGGGTGTACCCGTGAGCAACTGCCGGGATATATATATTTGCGACGTCTGCTTCTAAACTCCACGGACTTCCAAAGAAAAAGGTTGGGAAAGATTACCCAAATAGGTAGATCATCTAGGCCAACCTTAACCGTATCGATGGGCATGTGTAGGCACTGATCAGCCAGCAAGTCATAACTATAAGCCTAAATCTAGAGATCCATGTTACCTACCCATGCTACTGCCCGTCAAGAAACCAGACCTCAGAGAGGACGACATGGTTGTGGTATCAAGATGAGAATAAGCGAATAACAATATTTGAGTCAATGTACTAGGCCTCTGACACAGATGTTCTAACCATATGTGGAAGCTTAAATCCGACATCAAGGGACAAGCATTCCATATACGGGCGCATTTGACCACTCGATTGATAACGGAACAAAGTCGCCAGTGCTCGTCATGGCGGGAATAGTAGTACCGAGTCTTTATATCTGTAAGACTGTCTCCGTGGTTTAATCAGCCAGTCTTATCATGATTACTTAGTCCCCTATCGACTGTCCTAATAATATGCCATGATGATGGCTCGAAGAGGACCGGCCATGTATGGAGAGCACCCAACTCGATGAACCCAGAGGCGCTCCCATTGCCGTGATTTGGCCAGAAAATACGAATCGGAAAGCACCATAGAAAAATAACAATCTGGTAAACTATTTATGGCTATGTTTTCTGTAATATTTTCTATATTTTGGGCTGGAAAGTTCGATGTATAAAGAAGTTTCCTAATTGAGTCGCTGATCTTTAGGGTCTCACTGGTAGTGCATATTTGTGCTGTGTTCTTCAACAATTACGGTTGTGTAGTGTAATGGTCATCACTCCAGATTCTGATTCTGGCAATCCCGGTTCGATCCCGGGCACGACCTATTCTTTTCTCTTTTTGTCTATCGGGACTAGACAATCCCTTAGGAGAGATACCTCCTATAGATACATCGAAAATTAGACCTAATTTGTTTTTAACGTAGACTCCACATTATTTATTATAGGATCCTGGTGGCTCAGAATCTCCGTATGCCCGCTTATTTTGAGTCCTTTCTCTAGAAACTGGGTCATTTAGCCAAAGTTAAGCTGGCTGTTCAACAAATTAGGTTGTGTAGTGTAATGGTCATCACTCCAGATTCTGATTCTGGCAATCCCGGTTCGATCCCGGGCACGACCTCTTTTTTGCCCTTCTTTTATTCCACATGTTAGCTAGCCTAGGAGCGGGTTTAGTATCTCGGGTCTTCATCTATATTTTTCCTCCTGGATAGACCATTAGGTAGGCTAATCGGATGAACTATTAGGATTAGTAGCAGAATCTGAACCTTGAAAAACATCTTTATGTATAGAACCCATCGTATACTATCGGAAGAGGTATTCTTTACTCTATATACTCACGTTCCAGTTCGGATGATAGATAATATTTGAGTTTTTCGAGACCCACATTGACCTTACTCTGGCTCCTGATGCCAACCAGAGCTCGCCTCTTCAACAAGCACAGGTTGTGTAGTGTAATGGTCATCACTCCAGATTCTGATTCTGGCAATCCCGGTTCGATCCCGGGCACGACCTCTCTTTTTGCCTTTCTTAATTCTTCACCACCTGTTCCTCGTCACTGCTCGTTCAAACTCGAACCGAATGGTACTACTTTTGTGGGGTTTTTTAACCTTCCGAAATACGGTACCTATCTCAATCTCATAGATAATACCTAAGTACCCCAGGTACTTAGACCTGTATCTCTGCATCATTTTGTGACAGAAGATTCTACTTTATTCTCACTACATACATTTAGCTCGCTATATTGGTTCATAAAAACAGTTAAAAAAAACTCTCCTTACAGTTGATATACCTAGATAGTGCCATGTATTACTGTATTAGGCGCTCGATTTAACTTGTGGTGACAGAGCTGCTTTAGCCTAAACTTACTCGTATAAGCAAGTTTAATGACCTGAATCTCAGCTTTAACCAAAAAGACCGCCATGAATAAATCACCATAGTAGTCCATATTCTTGAAAGTCCGGCCCTCACTCATTCATCTTCGGCAGGCATCGATGCTATAGAATTCTCACCAACTCCTCGAGCTTTGAGAGACGCCTTTAAGCTCTTTAATTTGGGCGTTTCGGCTAATAGTAATATTTGATGGATGCTTTCTAGTTGATCCTCTGGGAAGAGAAGTGCAAAAAATACAAAATGAGAATTAACACTGATTTTTGCCAGGGTCCATGGGCGGTTCTCTACTTTACTGAATGTAGATGCCCAGCTGCTTTGTAACGCCTGCTGATTACATTCGCTAAGCGTATGACATGTAGCATCCCATGAAACTCTGGGCCTCTCCAGTACTATAGGTTTGCCTCTACTCAGAGGTCAATCACTAATGACTAGCCTTGGTTCGTTCTCAGGTGATGGAAGTACACGGGTGGCCTCGACGAGATCATAATTTCGAGACCTATGAAAAAGATTGAAATGTTTCCTGACTATTTTGAGCGTGCGATAAGTGGATAAAATGCGACAATAATGTCTGACTCCTTTGGACACTTGATTTTATAGCCACACCCAGCAGGTGGGGAAGACTAGGCGTTGTGATTCGCTAAACTTCCTACGAGCAAAAGTTGCTCTTGCTTCTTCAAGTTTGATTAAATCAGAGAACTAGTACACACTCGCTCTACATGTGTGATAAAACGAGCCGGCACTAGAGTTTTAGCTGGCCCGACACCTGGAGGCCGCTCGGCTACCATTATTGGCGATCGCCGATAAGGGGTGTTGTAAGTGGAGTGTTAGGTAGTGCCAGGCACCCATACTCCGATGGGGCTGTCTCATAATCATGTGGTTTTCCTTTCTCTTCCTTACGTGGTCTAATTCACAGTATAAACATTGGAATACTAGTACGTCAGCATCGGGGGAGCTGTTTCGCTGTGATATATGTTTTTATAATGTGGATGACAAAACCCTTTTCAAGAGGTAGAGGTAGAATGAAGATAGTTTATCGTTAGTGAGCTAAATGACTTCCTAGAGTATAACCACATTCAAAGAAGAAGCAATCCGAATAACGTTCACAAATTAATTTGTCACCATCCCAGGAAAACCGCATTTCACGATTTATATCTGCTCCGTAGAGTCAGTCTATGAGGGTATCTCACTGGACCGTCTCCGTTTCCTGGAAGGCCACTCTGCTTCCCCCTGTATCCTGTCAAACTTCATAGTTTGCGCTCGCAGTTCCTGTAAGTCATTGTATTCCTCATCTAACTCCTCATAAAAACTGAGATTTTTCTCAAATTTGACGTTGATATCCCTTGCTTCATGACTATTCATCTTGAAGCGCGCGTTTTGCGCGTACTCTTGAAGCTCTGGGTTGATGGGCCTGTAGTCAATCGGCTGCTTCCCGAGAAGTGCATTTTCGAACCAAAACTCGTCTACTTTGTCGAAGATCTCATCACCGCACTGATTGCAAATCTTAACCCCAATTTCCACTTCGCCGGCGCAAATATCACAGCAGTCGATGCCCCGGTCTTTGCATTCTTTCGCAATATTTCGCCAGTATCGAACCTCCCGAGTGACAATTTTGTAAATAATAAAAATCCGCGCGGCGATGTTCCAACTTATGTATCCTGGTTCGCTCCATGGATATTTATTGCGGGAAAAGAGATCTGCGCTTGTCCCGGGCAGTGATGAACCTTGGCGAACAGGAGGTTCGCATCCCAGAAATGAGATCCAATCCACAAATTGAAATCCTTCTGAGAAAATACCATAGGAATTTTTAATATTCCAACGTTTTCCAGCTTTATCCTTTCCGAATTCGTGGAAGTTCGGGACCCTATGAATCCGCGAGGTGTGATAGACATCATGATTCTCAAACGTGTTTTTGATTGCCATGCCTAGAATCTCCGGCGTCGGTAAATCGGGTGATCCATCTGTGAGAAAGACGCATACCGAGCTCATCTGACGATCATGTCGATGGCCTTGGGCATAGACCAGAACACACCCATCTGAGGAAACATTGAGAACTCCGAAGTCATAAGGCTCCAGCGATGAATTTGACAGATGTATCTGGTCAAAGGAACTCGATGTATGCAAGCATGGTTCCTGAGGTTCGAGGTCCCCTTTCTTGAAATGATTGTAAATGTGATGGACGATATCCCTAGGAATTGCATTGCTGTCCACCAAACGAATTTGAGATCCCCGGCCATCTATTCTCAAGCAAATTCGCCGGATGGCAGCGAAGAGGGTATGTCTCGTATTTCCCGCATGAAGTTTAGCAATGACATTCTTCAGAGCTTCCATTTCACATTCGTTTCCCACCAAAGGCAGCTGAGAAGAGATTCGCCGGATGTACATGGAGGCCGTAACGAGATGCTCAAATGCGTCTTCAGCAACGGCGATCACGGTCAATTCTCGAACCTGCGTCCAATTCGGCAGTATAAATGAGGCATATGTCACTGAAGCATAGAACTTGGTTTGATCGAGATGATGTGATCGTAGCATCCGAGAACGTCCAGTCCACTCCTCCTCAATCATACTCAGGCAGGCCCAACTTATCGATAGAGGAACCTGTTGCAAGGTTGTGATAATTTGTCTGATGAGGGTTTTCCTAGATTGATCTTTGGTTGATTGTAGCATTGTCGTTACATTGTCTCTTGTCACGAAAAAGCAACGATATTGACTCTCGACAAAGGTGGCATGTCGAACGATCCCCTGTTGGCTGTCTAGTGCTTCAAAATCCTTGAGACCTTGGTGGTAGCTGCCCTGGGTGTTTCTAGAGTCTCCATCCGACATGCTAGGATGAATTGACGTCAATGTGGAAAATATGTCAGTATCTGGATGAATCATGCTTGCACAGTCATTCTGTCCTGATGCCACGATCCTGAGTTTGTTCAATATGTCCTCGCGATAAATGTCACGGGCCCACTCGAACACGTAATCGACGATCAGCAGAAGCTGCAATGCCCCGTTTTTAGATGTAACAGAGCCTCCCCATAGATCAAATATTTGCTGGGAGAAATTAGCATGCGCCTACTTTACTCGGGGGAACAGTCTCTTGGAATTCGAGACTCGGGTGAAACTAACATATTCAGTAGTGCCAACAGTCCCAGGTTTCTCGGCTGCACCATTATATACGTATGCTGCGGAGACTCGCCAATCTTCTCCTCTATTCATTAGTAACCAGACTAGTGGATCAGCCTGCTGCTTCGCGTGCGGCTCAGTCATATTATTCAATAACTCTTGCGTGCGTAAAAGGGTCCGCACCGGAAACGCGGATTGCAATTGAACGGAATTCCAGTCGCTATCGGCTGACTTGGCTGATTTTGCCTCGAGGAGAAGAAATGGGAACACCACTGGGTCCCCTTCCTCACTGAGCGGGGGCTCTCCCAGGGACTCATAAACAAGCATATCCTGACCATTCTCCGGTCTTCCTATACAGGAAGTGTCGTTCAATAGGTTTTCGATGTTTCGCGTCTGTCGAAGTCCGTAAATTGCATCCGGTTTTGTGGCTCTCGGTAGCTGTTGCTGAATAGTTGGATCATGGTGTATTAGTTCATCTTCTCGATGGCCAAAAATCCGATTCAGTCCGACAGCTTCCATGCTGCGTGACCTATTAGTGCTAGGAACTAGTGGGTGACGTCTTCATAATCCGTAACTCACAAATCACCATTCCTGAAGTCTCGCGAACAGCGACATGGTTCTCGTTTTCTTTGCCGAGAACGCAGGGCTTCTGCCGTGGTCGAGTTGCCTTCACTCGTTGCTTCGATTTCCGAACGCCATACTCTCTTCCGACAAAATTTGCTGGGGGCTCAAAGTGAGTGATTTGATCAAGATCACTGGAATTAGAGTTCCTACCATACGACTTCTGAACTAAGTCGGGCCAAGGCATAGGGTTCGCACGCGAACCGCCAGGTCGATTCATTTCGTCTCACACAGCGCTTAGCCCGGTTGGATAGTTCCTCGGCGTGTCTCTTTATTTCTGCAGTCCATGGTGCATCTTTAATAGCTGTCGCACAAGCCGCATAGGTGTCGAATTGTCTCTTTCCTAGCTCATCAACCGCGAGAAAAGTCGAACGATGGCTATCGGGCCATTCATGGCTTGGCACCTCTCCGCGGAATTCAATTCTGTACTTCCGTCTCAGTTTTTCAACCTTCTTCCTCTCTTTGGCTGTGAAGGGCATAGCTAAAGTATAGGCCTGAGACTTGTGCGGTGTAGTCTGGAGCCATGAAAGATAAATACCAAAAGTTGGTTCAGCCCAAACGTAATGTTCACTTGAATTTGTGGAGATCCACAGGCGGAATTTATCTTTGCGGCACGGCCCCCAACCTAATCCTGATACATACTTGTAGCTGCGCCATAGTGAAGGCAGACGCTGTTCGAGGCGCAGTCAGTCAATGTCTTTGGGCCGACAGGTGGCTGGGCTGGTTTTTCCTTCTGTAATTAGACAACTACGTAGGGCACTGGTGTTTTGTATCCACAATTATCAACTCTTACTCCTTGGTTCACTTTATCGATACATAAATACGTCAGAGCGAACAAAATGGCTGCCTACTTCTATAGGGAGAATGATTGGGTCTGAAGGCATCGTGACGATTTGTAACGTAGGGGCAAGAATGTTGGGAAAAAAAGGCAACTCAGCGATGAACAAGGCATACTCCATTTTAAGGAATAATCCTCTATATATCCTACTATCGATGTCATATTATCTTATGTTTTTTACTATTATAGATGTTAGACCAGAGAGTTATGAACGCATCTCTGAGGAAAAGTTACTACAAAGAGGGCATTCAGGCGAGGCGTGTGAAGGGACTGACTGGGTAGCGCGGCTAGTGGAAGTTGCCCGAATGAATAAAAAAAAACAAAAACAAAAACATACAACAGCCAAAAGTATGGCCGACCTCACTTAGCGCCCATCTTTCCGTGCTAAATGACTCGCCACTTTATTCAAAAGTGCTTCAGGTGGTAGCTCAACCACCTAGATATTCTTCACCCAACGAGCGCAGAAGGTGTAGGGCAGGCAGGTAAAAGGAGTATCTGCACAATTTAGCATAGGGAAAGTTTCGTGAGTGACTGATATGGAGAACGACGAAGGATGAATTAAAAAGAGGTATCATTTCGGTATGGGCCGAGGTCGATTCGAAGTGTCATTATGGCGGCAGAGAGTAGATTGTAGATAGAAAGATGCAGGGCATTTACCAAAGGGTGGCCGCTCTCGTCCGCCATACCTCCCCTCCCCAAGGGCTTGTTACTATCAATAAAGAACTTGAGGCAAAGTGCTACTAGTCAAAAGGATAACTAAGCAAGACTCATCATAAACCACCATGGATATGATTGCGACTTAATAATTCCCCTTTCGTTACCATTTCCATTCACTGTCGTCATTGTACCAACCTGTCCGGTCAGATCGCTTAGCCAATCCGTACATGACATAGTCTGCTTTCCGAAACCGTTTGTTTGTATCACAAGGGGCTGCCATCCGAAACCCGGAAATGTGACTATTAAATAATGAGGATGAGAGTCAGTGCCTGCTTAAGAATCTTCGACTATGGATAAAAAGAATATCACATACATCTTTCCAGTAGACTCATCATATATGAGCTTCGAGGAGGTGGCCATAAATGGCTGGAAACCGCACCACAAAAGCTGCCTATTTGAATAGTTAGCCTCTTAACAAAATATCTGTAGGCAGGGGTTGATGATATGAACTTACTGGTAGACCTGGTGAAATTCTTCGCGGATACTATCGCGCTGCTGTTCATTAAGACTCCAAAAATAGTCCTGAGATAGAGGCTCTCCCGGCACTTTCTCCCAAACAATCAAGATTTCATACCCACCAGGGACGATTTCGTTATCTCCCTGCGTTCCTTCTTGGTAACCCAGGAGTTGGGGAACGACAGGACATGCCAGGTGCTTCAGTGTCTTGAAGGCCGTCAACTCCCTATTCGACTTTTGCGGCATTGCCTGGCTTGCTCGGATACTAGAGGGGGCAAATTCGGAGCCAAAGATAGGGATTTGACGATAAATTCGCATAAATGCTAGCTTTTTCGGGTCGTCCTTCGGGTAGCAGAGAAACTTTGCGGCAACGAATCCGGGCTTATGACCATCGTCGATATCCTGCTGCGTCATGAAAAAGGACAGCGCTTCGAGATTTTCGGTGATAATCCATGTCCGAGACGGTAACTGAAGGCTGGGCTTAGCCTCAGTAGTGATCTCAGTGCCCTCAGAGACCCAGAGAAAGGAACTTTGGGCGCTATGCATTTTGTTGTCTGTAAAAGTTCAGAGAGGGATCGTGTGTGAGGAGGAAGTGGATACGACTGTCGAGACGATTGAGGTTGATAGGAAATAGAAAAAGTTGAGTCAGAAGAAGGTTCAGAAACTGCCCGATGCGAGCGTGACGCCGACACTTTATATGGTGTTGATGGCCAAGTAGTGCCTGATGCCGCAGGCATCAATTAATACTAGTGGCTGATACCTAATTTCGACGGCGACGCCTACAGTAGGCATCGATGTGATTTTTAGGTACTCTCCTCCTTTGCTCATGAAAGCTCTGGGGAATTCTTTGATACGGCCCTTTCACAACCAAGCTATACCACTATTCGGTATGGGTCTCTTGCCCGAGCACGTGCCGTAACATAAATCGAACGGTACTTCCTTTGTGGGGGTTTTAATCTTCCGAAGTATCTATCCTAAACTGATAAATCGGGCTATATCTAAGTACTTAAACCTATATCTATACCCGTGGACACGATATTATAGTAGAAGATTCTACTCTATCCCTATTAAATATACTTAGCTAGCTATATTAGCTCAAATAAATAGTTGGAAACTCTGGTTAGAGCTAATATTCCTATATAGTTCTACGTATCACCGCCTAAAGCGTCTAGTCAACTATATCTAGTGTGATAAAGCCGGGTAACTCTAACCCCTACTCTTACGAGTAAGCTTAACGACCTAAATCGTAGTTTTGATAAAGGGAGATATTCTTATTACTTTGGAAAGACCGGCTGTTAACCATCTATCTTTGGTAGGCACCGAAAAATATCATTCTAGAATACTCACTAACTCCTCGAGCTTTAGAGACGCTTTTGAGCTCTTCCGGCCTCTCAGCGGATAGTCATATGGTAAAAGATTTGATATTTGAACTATTAAGAAAACCCCCACGAAGTTTACTCTGACATTGAAATTAGAATCATGAGCTTAGTCTAATCCCCCCCCCCTCATTTCATCCCTCGCTGGCTCCAGAGCTAAAAACCCCAAACCTTATTGGTCTTCTCTTCTACGGATGCAATAAGGCAATCCAAAGCACTTCAGACCAACAGAAAAGCTTGAGCCCTTTAAGAGAGCAACCAGAAATGCCTAGAAATTTATTATGGGATTTTTAGTAAGTCTGAGTAATTGCTTCACTAGAGAAGGAGATGAGAGTAGTACATTAGCCCTATCACCCCGCAATGCCTCTTTCTCAAGATAGAGATAGAGGGTCTCTTGATCAGTTATTTAAAATGCTCAACCACTACCTGAAATGAGCGACAACTCAAAAACCAACCTAGAACAAGTGGTTTAAACGTTGATCCGAAGGAATTCCCAGGATTGAAACCGTGGATGCTTCCAAGGGAAGCCCAACCTCGTCAATATATTAGCAAGAGAACCTTAGAAACAAAACATACAATAGCCATTATAAAGTGGTGTTAACCTAGCGCCGCGTTTCTGTCGTGGGTGCTGCCTATCCTTCAGTCCCGCTTCTGGCAGACTTTGGTCTCCATAAATGAGCTGAAACGCTCTCTACCAAGCTTTTGGACATCCGCGAACAGTTTTTGGTGACTTTTGGGCCAGCGGTCGACTTCGTCTGGGCCAAGGAATTCAATGCACAATTTTCGCGCATGGTTCGAACGTTGTGTCAATTCGGTTGGGTCCATTGTGCTGTATAGAGGCGAGAAAATCCTGGCCCTATTCAAAAGAGGGGTTGACGAAAGGTACCAAAGCCGTGCCACGCCTAATGGCAATCTTCGTCTGGTCGATGCCGTACAATATATAAGGACGCTAATATCCTGGATTTATCATGGACATCCTACCTGGAACTGCCAAGCGATCGCGTGCTCTGAGGGCGGCTACTTGACAATTGGACCCCTGGATGATAGAAGTATGCGGATTGAAAGGGGCTAAGTATTTCAGAACAGTCAGCTAACCCAATAATTACAGGTTGGCCCCCTAAAAAAGAGGAAAGCGGGGGTTGTATATGGTCCATGGAAGGCATCGAGACAAGGCAGGCTTAGCCGAGGCGACACGTTAGCTATTAGGGCATTAGGGTGAAGAATAATAGAGCGATTTCAGATTGTTCAGCCTGCTCTTTCATCCAGTGGCATTAAACCGGACGGACTAGAATTAAACGTTGAGCGAAAATATTATTGCCAGTCTATGGCGATGCTTACCTAGGCTCGGTGCGCGGCTCGCCGCTTTACGCCCTCGGGCAAGGCGGCAAGAGCAAAAACCCAACGAACTTGTTGTATCTAATCAACAAAAGAGCAAAAACATTCAACAGCAAGGACTCACATGTGGTCAACCACCATACTACTACTAACTGGCCGTCGTGTGGCTTCTGCTTAATCAGTTCTCGGGTGGGTGTCGCCCGGTTGAGCAGCAGGGTCAGCGTCCCGCTCGGGCCCTGTACGCTATCGCACGGGCCTCTCTTAGCTAGGATGTGTTGAAAGTTATTAGATGGAGAGCAGATCCTGAAACGTCCGTCTCTTAGGATCTTTTTAGTCACCAAGGGCAGAGGCGGTATATAATTACAAACTCCTGCTAACCTGCTATACAGAGATCAGCCTGGGTCACCTGACTTCCTATATAGGCCAAAAAGACCACTATATCCGCGATCAGCGGATATGACCTAGGGACTAATATGTATAGTATCGCACTGTACTCTTGTTATATCATAATAACTCATAACCGTGTCCTTATACACTATATTGAGTCCTATCTTGTTAATGCATATATACGTTTCTTGTGTGCATTACCACGAGTTTATGCATTCCGTCTAAACTCCGACATCTTCTTAATCTCTATTGTTGTTTAGGTTAGACCTAGTCATATCCACCTTCGATTCAGTGCTAGACTTCAAACCATGCACTGATTCATTATTAGTATTCTTCTTAAGAGAGTATATTCCTAGCACCATCGGTCGAGGCCGAACTTTTCTTAATGGGTTCTTCTGGATTGATGAAATGCATACGAGCTAGGTGCATAAGCGGGTTCTTGTTTAGATCGCGTGTGTGAGCAAACGGAATAGTTATTATGAGAATTAGAGACTACTTTGAGGAGACCACACTCTATTAAATCAGTCAGATTTAAAAGGCCTCACGTCGTAAGTATTAATTGGAGATAGATACGTCAACTTACAAATTCCTTCACCATCTTGATATTTCCTCTGAACTCGTCCTCCGATACCACCGCACGAGAGCCCTTTGATCGGAAAACCCCTTCATCACGGCTTCCACTTATGTGCACGCCCTGCTTATATAGATCACCATCCAAATTCTGGTATGTCCTGCGATCCTGCAGTGGTACATCGTCTTCATGCCAAGCGGCGATGGCAGACTTTCTCTTTGGCAGTGAGGGTGTAGCATAGGAGTTGGAATTGAAGGTGGAAGGGCCATATGCGTACTGGCTTGCATTCGATTTGCTCACGATAAGGGATTTGAATGGAGGGAGGCAGCCAACTACCATTGCTGCTCTTTTATTAGTCCCATATCTTTGCTGCTGACCACCTCCACCTAGTTTGCGCAGCAGAGGAGTAAAAGACTTACAGATGGTTGATTCAGCAATTCCCCACACAGCGAGAGCCGCTTGGTCCGAATACGCTTTTCCGACAATCTCGATCGCTCGAATGATTGCTCCTGCAATTACAAGAAAGCTGAGAGAAAAGACAATGACCAAGCCAATCTTTTGCCGAGTATCGATTCTCGCCTTCCAAAGAATGAGAAGTGGTAGAGACATGACTGCTCATTCTGTCAACTTTTCTTTTCCTCTTTTTTGGCCGTTGATACAGTGTGGTCATACTTAACAAGTCCGAGAGAATGTCAACAGCGGTACTATAACTGATAGATATGACAGATCCCCTTTGGTCGATTGGCTTTGTGCATTTCCCTGTTCCAGGTAAGTTTCGCTCCAAATAATGTAGTAATCCTCAAATCCATTCCTACCAAATTTGAAATAGTCTGATGCCGGATGACAATTGAATGCCGATGCAAACCAGCAGCCACAATATGCCAATGCAGTAAAGATGGTAATTCCCCACCAAAGCCTTCGGTATTTTGGCAGTCCTTCAGACATCATCCAAAATAGTGAGAGAAAAGATGCTTTGACGGCCCAAAGTACCGACCAAAAGATACCGATTATAGCGAATTCGTAATACGTATAGTGTTCTCCATGATAGACGATGTCGGGCCCTGTCACGTCGAGAATCATATAGTACAAGTGTGGTGCTTGAAGGGTCTGAAGAATGGCGTTTATAACAAAGAATGCCAACGCAAGAAGGACCAAGTAATCATCAATCATCAATCGTTTAGCTAATTTCAGACGAATGGCAATGCGGATGGCGGTGAAAACTATCCCAAGGGCAGCACCAGCCCAAATAACTCCAATGAAACCCTGCATGGAAAGCTGGGTGGCAACACCCTTAGGATCGTAAGCACTCGCCATCGCGTCGAGAGCAGAGCTGTGAGCGATATATTTATTGTGAGCAAATATCAATAAGAAGACATCGTTAAATGGTTTCACCCCCAAATTCCTTCGTTCGCGGTTCTTAAAGATAGGGGGAAAAGCCTATGGTGACCTTCCACAAGACCCCTGCCATTTAATCTACGGTACGGAAATTCGAGTACAGGGATTGACAGGGCGCAGACGGTCGACGCCCGCCAACATTGATCCTGGTCAAGAACTAGCAACACGAAGAGGCCTGGGTGCGCTGGGTTGACTCGTAGCTTTCAGCCAATAAATCGAGAGCGGAAACACAATCCCAGCCGTTTTGGGCGTGGGATGAGGACGAAATCACACTAACCAGGTTCCAGGGTCCTTATATTTGAAATGATATCGTCCAACATTTCCCGACACGGATGTGGTCGATTTAATTCCCCATGCAAATTGGGCTTCGGTGTATGCTTAGTGCCGTTAAGGTATGGACGCAGTCATTAAATGGCCCTTCTGCCACGCTGAGGGGAACGAACCTTTAAGATCGGTTAACTAAGTAGGTTTCTCAGATCTGTTAATAATCGAGAAGACATATTGGTCAACTAGATTTATCGTCTAGGAGCAGATATCAATCTTTCATGTCAATCATGAGGTAAAAATTATAACAGTCATTTCATCCTTCAATGGAACCAAACAATGAGTGGCCACTCACCGGGGGAGGGAGGGAGACCAATATGGGACTGTGAGCTAGTTCAATAATCTAGTTTGTCGGAAGAGGGGCGAAAATCTAAGCGAGGCCCCGCCGTAGTATTGTACCTGAGCTTAGAACTAATCATATCCCTGCAACCTCCTCGACTCTAACTACATACGGGAATCCGAGGAAGGCGGTGCCTCCCGACATCTCGTACAATTTTAGTAGGGTCTACTATTCCGTGCATACTTATGTTATTTGCCCAAGTAATATATTTGCTACTATGAAATAGATGCCGAGGAGAGACCAATCGCTGGACGTCGGTTTTACCCAATTTCATGAAATCTAAGGCTAGTGTAGCGTCTGCTTTTTCTTCCTTAACCCCTTAGCACCTACGCGAACCGACCCGGATGCCCTGTGCTCCGTTATCCGCAGGACGGTGCCTTCAATCGCTCTTAAGTATTTCATTCTCTTCGCGTTCCTTGTCTCTTAGCCCTTTTATACTCTAGTTTATTGAAGACTCCTCTCTTGTGTTCTGGAGTTTGGCATGGCGTTCAAAGTGTTATCTGCCCTGGCCCTTGCAAGCTTTGGCTATGCCAGTTCGCAAAGCTCGTGCAAATGCGTATGTTTTCCCCTTCCCCGCAGATGAAGGAGGAACCATTCAAAACATGGAACTTAGTAACGCCTCCTGTTTAGACACCCGATGATGCATGCTGGCCCTCCATTGCAACCTGGGACGCTCTGAATAGCACTGTCTCTGGGAAGCTTATTCATAACCTCCCTGTAGCGATTTCGTGCTACCCCGGTCCTTACCACAATGCGGAGGAATGCGCATATGTCTACTCGCAATGGTCCAATTCCACATTCCAGGAGTTGTCTCCCGTAGGATATGTTTATCCTACGGATGAGCCTTGTCCGCCGGTTGACTTGAGCTCAGGCGAGACCCCTGGAACTTGTGTCCTAGGGCCTGCGCCAGTCTACACGATCAACGCAACGGAACCAGAAGAGTTAGCTGCTGGCATGACTTTTGCGCAGAAGAACAATGTCCGCCTTGTTATCAGGAATACTGGACATGATCTGCTCGGAAAGTCAGTATCATGGCAACTTATTTTCTTTTCCGTATCTGACCAGACGTCTTCTATTGCAGATCCGAAGGTTATGGGGCCCTTCAGATTTGGATTAGGTATATCCGAAACGGTATTTCGATCCAAGATAGCTATGTGCCCACTGAAACATGTGCCCAAAACAATTGGACTGGCGCCGCCGTGACCATCAGTGGCGGGTATGTTTGGGACGATGTGTACAACGTCGCCTTCGCACGGAATATTACAGTTGTGGGAGGAGGTGACCCGGTATATATGTCAAGTTCCCCAAATGGTTACTGTCGAGCTAACAGTGATCTTTCTTTTGAGACCGTCGGCTGCATTGGCGGTTACATCCAGGGTGGTGGCCACTCACCGGCCAGCCATGACTATGGCCTTGCTGCGGACCAGATCCTCGAAGCTCAAGTGCTTCTCGCCAGCGGTGAGATTGTCACTGCAAGTGCCTGTCAAAATCCCGATCTTTACTTCGCCATTCGTGGTGGCGGTGGTGGAAGTTATGGCGTGGCTCTTTCGATGGTCATTAAGGGATATCCCTCAAAGCCCGTTGTGGCTCACTCCCTTGCTATTATCCCTCTTAGCAGCGAGACTGACCCTCTCTTAGAGTCTGTGACTGATATTTATACGGAATATCCCAGTCTTATGGATTTCGGCTTCAGCGGTTATGGTACTTGGTCAATCAATAGTCCACAGGTCCTCTTCGGGAATCAAACGATTGGTTATGTGCATGCGATTGCTGTTATGGATAAGTCGCTTTCGGAGGCGCAGGATGCATTCCAGCCGCTTCTCCAGAAATTGGAGAAATACAATGGCACTTCGCTGTTTGTCTCGCTCACTTGGTACCAGTTCCCGACATACGCATCTTACTACAGAGCTATGTCTGGTGCACACCAAGCTGTTGGGTCACCGAACTCAGCCATGTCCTCACGCATGTTCAACAAAGCGGCTCTTACATCTAGCCGGACCGCTCTTCGTAGCACAATTGGCGTCATGGCTGGTCAAAAGGAACAATATACCATTAACAGTGTTGAACTTATCGCTGGCGGTAAGGTTCTTGAGGAAGACCCATATTCTGGTCTCAACCCAGCTTGGCGGTCTACATACATTGTGAGTGTTGTCGCCAGAGGCTGGGCAGATGGCTCCAGTGCCGCCACCGTGCAGAGCGTCAAGAACGATATTACTTATATCAAGGGTGGGGCGATGAGAGCTCTTACTCCCTTTTTGGGGAGCTATATGAACGAGGTTTGCTTTTATGGTTCCCCACAATCTTAGATCCGAAAATCTAACATCCTTTACAGGCTGACCGCAACGACCCTCTATGGGCATGGGACTTTTTTGGATTAAATTTCGCTCGTCTCACCCAAATCAAGGAAGAGTACGACCCAGCGGGCCTGTTTTATTGTCCGACCTGTGTGGGAAGCCCATCGTGGTATCAAAAGTACCTGGATGGGAAGGACTATGGTCCTCTTTGTCCTACTGGGCTTTGAATTTCTTGGCCGGCTAGTCTTCTAGCTGTCTCTCTCTATATTAATTCATCACACGTGCACTCTTACCTTTGCTCTTGTGTTCTCTTGTGTTAACACTTCTTTACATTTCTTTCCCATTATTATGGCAAAACTTGAGAAGAATAATATAACTCATTCTACATCCAGAAACTTCCTACTAATTAGAGCCGGGGTTAAGCGGAGGGAAAAACCGGATTAGGAGGTGGCGACGCAGCGTTTTCTGTCAATGCGATGTTGGAGCTAGCATCTGCTCAAGAGACAACGTCAGCTTCTTCTTCTTCTTCCCGTAGTGCAGGGACCTTCTCAAGCGGTGCATTCACCATGACGCCATGCGCATCACCCTCTGCCCACCTTGCAGACAGCTCCTCAGGCCAGTCAGCCATCTCTTGCTACACCAATAGAGGTATACCTAACTATATCCGCCAGATCGACCGAAAATACCTTCTCCTCTGTTTTAGCACGAACAAATCGGAGATTTTCAAGCAGATTGAGGGGACATCCTTTGGGAACGATCAACTTCTCTTTGAGAATCTTCATCTCGTTTATGAGGCTATCCAAAGAGAGGAATCCTGGTTCTCCAAAATACCACTTCAAAAGGCAACGGAGATGCCTTGTTGGCTCCGTTGGTGCTTGGGTAACTTGCGCCTTTACAAACCAAAGAGAATAAACTTTGTATCTGTAGGTTGTCTCGAGTTCTTATCCATTTCTGTTTACTACAAGCACGCTCTTTACCCACTTAGTCTAATGATTTTTTGCAGTTCCATTTAATGCCTCTTGGTGAAACCCCCACGCTATTTAATACAAGAGCCCCGTCCCTTCCTCCGCAGCAGGAAGTTTATATGAAAAATTAGGACTATTCCCCATGTCCCATCAAGGTTGAGGAGTGGGCTATAAGTGAAGCCTTGGCAACAAACCTTCTCGAACCAGGACAAGGGACATTGTTGACAACTTGAAGGCGACTTCGCGGGCTCCGATAATCTCGAAGCAATTTCAGGTTCATTGTATACTTAGTAAAGTTGAAACTATAACTATGATCTCTGTAGCGCACTGCGATCGAGCCTCGCGGGTAGCCAATCATCTCTATGAGTACGATTACCATAAGCGGCTAGGATGGGGGATGATCCGAGCCTTCGCCTAATTATAACGATCAACATTCAGGGGTCGAAAATAATAGTAGTTACAACTGTAGTAGAATGTTGATTTAAAGCGACGAATCTTTGGCTGAAGCTGTTCTTCCTTACGGTGCAAAAAAAACCACCCTTACTTTTATGACGCAGTTAGAAACGCCGTGTTCTACGATCAACTACTCTAGTCCACTGCCCAAGCTATCCGGAGATCGAGAAGCCAAAAACCATCGAGCTGCTTGCCTGTCACTTCTTCTGGCTGCATTGTAACAGGAACTCAATATGGAACTCCTCCAGACCCACCCATCCTCTCGACCTTCGGAACTATTGTGGATCGAATACCAGCCTCGAAGATCGCAGGGCATCACGACTTTGAAGGCCAAACAATCGTTCTTGAAGGCGAGATATCACCGAGATCGACGACTGAATGGGTTACGAAAACTGCGGGAATCCATTCAAAAGTTCTCACCCAAAAGCCCTCATCCAAGTTCTATTTCGGAGACTATCGGACCCCCTGAAAAGCGTGGTATTGCACGATCCAGAGATCAACATATTTCTAACAGCAAAGTTGGTACGTCGATGCCGCGATCATTACCAGCAAGGGTAGAGGATATTTTCCCTTCCCTGTCTCTCCGCACGTATCAGGGCGTGAATTTCTACTTCGACTACTGTGAGTTAATATTCAGGCCAAGGGATCATTCAGCAGTAGTGCCCAAGGAAAAGGCTAATCGAACTTTTAGATAGACATGAAGGGTCGCGTCGTTGGTTCCCTATGGGTCACGGAGCGATGTTGAAATGGCTACTGCAACAAGCACTCGACCAGCCCTTAGTGCTCGAGGTTATATTATCCACGAGTGCATACAATTACGCCATTATCAAACGGACACAAGGAGCTTGTAGTTCTTTAGTACGAGAATCTGTACAGGATGCATTTCTTATCCGGTCCCAGGTGATTCAATCACTTCAGCACATAATAACGAAGCCATCTGAACTCTTTTCCGAGCCAGTAGCCCTGGTCCTGAGTCAGCTTCTCGTAACGGAGGTAAGACAGACCTTTTCAGCTCATTACTTGATTTCAACTAACCGATCATAAGGGACTGGAAGCAAATATAGAAGCAGTCGACGCCCATGTCGAGGGGCTCAAAAATGTCATACGGACTCTAGGTGGATTGGATGCGCTAGGAGAGTTGACTCTCACAAGCATCTACTGGTAAGGTGTCAGAAAAGGCAAATACGATGCCAAAAAATTGCTGAACTTTGTCTCATTAGTTGTGATCCGATACGAGGTCTCATGAAACAGTCTCCTCCAGAATTTGCTATATGTAGGAGATGGGAAAAGGCCGCCCTCGAACCTTCTCTGGATAGAGTCGATGAAGCCCGTGCAAGATTTCCTGCCCTCGGGTCACATTTCTTTCACTCGCCGTTGTCTGAGACTATTCATCCACAACTCAGGACCGTTCTGCGATCATTCCAAGACATCATATCCATCTACGAATGCTTCCTCCACGTGGAGACAGAGACCAACTCTGCCCTCGTCGATCACAAATTCACCCTTCTGTTAGTGCATCGACTAATTTCTCTACCCTTCGACTATGAAATTTCTTCGCTCGATGATGTAATTCGACTTGCGACCCTAGTCTACGTGTTCATGCGCATATGGAAGTTCCAGGGGAAGCCGTGCATAGAGTACATACTTCTGAATTTGCTGCAGCGAATAGTTGAGAATAAGCTCACCCATCAGCATCAGCAGTGCGCTCCAGATCTCTTGTTTTGGATACTGTTTATGGGTGGATTTGCTTCCCAGGGATTTGATTGTCATGAGTTGTTTGTGGCACAACTCAAAACATCTATCACAGAGCTTTCCCTGACCGAGTGGAGCAGCGCATTATTAATCTTGCATGGATTTTTCTTTGTTGGTCACATTGGGAATGATGCGGCCAGGTTGTTCTGGGACTCAGTATTTAATTGACCTGTCACCATCCATACCTTGACATGTTCTTCCTGACATTAACACCTACGATGCTCCCATGAGTCTCATTTCAATCTTCTCGCAGTTTGCGATCATTTCTTAAATACATATCGTATTTGTTTCCTCGGTTTCCAAAGGCCAGAAGCGAAGTAAACCTGCAGGTCATCGAGAAGATCTCGGGACCTTTCCATGTCTCTGCTCAGACTTATGACCACATATAGTATTTTGCTCTGGGCACGCGGCCTAATGAATTTAATTGACCATATGGGAGATATCACGACGGATTTTTCTTGTTATAATATAGTCCTCGGTAAAAGAAAAATTTCCGGGGTTGGATTAGGTTTATTCTTGGAAGATTAGTATTAATAGCTTCGTTCCGGGAAAGTCTCTATCTACTAAAATTAGTACGCTACATATAGTTTTTAATAATATTACTTATAATGTCTAATTTTTTACTATAACCTAATATTTCTTGAGAGTTACTAGAGCGAGCTATTTAAGGTAAATAGTATTATCTTCTTGTTCTCGTTTGTTCTTTATATTTAAGTGTCAAGCCACGTAACGTAGCACATGTAGTTCTTTCCTTAAGTTCCTTTTAGAAGTCTTTCAGGATTATCTTCTTTAAAATAGCTAAACGTCAAGAAAATACGAACAGAAGGCTAGGCTGACCTAGGGCGTATATTTATAGGCTGGACTCAAGTCAAAGTGGGTATATAGGTAATTTTAGGTAAGAGATCTCACCTACTCTTACCCTATTCTTACCTCTATCACCCCAGTCTCCAGACCTCTCACCCATATCACCCACACTCACCCTAGGATAAAATCCGACGCCATTTTAAAGCCTAGGGCGCTTTGAGAATTAATCGCATACTATAATTAGCTTAAGTACGGCTGAGCGGACAGGAAGCTCTGTTCTCCACACCTTATGGTCGTATGTGCTAGGAGTGGTGTTGAAATAGATTATATAGTCAACTTTGAGAACACAATATATATGTTCTGGTTCAAGCACTTTACATTGGCCCGTAGAAAAGGATCCAAAGATTAACTAGCTTTCGAGCAGCTTTTCAGTGACCGTGATAGTCAAGTTGCTGCATTCTCCCATGAAATAGAGGGTCCAAATCAATTAACATGTGTTTGCGATTAAGCACCCATAGGCCCAACCTTTTCCCGAGATAGCCAGTCATAATCGGAACTTGCGGTATGCCGTTCCCTAACCCCAATTAGGGATCGCTTCATAAAATGACTGTCCCCGGCTGACTAACATCACAGGTTGTGTAGTGTAATGGTCATCACTCCAGATTCTGATTCTGGCAATCCCGGTTCGATCCCGGGCACGACCTTTCCTTTTTGCCTTTGATTGCTTTTTGTTTCTATTATTCATGATGTAGGGTTATCTGCTAGACATTTCCAAAGTTGAAATGGTTCTGCCACTTCCGTTGTGTGATGATGCAGCTTGGGCAGGCACGGCAAAATTTTCATGAAGAGGGCTCACTCAAGGTTTTAGTCCAGCAACATAGCTGATATATCTTCTGAAAGCATCCCATGGCAAAGGTAGAAGAAGCTAAATAGTTACCGGTATATACTTAGTTACTATGTATGAAAATAATCTACAGGCCAAATGGGAGAAGCTCTTACTGATTACCGCTCGGATAAAATGACTACGAGGATTAGTGCTGTCTAGCTACTCCTTTTATTATGTCCTAAGATACCATAAAAACCAATGGCGATCCAATCCATCTGGCATTACTTGAATCAAAGTACTACTGTAGAGTCCCTTTGGACTGTCCTCGAAGTATAAGAGAGGCCGTGGTCCAAAATTCACAGCTAATCACTTCCTTCCCCGTCACATCCAGCTATACGTAGTAGTGTTATTGACTTTCGTTTGATTCCTTGCTGATGGGAGCTAACACTTACTATCCCCCAGGGCGGGTAAGTAGATATGACCATTATCCGAAGCTCTCACAAGAACAGAAGGCAGCACGGGGGATAGCAAGAGAGGACAAGAGATCTATGCGACTAAGGGTTTGTTATCTAGGCAAGGTTGTAAAGAGCTTCATAGATGAAGCTCGAAATGAGCCCCGCTGGTTGCGTTTTATAATGCGCTTTCCGTAGCTCCCCTCCTCTGTTCTGAGGCTTTAGTTTGCTCGAAGATTTGCTGAGCTTGAGGAGTATCGCTCCATTGTGTTTCGCTAACCCCAGACTTACAAATGGAGATTTTTCTGGCGATCTCATGGTGTTTGATCTCAAGCTCTTCGATTTTAATAGCCTACGTCCAGAATGCCATATCAAATGAAGCGCGTGCCTTCCATCCTTTTGGTTCGTCTTTGATCTGGCCCTTAATTGCAATTTTGCGTTTCTTCACTAACAGTCCGGTGGTGTGTGTCTGATGTTGGAAGCCCATGCATTTCTATATTTATACCTCGGGCTCTATACCTCTATATAGAGCAACAATCAGGGTTTCTACCTAGAGATAGACTGCGGGAACCTTAGAACCCTATGTGTGAAACGACCACAGGAACCATCGATGACCTGTTACGGAAGTCCCTGCTAGTCTAACAGCATAATTACTTATGTTTTACTCCTTAAGATAACTACCTCCAGTACTCCACGCGCCTGAAGCATACTAATACCTACTACTGAACCATCAAACCCCCACCCTCGAGACGAGCCACACAACACAAGGGAAATAACACCCGCTTACATGACATTTCCAAAATATCGCGCAATCCCCCAGACCAGCCTAAACTTACAAAATCCCACAATCCTCTCCACGAAAACCTCGCCCCGAAAATTCCAGACCAGAAATCTATATACAGTTCATAGTTTCCAAATGCCGGGACAACCCTAGTTCCCTCCCACAATGACCGAGAAAACGAGTCCTACACTTTTGTGGAAGGTGGGAAGGTACAGTCCAATACTGGTCAGTATTGGACGTTGTGCAATCGGCAGGCCCCGCGAGAAAAAAGTTTAATTTAGTTTAATTAAAATTTTCAAGGGGGCTATGCTGTTTCTGCAGGCGGGTTCGGCGGGGAAAAGGAAAATTTGATGGAAAAAGGCTGTTCCGAGATACACAGAGAGAGAGACAGAACAAAAATGAAAGGATTTCTACAAGAAGAATAGGAATGTAGTAGTAGAGAACGGGGTAAATTTTGTGGTATTTAGTCGTAGATAAGACCTCGTCATCCCATAAAACAATAAAAACGCCAGAATCATCCGCTTCAAATGAACCGCTGTAAACATGATACAAATCACCGCCCGCCCGTGGGTATGCTAAGATAGACCCCCTTCTATTGGTGACCGCGCCATGTAATGCGTGTCTCCTGACTAGCTGGACAGATCACGAGCATGGCGGGTGCGGCTGTTCGAAACAACGCCCTCCCTGGAATGCAACATAATGGGTTCATTAAGATCAGGTCGCAAAAGCAAATCGGGATTAAGGTAGTGGTGGAAGGGGAGGAGGAGAGAAGAAGTGGTGGTGAAGGTGGTGGTGATGAATTGGAGGGCCAGCTCCAGCGTCAGGAAGGAACTTGAGACCAGCCCAAGGACCCCGGATGCGGGAGAATGGATGATGGAAGAGGTAGAAGAGGTCAGGTTTTTTTTGTCGGGTATAAGATTCCAGACAAGAATCAACCGGAGACCCCTTTATGCTGATGGGGTGTTGACGGCCGTTGTCGTAGACGTCGGTACAGTGCTGTGATTTGCACTGGTGCGCTCGATTTCGAAGCCATCGCATCGCTCGATAAGACTCTGGTAGTAGTCCTCCAGCACTTCTGGTTGTGGTACAATTCGCCACTGGACCTTGAACAAGAATTCAAGTTCCAGCATGGCCAATTCGTTCATGGTGATACCTCCGACTCGCGCATACGTTTTGTTCGTCCAGAAACTGTCGCTGAGCCCTTTGCTAGCCACCGTGGCACTGACGATCAGGAAACGATGGATGGTCAGGCTGGAGACCGTGAAGGCCGGGTACAAGGCGCATAGGCGATCAATATAGTAGACCATGCTCAGCAAAATTGGGGGCGACAGGGTAGCGTGGGTAGTCAGACGTTGCAGGTAATCCAACACGGAGATCCGAGGTGGCGAACGTGAGTGGAAACGAGTTAAGCGCCCCTGATGCAGGGGGATTTTGTCGTTGAAGCGAATCAGCTCCATCAGCATGCTGGAAATCAGCACCACTAGGTCACGAGGATCGACTTCTTCGTACTGTGCAGGCAAGATCTTAACATTTTCCCGGGATGACCGCTGGCGCTTAGACTGCGATGCCTCTCCATCATGAACAGACCCCGCCGGCACCGTCGCATCCGGCGGGTGATGGTCGCACTGGCTGTTGCGCTTGTTGGAACCCGAACTGTCCGGGGCGGGCATCGAGGGAGTGGTAACCGTGACAGCAGCAGCAGGAGAAGCAGCAGCAGAGGCAGGAGGTGCGGCGGTGGGGGGCGGAATATTCACGGGGGCAGTCGCGGCTGCAGACTCAGGAGGGACAGTGGAAGCAGGAGTGGCGGCAGAGGGACCGGAGGAGAGAGCCAAGGCGGAACCTTGGGCTAGGGTATCGACAGAGGCGGTGGTGGATGCCGTTGATACGGTTGATACGCGCCGTCTCCAAGATGCAGGAGATTCAGGAGAGGAAGGATCGACGGTATGGCGATTCAAGGCCGAGCGCAGCTCCTCAATGGCCAGGCGCGACGAGCGAGGACTATTGAATTGCGGAGCGGACGAGGGATCATAATGCGCCGCAGCTCCGGCGGAGTGAGGAAGTGGGTGCGGGTGTGGATGAGGGTGAGGGGATCGCAAGGCCGCGGAGGAAGGCGAGGGGGAAGAAGCCAACATGACTGGATGGGAAATAAGGAGAACGCGCGCTTTCAAGCGGGTTCCCGGTCGATCAGATAATTGGAGGGTGGGAAAAGGGATCTAGTTGAAAGCTTGGAGGATTGGAATGCTGCAATCCAAATATCGACCGCTCAAAGTGCACGATGGCACCACGTGGGCGCACAAGTCAACGGGGCGCTGACGCTGCGGACCTGGATTGGTGCTGGCGCACGGCCTCATCCTCGCGAGGAAAAAGGGTGGAGAGGGAAGGAGAGACCAGTCGATGGAAGTCGAATCCGGGGTCTCACGCTAGCTGGGAAGAGATGGGATCACATCGAAAGTGGTAGTTCCTTGAAATTGAAGAGTAGAAGGGTAGGAGAAGAAAGAGAAGTGGAAAAGTAGGGCATAATAATACTCGGGCCTTGGGAAAATCCTGCTTTGCCATGAGGTAATTTATGACAGCCAATACGTGGAGGATAGGGCTGTACTGGTCTATTGCATATATTCTAGACCTAGAGGGTACAAACTTGTATTGTCAATACGAAAGCGGAGTGTAATTAAATGGTGCCGGTTCTTCCAGAGCCCCACTGCCGGACTCCCGTAGGGCGGGGGAAGTCTGCTGACTGGTTGGGCGCGCCCCGAACTGTCCGGACTGTCTCCTCGTGACAAGACATGACAATACGGAAAAAAAATCTCGTCAGATGGTCAAAGCAGTTGGGGTAACTACTTACTAACGAAAAATTGGCAAAACCTTGACAAGCACAGGTTGAAAGAAATATCCAGAAGGGGCTGGTGGCTTGGCGGCTGGAAATCGCGTCGTATGCGGGGATGCCTGGTATAGGGTCCTCAATCTCACTAGTCACTAGTGAGATAATTAGATCATTATTCGATGTTGAACTAGGACCGAACAAGTCCCTGTACAGTGTATGTATATGTACATGTTTTGCAGGTGATCACGTGCCTAAGACCTTAGCGCCTGAGTATTATGGCTGCAGTAGTTAACTAACTAACCTAACTAGTTAATCGCAAGTGGATGCCTGATTCACCAGGTCAATGACCTGGTTCCACGATTATCTTTATGCCTCAGGTGTCAACTCTCCCGCCTTCCTTACGTAACCGCGAAGTCATTCCCCCGGCCATTGCGGAGTCGGAGCCCATCAATGATTCCGGGGAGCTAGAAGACTGATCGTCAAACTTGCAATCAGTGGTGTAAGCTTAGCGACAAGCGCATCCCAATCTCACTTTAATCAACGCTTAGCAGGCTCTCCATCCCCCGGCCCCGTTGTCCAACGCCCCCGCCGTGGGCACACGCGACCCCCTCTCCCCTCCCCCAACTGGCTGAATCCGGACAAGACCCATTTACTGCCAACTCTCCGGCCCTGCAACCCCGACGGCTTGCCACAGATACCCACGCGACCCTGCGATACCGAGGCTTATACACTGGGAGAACTACCTCTTGCTTTCTCCTTCTCGGATTCCCACCAGACCTGATAATCAAAGTCCGAGAGGTTTTGTGAGAGCATATCTCCCCACTCGGGAGACGGTGGTCTTCGGACGATGACACGAGTCGTTGCTCCGCCGATTCTGTTACAGCTCCAGAGCTCGGAGTCGGCTTCCGCACAGACTGCTTTACTGCGCACGCTGAAGAATGAACTGATCGGTCATGATCAGCGCAAAGAGACCTATGTTGCCGCCGGCATTATCCCGGTTCTGGGGCGGTTGCTGAGCTTGCGACGTCCGGGGAAAGCTACCGGAGCAGAGTCCAACGGAGCCGCCTTGAACCGGGCTCCATTGTATCAGCATTCCGATGAGTCTGAAGCATGTCTCCAGGCTATCTTGATTGCTGGCAGCTTGGCCCAAGGTACGTCCTATGTTAATCCCACGGGGAACAATGATCGCCCGTATAGATCGGAAGCTTATCAAGCCGCACAGGGGGACCAACATTCCTTGCTCCTATCTTTGCCAGCGACATCCTTCCAACCCTTCTCGCTATACTATCCTCCCCAGATTGCCCTCCCTCCTTTACTCTTCCGATCCTGCGATTTTTGAATACCATTGCAGACCGATTGCCACTGCAAAGCCAGGATCAATGGCCCCGAGACACCCGGCTCGCAGATTTGGTCTTCTCATCCGAACACATTGGTTCAATTAGACGAATCATTGCGCAGGACTATGGCTCTTCACGCAATCGAGCCTGTATCGAGCTGGCAGCTGCATTGATCGGAAAGCTATGCACAGAAGAGATCCACAAGACGGCCTTGGCAGAGTCTGGAGTGCTGGATGCTCTCGCTGTCAAGATTGCCTCCTTCGTAGTGGCGCAAGGCTTCGTCCTTCCAGGCGCTGAAGATAACCTACAGGACCCTGGTGCCCTGGGGGAACTCCCAGCCCCAGCCCCGACATCCGCACGCCTGGCTCCCATACTTCGTGCCATCACGGTCATCATCGAACAGTCTAAATGGCGGGCAGAGCACTTTCTGTCTTCACCGGGAATCGTAACAGTCTTTCCCAAACAAGTTCCCGGATTTGCTTCATCAGACATTAAAAGAGGTCCCTGGGGGTCAACTTACCTATCCGGCTCCGCGGTGCCTCGTAACACCGGTGGTAATCCAGTTGATGCTTTGCTGCCATCAGTGCCCCAGGCGCATGGAAGATCATCACCAAACTCGGCTAATTTCCCACCTCTGGGGAACGGTAGCTCCCAGCGTCGCCATAGCCACTCCTTCCCTACACCGTTCTCGCTGGCCGAGACGCCAACCCCGGAAGAGGAGGAAAACTCCATCGTCCCGTGGCTACTATGTATTCTCCGCTCCGAGGGAGGCATGGTGCGATTGATGGCTGCTCGACTGGTCACGGTGCTTTTCCGCCTGGGCCTCTCGAAGAAGCATCGGGTTCCAATGTTCAGTTACTTGTTGGTGCCAATTCTGCTTCGCATGCTGGACAAGGACTTTGAAATTCCCGATGATCACGACCCTTGCGATGACGGCCTGATTACTCCAACGCAGCGCTTGAAGGAGGAGGCACCGGCAGTATTGGCTAACCTGGTGATGGACGATCAAGATCTTCAGAAACACGCCGTCGATGGCAATGCGCTCAAGAGGTTATCCCAACTGCTCAAGGAGACTTACAACCCTGTCCCCGAGAGTTTGCGACCAATGTGGTATGCGGAAGGCGATGGCCCAGCACGGGATCCCGAATCCATGTCTGCAGACTGCCGGCTCGGACCTCCTGGGTACTCGCCCACTCTATGTCACATCATGCGGTACCGTGAGAGTATCTTGAAGGCCCTGGCGGCACTGGTCCCATTCAAGGATGAGTATCGCAAGGCGGTTTGTGAGAATGGCGTAGTTCCATATATCATCGATTCACTCAAACCTCGACCTAGCGATGCGCCAGCCGATGCTGCTTCAATGCCTAAAAACTCAGCCTCCGACGGCAATCCGACGCCGACAATCTTGGCTGCATGTGGTGCTGCTCGAATGTTGACCAGATCAGTTAGCGTATTGAGGACCAGCCTCATTGATGCCGGAGTTGCTCAGCCATTATTCGTTTTGATCAAGCATCCCGATTTGGAAGTCCAGATTGCGGCCACAGCAGCAATTTGTAACTTGGCGCTGGATTTCAGTCCCATGAAACAGGTTAGTTAACATTTGACTTCCGCTGAACGGACCTACCCTAACCGAAAGAATTAGGCAATCATATCGTCCGACATTATTCCGATTCTCTGCGAGCATGCCCGCTCGTCTAACACCAAATTGCGAATCGAATCGCTCTGGGCACTCAAACATGTGGTCTACGACTCACCAAATGACGTTAGAATGAAAGTCATCGAAGCTCTCACCCCGGGGTGGATCCGGCAAATCATCAGCCAAGATCAAGTCAGCGCATTAGCACGACGAGGCCTGGAGGAGGAGGAGATGGATCAAAGTTCTGGAATTGCCATGGGTCGTGCCAACTCGTTCGGTGAACAGGTTGACATTCTCAACCCCATGGAAGACTCCGGCGAGCTGAGCGAGGACCTCAAAATGGCCGACAGCATGCCATCCTCCAAGATGAGCCTGGACATGTTCCTGCCGGATGTTAGGCGTCGACGCAAGCTTGTACTGCATGGATCGCTAGAGCAGTCCACTCAATCTCGCCAGGATGATATCGCAGTCCAGGAGCAAACCTTTGACTTGCTGCGCAACATCATTTGCGGTGAAGGTGCAGCCGAAATGATTGACTTCCTGTTCAGGGAAATCGGACAGAATGAGTTGCTTGATGCTCTCGCCAATAACCTCCGCCCACGTACAATTCAGCTCGCTCATCGTCGCGAAACGCCCAGCCGTCCCCTACATGTTCCTTTGGAGATCCTTAGCTCCGTCAGTGGCCTGCTCATCCACCTTGGCGCAGGTCTTTTGCGTCATCGGCAGCTGCTAATGGCACACCCTGATCTATTGCACTCATTGACAAACTATTTCAACCACTCCAACCGCGAAGTGCGGCTTAACTGCGTGTGGATAGTCATCAACCTCCTCTACGTGGAGGACGCGAGTGACCGTGAAGGATGCCGAGAGCGGGCTAGCCAGTTGAAGGCCCTGGGGATCGCAGACCGCCTGGCTAGCCTTCAAGATGATTCGGACCTGGATGTGAAAGAGCGTACCAAGACTGCGGTGCACCTTATGAATACGTTGACTTAGCCCTGGGTATGATTTTTTTGCTCAGATTCTGAATTTGGAAGGAGAAACGGACAGGGGCGTCTTCATTGATTTGAATTGTGCATAAGCTGTTTGCGGGTGTATTCATTTTAAAATGTGCTTAGATAGGAATGTTTATCTTGTACAGCACTTGCCTTGCCAACATTGTTCTTATGCTCTTCTTAGTTGTCGAACAAATCAAAGAATATGCTTATCTTATCAATTGTTGTGGGGAAACCCACGTCATAGTAACGGGTCCAGCATTCATGTTGACAACTTTCATCCAAGCCCAATATCCGGTATTTAAACTCCTCCAATTCAAATCGACTGGTCTAAGACACCAAAAAAACATGTCGTCTGTCCCAAAAGCAATCCTCAAAGCCCTGAACCTCCCTACCGACCCAGCAACCTGCGCTCTCGACTCCTCCGGCCTAAGCTCCGGCTTCACAAGCACATGTACCCTCCGCGCAACAATCCAAAATGAAACCGGCACCCAAACAGAACACAAATACTTCATAAAAACCTCCAAAGACGGCCCCGCAGCAGCAGAAATGTTTCACGGCGAATACGAATCTCTAAACGCTATCGCTAACGCCGTCCCAGGCTTCTGTCCCCGCGCATTAGCCTGGGGTCCCCTCGACGGGCAAAACGGGTACTTCCTCGCGACAGAATTTCTCAATCTAGGCAGCTCCATGGGTCGGGGTTCTGGGGACGAGACGAATCCGGTTAGTTTGGCGTATAGATTGGGGAAATTGCATACGACGCCTGCGCCGGTGGATGCGCAGACTGGTCGGCGACGATACGGGTTTCCTATTCCGACGTTTTGCGGTGATACGAGGCAGTCGAATACGTTTTACAATAGTTGGGCTGATTTCTACGCGAACGAGAGGTTATTGACTATTCACGCGTCGTCGAAGAAACGCAATGGTCGTGATGAGGGGCTACGCGAGCTCGTTGAGAAGACTGCTCACATCGTCGTGCCGCGTTTACTCGCAGATGATCATCTGGGGTATAATTCCCGGGGTGAAGGACAGGGTATTCAGCCCGTTGTCGTGCATGGGGATTTGTGGAGTGGAAATGCTGATCGAGGGAGTATCGTTGGGAATGGACGTGAGGAGGTGGTGGGAGATGTCGTTTATGATCCGTCGGCGTGCTATGCACATAGTGAATTCGAGTTGGGGATTATGCATATGTTTGGTGGATTCGGGGCGAGGTTTTTCGAACAGTATCATCGCGTTGTGCCAAAGACCGAGCCTGTGGAGGAGTATGAAGATCGGGTGCGGTTGTATGAGTTGTGAGTATTTGATGATATGCTTGATTGCTTTGAGCTGGTTCTGGTTCTAATTATTGGGCTTAGGTATCATCATTTGAATCATCATGCTATCTTTGGTGGTGGGTACCGGTCTGGTGCGGTGTCTATTATGCAGAAGCTCCTTCGGAAATACAGTGATAGGCGCTAGGTGACGCTAGGAAAGATGATTCTTGTTAATATTGCTCAATCTAGCATAGATTTCGGTCACACCCCAGGCGTTTTGTCAGAATAGAATGCCGTCAGCATCCGTCAATATTTCTGTGCGAACCTGCACGAGGCAGAACACTTATTCTATCATAGGATCTGACAAGCAATTGTAAACCCTCCTTCTCTCCAAGTTTGACTCACCTCCTTGGACAAATCACGGGGGATGTTGAGGGTCCGCTGCCAAGCCAGGTTGGGCGGAGTTCACCCAATGCCAAGCCCCAAGAATTAATGCTGCCTTGGGATTCAAAGTTAACGGAAAGATTCTGTTCAAGTGTGAGACCGCAGCTACTTCAGCCTATACATCTTCCAGCAGAGCAGTAGTAGTCAACACTGTACCAATCATGAACTGCCCTTCGCGAACGGACGATACTCTCGAACATGACGGGTGGAACCAGAATCCGCCACTCCTGGCACCTGACTTGACGACCTGCCAAGACTTCAATGGCATTGTGAACGCCCGTGAGAATCAGGGCGATGCAGGGGGTTCCTGTGGGTTGTATAGGGGTCCTGAGTGGGTAGATGCTCCTCCATTGAAGACATTGGAGAAGGGGAGCTCCGTCGCCTCGGGGCGCGGGATGTCCCTGACATTGTCAGGTATGAACGACATATTCGGTAGAAAGACCTTCGAAGTTGATTGATCAAGCAGGACATCTCGCTCCATCCAAGGTCAGCCCACAGGCTGACCAGAACAACCAATCGTTAAACACAATTCCCCCGCCATATCAGACTACAAAAAGCTGGGCACTATGGCTCTTCTCTGTACTCTGTGGTTCAGTGCTTATCTCAAACAGCAGACTAAACGAGCACTTTACCTTCAAAAAACAGCTCGTTGTCGAGCAGCCCATCGACAGCCAACGTGTCGCCCCGATGAAACGATCCAAATGCGCTTCCGGAGGTGTCCGCGGCGATGCATACGACCTCCCCTTACACGTCGCAGCACTATTCATCATCCTAGCAACATCAACCATCGCCTGTGCATTTCCAATTCTAGCAACCCGATTTCCCCGTCTGCGAATCCCTCCTTCATTCTTGTTTTTCGTCAGCCATTTCGGAACCGGGGTTCTCATTGCTACTGCCTTTGTGCATCTACTTCCTACGGCGTTCACTTCCCTAGGAGATCCTTGTTTGTCTAATTTCTGGACGACGGACTACCCGGCCATGCCGGGTGCTATTGCACTGGGAGGGATATTTATCGTGACTGTCGCAGAAATGGTGTTCAGTCCCGCGCAGCATATTTGTCGCGGGGGAAACTCGAATACTGTCAAGCAGGCGGCTTCGTCCGATCATGAGGATGGACAGTCATCCAGCGGAATGGATAATACGAAGAATGCCATGAGATCTCCAGATCAAAGCACTTATCTGTCCACGCTCGATGGAAGGGCTCATCTACGGGATATGGGGCCTCTGATTGGAAGATCGTCAAGCATTAGCAGGGCTATGAACCGCGTCGGTGAAGGTTCCGAGGAAATCGTTCGTGTTGCCTCCGCCCCCGAGATGCCGACCCATCGTGAAAAGGATAATGGGGCTATTCAAGAGGATATCGAGCGACACGACCATACTTTCGAGTTAACTCCGGAGCAAAAGCAGAAGAAGGAGACGATGCAGGTTTATCTTCTTGAGATGGGTATCCTCTTTCACAGTGTCTTCATCGGCATGTCACTCAGTGTTTCAATTGGAAACGAATTTGTTATTTTGCTGATTGCTATCGTCTTCCACCGTGTGTCCAACTCCTTGCAGATATACTGTCTATCAAAGCTTACACTTCTCGTTTTCAGAAACCTTCGAAGGCCTTGCTCTGGGGTCGCGTATTGCTTCGCTCCCCTGGTCTGAACGACAGCTTCAACCTTGGATTATGTCACTTGCATATGGCTGCACGTAAGTTGTCAACCTCATGCTAGATATGCTACTAGCATATTGGCTATGGAGCAGAATCATCCTGACGAAATGATAGTACACCCATTGGACAAGCTATAGGCCTGGCTACGCATACACTCTACAGTCCCGACTCGGAAGTTGGCCTACTCTTGGTCGGTGTCATGAATGCGATTTCCGCCGGACTGTTGATCTTTGCTTCACTCGTTGAATTGATGTCTGAGGATTTCCTCAGTGACGAGAGTTGGCGTATCCTGTATGGAAGACGAAGGGTTTACGCTTGTATACTTGTGTTCTTGGGCGCATTTTGTATGAGCATTGTTGGTGCCTGGGCGTAAATACTCCAACTTTCTCATTCAAATGCGGACCTACATAGTCTACGCATTGAGGTAGAGTCATGTTTGTATCCTGTGCGACCGGCCAGTCGTGTGCGTTGTTCGGTCTCGAGATCAGGTATGACGTGATGTCATTTTTCAATCACGGCAGAGCTGTGATTCAACAACCCCGCGCATCTCCCAAATCATTTGCTCGATCTTTCCTAAATTGGGTCTGTGAGCGAATGATCGACCAGAATATTAAACCAAGGCAAATGCAGCTACTGTCGATTACAAATACCAGCGCGGGGAACTTTATTTAAAGGAAGGGGCGAGGGTTAGCTACAGACTGTTATCTTAGCATCTGGCGTGATCCATGAAGTCTTAATTCAGGCTATTAATTCAGTTTCTTCTTTGGACTATTTACTATTCTCTACAAAATGCCTGCCCACCCTGATTCAAATATCCACTCAGAGGCCACCGGCCCCGCCAAAGCGCTAGTTGAGAAGCATCGCGCGGAACAGCCACTGAAGTTATATGCAGGATGGTTCTGTCCGTAAGTAAGAAAACTCTCATTTTCGTGGTAATATGAAGCTAATCTTGCTGCAGATTCGGTGTGTTCAACCGTCATAGCAATTGATCTCCAAGATTGAAACTGATCAAACATCCAGTACAGCGCGTTTGGTTGGCTCTCGAGGAGAAACAGATTCCCTACCAATACATTGAAGTCAACCCATACAACAAGCCCGAGTCACTCCTCTCGCTCAATCCTCGCGGCCTTGTTCCAACTCTCTCATGTCCGACCGATCCAGAGCCTCGACCACTCTACGAGTCAACAGTGATTCTGGAGTATCTGGAAGAAGCATACCCAACACACAACCCGCACTTCCTCCCGCAAGATCCATATGAGCGCGCTCGTACCCGAATCTGGATTGATTACGTTACATCGCGTATCATTCCCTCCTTCCACCGGTTCCTACAATACCAGCCTGGCGAAGGCGAGAGTGCAGTGAGCGATGCAGGTTTAGACAAGGCTCGGCAAGAGTTCCTAGACCACCTCAAAGCCTGGACCAAAGAGATGCACCCTGATGGACCTTTCTTTCTAGGTTCGGGTGTAAGCTTGCCCGATCTTGTACTTGCGCCATGGGCGGTGCGCTTGTGGGTATTCGATGAGTTCAAGACCGGTGGATTGGGAGTCCCTTCTGAAGGTCAGGGCGGGCCAGATGAAGCAGTATGGAATAGATGGAGGAAATGGGTTTCTGCTCTTGAGAACCGGAAGAGTATCCAGGAGACGACGAGTGAAAAGGAGTACTACCTGCCGATTTATAAACGGTATGCGGATAATACAGCACAAAGTGAACTAGCCAAGGCCACTAGGGCTGGGCGAGGTGTCCCATAAAGCCTTCAAATATTAGCATTTAAGTTCGAACGTAATCGTTTCCCTCGATGAGACACTGTTTGCTCGCTCTTTCCAATAGCACCAGTACATACACCTGGAATCGACTTTCTTCCTTGTAAATCATCACGTGACTTCTCATCCCTCAGATCAACCTTCCTCCTTTCATATCTCCATCTATCTCGGATTAACATTGAACCGGCCTTATCTCCACGTGACCTTATCGGATATGGCTTCTCTCTCCAAGCATCCTTCGATCTCTCAGCTTCTTGCTCACCTTAATTCGATTGGAAAACAACAATCATCTTCATCGCGAGTGATGGCACCCAACCAACGTGATGAACGGCTGCGCTCGGGCCCTGCGCTTGAAGCTGAGCCCAAGCCCTACGACCCAAATCCTCCACCGATTCACCCGTCGTTCATCCAGGTAGCTCGTCCCTTCGTCTTTGAGGAGACAATCCAAGGCTGCCTGGATGCGATGGGTGTTAATCGCACCCGTGAGGAGTCTCTGCGCTTGCTGGGTGTTGCATGGATCGACAATGTCCGACGGGCCCTACACCTGTAAGTTGAACAGTCCCAGATATAAGTTGCCAACGACGAGATGCTAAGCTTACGATATATACAGCCCCGTGCGGACTTCCAACACTGCGGTGAAGTATTATCACCGATTTCGCCTGATCCATCCCGACAGTGAATACAACTACGTGGTATGTCTCCCTCATCTCTTTCAATGTGCTCTATTCTGACTTCCATTACAGGATGCTGCTGCCGCTGCTCTGTTCACTGCATGCAAGATCGAGGACACGCTGAAGAAGTCCCGGGACATTGTGTGCGCAGCTTACAACCTCAAGTTGCTCCCCTCCGAGCATCTGACCCCCGATGATCCTGTAGGTTTTACCTCCCCAAAGACAACTCCTGGCCGTGGAAAGTATTCTGACATATTCTGCAGGTATTTGAGACCAACGCCCGTAGCGTCATTGGTCTCGAGCGGCTCATGCTGGAAGCTTTTGGCTTTGACTTCCGTACCCGTCACCCCCAGAAGCCCTTGATCAAGCTGGCCCGCCACTGCAACTTCACAAAGGAGTCAAAGGTCTACTATCTGGCCTGGGAAATTTCCTTGGATCTGTACCGCACCTTTGCGCCACTGAAGCAGACCACGCAGACCATGGCATTCAGTTGTCTTGAGCTAGCAGTCCGACTCTTGGACCAGCGCTGCGAACCCCTCGAGTCTGGAGTGGACTACGCAAAGTGGAGCACCAGCCGTGGAGCAGTTATGGGTATGATTGCCTTTGGCGATAATGATAGTTCAATCTTCTATACTGACATGGCTTCTAGAAACCCTCCTTGACTTGCTCGAGCTGTACACACACAGCCGTACTCAAACCTCCGTCGGCCCTAATTTCCCACCGGATCAGTTCCTCAAAGTCCGCATCCCCCTCAACCAAGAGATCAAAGACAAGCAGATCCCACGGTACACTAGCCCCTGGAATATGGGTGATGGATCCGAGCAACATGATGCTCGTGGAAAACAGCCCGATAACCGCCAACGCCCTTATCATCCACTGACACCGGTTGCCGCCAATGGAGACCGCCGCGGAGAGAGTGAGCGTGGTCGAGATGCGCCGCTGCGGTTCATTCTTGACCCGGCCTGGGCGGCGGAGGAGAAGAGACAAGTCGGGGAGTACTTCAAGGTGGAGATGGAGGAATACGAGGTCGAGGAGTGAAGGACGGGGTGGTTGAGCTGTTCGTGCGAGCCAAGTCGGCGTTTCTGGTACCCACCCAGAGCGCCTTGACAAAGGATGGCTGCTTTTTTTCCGTGATGACTTTCTATGATACCCCCAATTGCGATTTATGATTCAGAATCAAAGATACTACCCAGACTCTCTGGGTAAGTAGTCGCGCTTACAAGCTGCCTTTTGCTTACGTACAGTTCGATGGACTCCAGTAGTAAATCCCTGGATCGTCCCAGCTTGTGCTGGGCTAGTAGGATATCACAGACACAGAAGATACGAAGGCCTATAAAAACTCGATGGACGAAACGCGTCGGTAATCGCCCGTAGTATTCGGCCCTGTCCAGCGCCTATCAATACCTTTTTAGGCTTTACTCTGGCTCTTGTGGCCCCCCGCACCGAGTTGAGTCTTGGCAAAGGCAGCGACATTTTGCGGATGAGGCTGAAAGTTATGCTTCAACAATAGCTTTCTTGGAAGTATAGACGCCAGTCATCAATTCTCATCCTTCAATTTCCTTCAGATCATTTGTTTCCACGGGTTTAATACCATCATCATGACTGTCAATCTAGAGAAGCTCCCCACATTCGCACACAAACCCCGCATTTTCATCCTGACAGACGTCTTGAATGAGCCTGATGACTCGCAATCCCTCGTTCGATACCTACTATATTCCAATGAATTCGACACTCGAGGTATATGCGCGACGACCTCTACCTGGCTGCGCTCCAGTACTCATCCAGAGGAACTTCGTCGCATTATCACGGCATATGGCGAGGTTGTTAACAACCTGAACAAACACGTGCATCCTAGCAGTCAATACCGGTCTGCCGACTCTCTTCTCTCTCTAGTTACATCAGGACCACGAGTACGTACTCGCGGCTACTCTGTATTCTTTGCTGAATAGATCCCCGACTCACACTCTCATGCACAGGTCTACGGCAAAAAAGCGTTGAAAGAGCCCCATAGTGAAGGCGCACAACGTCTGCTAGCCGCCCTTCAAGAATCCGAGGAACCACTCTATATCCCCGTTTGGGGTGGTGTGAATACACTCGCCCAAGCACTCAAGCACCTCGCCGAGACGTCTTCCCCGAACTTAGCTGCCAGAGAGCGGGCAAAGCTACGGGTCTACTCCATCTCTGATCAAGATGACACCGGTGCATGGATTCGTGCTAAGTATCCTGATGTGTTCTACATTGTATCTATGCATGGCTGGGACCAGTATAGCCAGGGGAGCTGGCTAGGCATGAATGCTAGTGCTGGCGAAGGGGTGGATCACACGAAGGTGCTTAACCCATGGCTGAATGAGCATATCAGAGTCGGCAAGTTTGGGGCCAACGCGTACCCCGAGGTTAAGTTTGGCATGGAGGGTGATACGCCGTCTTTTCTGTGGCTGATTCAGAATGGGCTGGGTTACCGGGATTTCATTAATTGGGGCGGCTGGGGTGGTCGGTATATTCGGCCTCAGAGTGAGGCTGATTGGGAAGATGGAATTGATGGGAATCGTTTCCATAATGCTCAGGATTTCGGTGTTATCGGGGTCGATGGCAAGGCTTATACGGATCACAAGGCGACAATTTGGCGGTGGGGAGATGCCGTTCAAGACGACTTTGCAGCTCGGATGCATTGGACTCTCACAGATAACTTTGCTGACGCGGCCCATCCTCCGGTAGTCGATGTCAATGGATGCACTGGCACGGAGCCATTGGTTCTTGAAGTTAAGCCTGGAGAAACACACGTTCTCGATGCGAGTGGCACATACAGTGCGGACAATTGCACTGCGGATGATCCTCTGGAATACACCTGGATGCTCTACGGCGACGTCAACGGCTTTCATTTCTTCGGCATGGGTCCAGAGGTCCAAATTGAAACCCTAGAAGGCATTCCATCGGACGTCAAAGAAGGCGATATTGCAGGGTTTGCCGCATACACTAGAGCACGGAAGGTCAAGGTGACGGTGCCACAAATCGAGAAGCATCCACAAACAGGACTTTTCACTCCAGACTTTCATATCTTGTTGCAAGTGACCAACAGGGCAGGCCCATATCCCATTCGGCGATATAAGAGAATCATATTCTCCTATATTCAGGAAGATAAGCCAGTACCTCACAGAAAGATACCGGAGAGTGCTAATGAAGCATACCGGATGTATGGAAATATCGACGTAACGAGGCCAAGGGTCGACTACTCACAACCACTCAACTACACACCTTGTAATTGGTGGGGATGGAAGGTAAAGAAATAAACGGGAATTATCCGTGAATAATGCCAAAGAAAGTGCATATGGAAACTCCCATCAGTGTGTTGGTAGTAATATTTAGGCTCGCTCAGGTCCCGCATCGCTCTCGTAACTTTTACTTTCTCTCAACACCTCTTAAATATAATTTTGTTTTACGAGGAACCCGAGACAGCCTACCGTTCATACAAGAGACTTGTCGACGAAATTCGTCCAGCAAAAAAGGCATACCAAGACATCACACGACAGAACCTGCATTGCAGTATACGCCCTAGGAGTGGCATTTTTCAATATTTACATGATCACTATATTTATATCTTCCAAGTCCACGTCTATTACTGTGACATCCACTTAGGTTTCACTCTCCCGGTCCCACTCACCCTTGAATCAAATCACTACGTCCTACTAGCGCAACCCAGAGCGTCTCCCCAGTCCTCCATCTGGTGCACCAGAAACAGAAGAGGCTACGAGTGGGCAGGAGTGCCAACGCGCTTACCGCGTGTGCCAATCTGCACGGTGACTACATCGCTGCGCTAGAATCTCTTGCTTTACTGGTGGTCAGGCCTATACTTACCGGCCACAATCTCAATACTGTGTCTTCTTCTCCATCAACTGCGCAGGCCCTCTACACTGTCTTGAAGCGGTATCCCAGATGCAATCGATTTGAGAATGGAGGATACTTTCGAATTTGCCCAGAATAATGGCTCTCAAAAATCCAAATCTGACTCCAACTGAGCCGTAAAACCATAGGGATGGCTTAAAAGAGGCTCTGCCTGGGGGTCCTCTGCGGTGCCAACGGCCAGGCGACTACGCGCTAATATCATGGCCGTATGCTGCGCTGCACAACCGAGATGAGGGGGGTAATTGCGGATTTCCCCTGTTCTCCGGTCCAAGAACGTTTCTTGTAATGGCGAATCTAATTGATAAATCTGACTATTCCGATATCATATTCGACAAGTATGGGAAGAACGAGGCACGCCTAAGGTGCTACAGATCGGCCTAACAAGCCTTGAAGGGGACCCATTACTCGATTGCCACACCAAATACAGCGAGGGAGCTAGTTTCCTAGCGACTTTTATTTTATCTAAATACGATATACTAAAAACATACAACAGCCAAAAGTATGGCCGGGCTCTCCGAGCCCGTATCGTTTGGTCCTGGGCGCCTCGCCGCTTTATCCAGGCGGGCTTTAGGCAGCTTCAGGCGGTTTCAGGCGGCAGTTCATCCACCTGAATATTCTTCACCCGAAGACCGCCCCAGGGTGCAGGGCAGGCCGTCAAAAGGCGCATTTGCACATCTTGGCACAGGGAGATATTTCGCGAGCCGCCGACATGGACAGCGACGACGGATGAACTATAAGTACGCGCTAGGAGCGTCCAGGCGATCTCCCACCATCCAGCCTCCCCTCTCACCTCGTCCCGCTTACACAACAATCACTAACTAACTTAACTAACTAACGTTAACTAAGTTAGTTACCTAGTTAGTTAGTCATGCGTCTGAGAGGAAAGCTCCAACGGGCGTTCTATCCCGAAATACCACTTTATATTTTTCGTTAGGTTATTTCAAGACAACCTTGTCTTAATGTTTACCGCTCATGAAGACACAGGGATCCAACAAATTATCTGTTGTTGATCGTACAAGCACTTTCTGAAACCGCACAGGTCATTTGAAAAGTATCACCCTTGAAAAAAAAAAGAAAAACCTCAGCAAGGTCACGTGTGTTTCGGTACAGGTGTGCCCCCGAAGCCTCTGAGCAGGACATTATAGAGGGGAGCCGGGTTCAGCCTGCAATCAACCATGCCTTTGTGCTGAGGCGGCAGGTTCTGGCGACGAAGGAGGTCGAAAATGGCCTCCTCGGCACATCCAGTCCGCACACGCGCCTGCCTACTCTGAGCACACCCTAGCCCACTCGCGGTTTTTACCCGCCCGCTCTCTCCCAGACTACCTGAGCAGGGTCCGGGTTTTACTAGCTATGTGTCGCTTTATCAGGTCGAAGTGCCCTTGGAAGTAGACATATCCCGACTATATCCTTAGCCGGCATAGCGCCTTTAGTACCGCCCAGCTATCTGCGAAGATTTAGACTATTCTTTGCCGTTCGGCCTTTAGTTTCATGCTGTCTAGGGGAGTTGAGCGTTATTTCGATGCCGCGAAGCTCGGCGGCGTTCATGTAGACGTATCGTTATCCCTATTTGGCTGTTTGTATAGTTTCTATGGGAGTTAACGACTGCTCCACCGATTTTCCCTTCGTTCCCACTCCCATCAGTCTACAGAATCAAGGGTCCTCCTCTGGGCGTCTGGATAAAATATGGTCATAAATTTCATTGCTATATCCCTGTCTCGATAGTCACCTCTGGCGGTCCCTACTATGGTACCTAGACGAATACTTTATGATTCTCCCAGTTCCAGTTCCCTACCAAAGTAATGGGGGAAGCCTTGAGGCATCCGCCCGTCTTCCAGGCTTGCGCTTACATTGTTGTTATTGCAGACCAGTCATGCTCATCCAACGGTCGGCGTCGTAGTACAATTTGTTTTTTGGGTTGTAGGTGGGGTGGGATTTAGTGATGCACCTAAATCCTGAATATTCAATAAATAGCGAGGTCATTCCTCAGGGAACATCGGGCTAAGCTAGTATTTCTGCTTTGAAAAACCTATCACGTGGCTCCATGATGTAGACTCATGGAAAGGCAAATATCAGCTGACAGTGGCCATTTTGGGCTCAGGCGACCCTACTAACTGACCAGACTGACCAGACGAGCTAAAAGCAATGCATGCTGAGAGCGCAATGTTACTGCGTTTGTTCATTATACCAATCAAGCCAAAGCTTATAGCAAGAATAAAGTACTGTTATCACTCCACGTAATACAATATACTGAAGTAACAGACAAATTGAAATCATGAGAACGTTTCTGAAATCAATGCAAATTGTTGGACGGTTTCACGGTTCAGAGCTTCCAGGGACAGCAGAAGTAAAAGCAGGAGAAACACGAATTGGACAATGGCTGATCGGATATCTTCCAAGAGGACTGCACAAGCCACCTGGGCTCACTGGTTCATGAGCTGGATTTTCGATCATGAATGAAAGATATATACTTATCTCTCCGTTTCTCTGAAGAGGACCCCATATCTCATGTTGAAAAGAACCACCACGGTCAATCTGTCCTATCTGGGCAGAGAAATCAATTTGATGGGTGGTGGTATCAATGTGGAACCGAGATCTGGCGCTCTGGAGTCTGTGCAGTAATCGTTTCTGATAATGTTTTTCCAAACGACATAGGACCCGACCCTTGAAAGAGCATTTATCTCTCGACAGTTTCACACATTGGTCGATGACGGGATAAAAAAGAGATGCAATTAACGCTTCTGCTGTTTGTTGTAGTTCCTTGAACGCATTGGGCTTCTCGAAGGAAGCGGAGGTTGCTCTCTGGAGCAGTGGTATCTTCGATATATCGCTCACGAAAGGTAGCCTACCCGGTATTTCTATGTTGAGTCGATGATAGCGATCCTTTTGCTGTTCAGATAGCGTTGCCCTGTATTCTCTCCACTGCAACTCCGAGTCGAGCTTATTCTCAAATGATGTAAAGCAACGCTTCAATCCGCTAGGGGGCTGACCGATCACTTTCTCAGATCGCTCAATTTCATCTTTAGTCCAGCCTGTGCCGACGCTCACAGCGATGTCAATGGTAGAATAGTCAGACCAAAGAGAACTAGCTTCTCGGACTGCGAGCGCGACCGGATTATTTTCGTTGAGACCACCATCTTGGTATGTTTGTCCGTTCTTGGTCTGATGTAGCGGAAATATGTAGGGTGCTGCTGATGTGCACCGCGCCCTGACGAATGACAGAGACATAAGCAAATTAGCCAATATGGAAGGAACCCATCACTATTTAACATACGCTTCGGGAAGTCGAATCTCTAGCCATGGTTCGTCATAGCGGTATATAGGGCACGAATTTTCTGCGTCTGTTAGATTAGTCTGAGATCATTGAGGGATTAGCGGGGCAATTGAGAGTTTGATGTACACACCATCAGATCTTTTCCTGTTATAGTTGGACATGATTGTGGTCTTGTTTGATAATGCGTTGACAGTTGTAACTCCAACCTTAATGTCTCGCAAAAGAATTTGCTGCAGTGGATTGGCGCTTTTGTCAGTAGATTTAAGCAACGTCGAAGGCTCGCTGAACAACAGTCTTTGGCTGGAACAGTCTCCCTCAAAATCATCGGAACGAGCAAATGCTACATCTAGAGCCTTTTCCAGTGGCTCTTTTCGGTAGTAGCTGTCAAAAAGATAGCTGATAGCAAACCCTAGCATTGGAATTGAGGCCAGTGGTTGCGCGACGAATGAGGTCTTAACCAGGTTTTCAAATACCTCTCTACATTTGGTCGCAGACCAGAGATTTGCTCCTAGACCTAGGGAGATTATGCCTCCTGATTCCGTATCAGTGATCAATCGTTATAAACGTCGGTATCTGGATGCAAGCTTACCAGAACTTGTTCCCATGATCACATCAAAAAAGTGAGCTAGAGGCAAGCCCAATCCAATTTCCTTCTCCAAGGCTTCCAGGATACGAACAGAGATCGTACCTCGCACGCCGCCGCCGTCTATGGCAAGTACACGTACGCCGGCCAGGGCGGGCTTCAATCTAAACTGAGCCCAGTTATCACGGTTCTGCACTCCTTCACGACATAAAGGGCAGCACTTGAGATTAAAAACCGTCTCGTCACTGGCTGACTGGCTGAATAGCTTCACGCATGAACGACAAATTGTGTGTTGACATTTCAGCGTGAAATCAGGAGCTTCCCGAATGCAGCAATAGCAAATTGTGTTCGAAAAGGTCTCCAGCCAAAATGCCCTTTCGGCAGCGAGAGTCTCAAGGTGTTTCTCCAGAAATGATCCGATGCCATTCATTCTCTGGGCTCTGAACCGGGTCATCATACTATCGGAAAGGCGGGTGATAGTTCTGATGAACTCCTCGGCGGCCTCATTGGTGAAAGGAGTTTGATAGTCGCCTGAGCCAATTAAAAGACCAAACCGGTCCTGGTGGCCCTTTTCGTGTCCGTCAGCGGTATTTCTGCATCCTCTTCCGCCATTCTGATACCAACAACGCAGTTTTCTATACACTTCTTCATATGCACTGCGATAATGCGAAGTAAACACAGTGTCGTTCAGCAAAGTCGGGACTGCTAAAAAGTCACATGATGTTAATGTCACATATAGGTATCGATGATTATGAAGCTTACATGACCCCCGATCCGTCAACAGCATCAAGCAGCGATAGGAAGCAAAGAGCTTAGCGCAGCGCTCATCCAACATCTTGTTATTGTGCTCATTTTCTCTCATCTCCATCAAGAGTGTTGTTGCATAGCCGACCAAGTCCTGATGCGAAGGTTTGTGCGTGATCGCGTGCTTGAAAAAGTCGAAAGGCTCTCCAAACTTCGTAAAAAAGTGATTTAACCCATCATTCAATATGGATTCCAAAGTCTCCGAATTGATCAATGCAGATGTTTCGGTCCTTTCATGCATGACTTCACTTCCCAGGTTATGAATGCTCGCCCGAAGACGCTGTATTTGACGAAAAAAGCCATTAGCCCCGAATTTGTTGTTTCGCGGAGGGATATAAACAACGGAAAGGGATTTGTAATAGAAACGAAGGAGGTCCATAACAGAGTTTATCTGTCTATTTGGAGGAAGGATTTCATTCCATCGTTCCGCAATTTGCGTCAACCCAGGGCTGAGTACAGTGCATCGAGTCAGCGTCTTGTAGGCTTTCTCCGTGGCCCACTTTTCATTTGACCAATCCTTCTCATCTTGCGTTGACAAGGGTATGTTGTTCAGGACAAGAACGGCCCGAGGCAAGGTAGCCTGATTCAGAGATGTTTGATGAACATTGTCTGCCCACATTATCAACTGCTCTGCAATCGATTCCAAATCTCTTGGGTTGGTCTGGACAATGTAGCATAGGATATCACTGAAGTTGTACAGTATGCGTGGATAGATATGCTCAACACAGTATGCTCTTGTTAAGGGTCGACATTCTCCAGTGGCATCGATGCGCCTCCAGGAAATCCATTTCCTGGGCACAAATTAGTTAATGATGTGCGCTTTCAAAGATATAGTGCCTCACTTTGCAGTATTCATGGTTTCTTTGTAAAGACTTGATATTGGGTTGCTTTCACCTCCACGTAGACCTTCGCAGTCCGCCCATAGGATAGGTCGATCAGTATCAAGTGTCACTGCGTCGGCATAGAGATGAACGTCGGAGCTGGTTGGGCCTGCAAAAAGATCACGAATCCCGGAAATTGGGCCCCAGCTACGGCTCTTCGAGCTACACTCTCGATCTTGATTCACAAGCGCTTTCTTGATAGGGGTGAGAATCTTGGGTCAGAGAAGCAAAGGCGCAACACTCACTATAATAGTGGACTTTCCGGCACCAGTATTACCAACGAATGAAACAAGGCTCGGGAACTGTCTTTCCTTGTCTCCGAAATCTGATCGAAGAATAATCTCCGCATAGAGATCACTGTTAATTCCAGCTTTACCTTCTTTGGTATCGATTCCGAACCAGTAAGATGAGGCATCCAGTTTGTGTAAATCTCGATTCTGCTCTTTGTTTGTTCTTCCGAAAACGCCTTGATCTGCCTCGAATATATCCCCGAGATTCTGTAGCGGAACTGGCTCATGCTCCTCGGCAAGCGCGTAAGTCGGGGAGTGAAGAGGAAAGTTCTCCCAGCATCCCGCACAAAAGTATGCTCGGCATTGTTTGCATTGATAAAGCTTTTCGGTGTCTTGCTCCTTACACTGCAAGCATTTATGTGGCATAATCTTTTCAGATTTTTCATCTTCCCTAGTGTGTTGTCAATCTTGACGAAGTTTATAGCAAGGATATGCTTCGAGATAGCTTACATATTTGCGTTGGAGCCGTAGAACGTTGGTTGAAGTCTTGGTGATACAGCAAAATTCAAATATCCTCAAATTCTTCCCAAGTTGAGGACAAATTGTGTCTGAAATTGAAGTGGTGCGGAGTGGAAAATTGAGTGACGTTTGGAAACCTTTTATAACCCTGCACTCAATGGCAATAGTCCAAAAATTAGCGCCACATTTCAGAGCGACTAGCACACGGTCCATCGTTTATGCATCTCCAATCATGGGACTACGGTAATTTCCGTAGCGGCAAATGACTGGATCAGAGTTGCAGGGTGGTCAACGGAATTTTTACACGTCAATATGGGCATGGTTGCTTCTTGCACGTGTCGCCTCCGCTGCAGCACCAGGTAGCGCGCGGCAATCAATACGTTGAGAAGTGACAGCCTTCGAGCTATTTGCGTCCCAAAATTACTGTTGATTACTCTGTGTGGCAGGACCGGCGTTCTTGAAATTCAAACAGTAATAAATGATTGACCATTATAACCCGGGTTGGAACAGGGACTACACGGGCGCAATATGGTTGGATAAAAATCCTTCAATATTGGTCAGCTTAGAAACGAATGACGAGTCTGTGAATATGGTTGGCTGAGAGCTGCCGACAGGATTTGGCGCTTATTTCGCTTTTCAAATTTGATACAATCACATCGAGAAGGTTGGAGAGAAGATTGTAGTTGGACGGGTGTTATACATCTCAAGGGAAGTTCCCGTCATGGAAATTTAATTCTGGTTGGATGAGAAGGGCACTGGCACGTGAACTGCCCACTGTAGGTAGGAGTCAGAGTCAGGATATTGTGTTGTAAAGAGCTGCACGACTTTACAGAGCCGAGCCCGTCCATCGTCATCAGCAGCCTCGCTCTAATTGTACGTGGCTGACATGCTAACTGGCGATCTTGCTGGGCTTGCGAGCTACGGGGTGGTTCACGGTTCAAGTTAGCAGTAGGTTTGTTGGCGCGCGGTTAAACCCCTCAAGATGGACAAGTTTGGTACGTAAATGAATTTTTCGCAAGCAGCGACCAACGGTTTAGGCGCCTGACGCTCCCTAAATCCGTAAACTAATAATTCAATGTGACAGATATGAGCGGCCAACTGGGCAAAGACACTGTAACTGGAGACGAGACAGAAGCCGTCAAATCGGCGAGGGTACAGAAGGTCCATTGCGTCTATTATTAAACGGAGGGCTTGGGACTCGGGCGGAAGGAGGGGAGAAGAGAGGGAAAATATACCCGAGGGGTCACGTCAGCCCTTCAGATGTCTTCAGGGATGTTCAGGGCCCTTCAGGTGGAGGGGCCTGGAGGGGCTGAAGAGTAAAGCGGTAAGAGGAGTGTCTTCATTGGTAACATGATCATATGATGAGTAAAATCCAAATATAAAGACATACAACAGCCATACTATGGCGATGCTCACCTAGCGCCTATCGTTCGGTGCTGGGCGGCTCGCTGCTTTACGCAGTCGGCCTTTAGGCGGGTTCGGGCGGATTCAGGCGGTAGTTCACCCACCTAAATATTCTTCACCTAGAGGCCTGAATCCCTGCCCTAAAAGGTGCTTTTGTACATTTTGATCAAGGGAAAGATTTCGCGATGTGGGAGCAGACACCATATCCTCCCCTCGGGGGCAGTCGCCGTCAGTTGCCCTCGCTCTTTCTACTTCCTTTCCACTTCACTCCCATCCTTCCGCCGTTTCCCTCTCGCTGCAAGACGAAGGCAACTATGACGAAAAAAGACACACTGCTAGCCTATACATGTGATGTGTTGTGAGATAATCCACATGCAGGGTAGAAAGGCCTGTTGGTCAGGTAAGAAGGAGATGCGCACCCAGGCACATGCCAATTGTCAACAAGACTGTTTCTTGAGGAGCTTGAAACCCGCTCCTCACAGAACCAATTTATATACAGTTTTTCCATACAAAACAGGGAGAAAGGAGAGTAGCCAACACGAGCATGGGACGCCTAAGCTGAAAGGTTGCGTAACCAGCCAGCGGGGTCTTCCTGCAGGATTCCCCCTCAGCTACGCCACCGGAAAGGCAGTGGTTGTTCGCCGAAAGGTTACCGCCTCGGCAGGATCCTCAGGCGCCCCGGCGGCCTGAGGCATCAATCTGTGAATAGCCTCATATCAGGAATATCATAACACTAGCCCTTTCAGGATGATACGGTCAAACGTAGTTAGAGGGAGACCTTGATCCCCCTTTAGTAACCTATGAATTTTACCACCCTCTATCTAATTACCTGTGCTAAAGTCCAACCCTTTCCAAGGTTGCCCCTTTAACCCTAAGTCGGACAAATATCTGATTATAGGCTGAAAAGCCTAATTCGCCAGGCTTGATAATAAAGCTCAAGAAAGGCGGCGTCTCTAACGTAATCCACAAGCGAGTGGCCCACCTCACCTGAAATCGCTCATTCCTACCTACCTACCATGCCACCAATTCGCACTGAATCTTCGCAAAAAACCGGCCAATCAGGAGGGCAAGATTTTTATTGGCCCTTAACGATATCAAAAATGGCCGTATCAAATCTATTCGCGCAGCAGCGAAGCTATACGATATCCCCCCAGGACGCTATCGCGGCGGGTGAATGGAACAATCTCACGCGTCGATACACGCGCAAATTCACGTAAATCCACCTAGTTAATTAGAAGAGGATTCGCTTATTCAATGGATCTTCTCTATAGACGCGCGTGGAGTAGCGCCTAGGCCTACTACTAGACGAGAAATAGCTAATATCCTCCTTGGAGCGCGTAGAATAACCCCTCTTCCGACCGTTAGTGTTAATTAGGCATTAAATTTTGTTAAACGACGCGATAAGCTTCGAACATGCTTCTTGGTACGATATAACAAGAATACAGTGCGATACTATATATATTGGCTCCTGGGTCATATCCGCTGATCGCGGATTGAGTGGTCCTTTTGGGTTACGTGGAGTATCAGGTGACCCATGCTGATCTCTTAACAGTGGGCCACTCGCTTGTGGATTACGTTACAACACATGTGTTGGAACAGAGATGAGTAATCTATATAGGTGCACCAATAGAAATAATAATGAGTCTAGATTGCTTCTAAGCCCCTAGCTAACAATTTGGATGGGCTATTTACGTGGCTAATCTTGGTGAATATAACTAGAGCATCTCTGTTCTCCGGGTATCCACTAATCCTGGTGCTAGTCGCTGTATGATCTGTGGGACTGACTGATCATGTCTTGGCGATGGATCAAAATCGCATAATCTACCATTTGCACAGCAGATGTTTGACCGGTTTATCGCTACTACGTACGAAGTTATGGGGCGCATATGCAATCACCTGTGTCGGTACCAATGGAGATACAGCACGTGTATAGGCATCGTCATGGGACAAAGTCGACCCACAACAGTCAACAAATTCACCTCCAGCCCCCATGCCCAATTTTATTTCAATCGAGAGCATTTGAGTCGCACAAAGCTTCGAAGATGAAATTCTGTGGTCGGTTGAAGAAATTCATGCACGGGTCTCATCAAGACCGTCGGGGTGACAGCAAGTCAAAGAATCAACAAATTCTGCATCCGAACACTGAATTTAGCGTGGAGGCTATCCCAGCTTTTGTTGATGTGCCACCAGTGGCTCTCACTGGTCACTGGAAAGATGCCCTTGAACAGGTCAACAGCGAACATCCAAAGCTGGTGGAGAGTTATAGGAAAATTCTCCTGCAGCAGACACCAGTTGGAGGCGAATTGCCATCTGACAGCGACTACGACCTGCTCCTTGGGGATCTGATCAAGACGCGATTCCAAGAGATTGAGAAGGCCCAGCTCAAATTTACCATTTACGGGAGAGAAATTATAGTGCGAGAGCAAGTTCGCCGCACCGTGAACATCATTCTGACCGCGAAGGATTTCATTTCAACAGCGGTGAGCTCAGAACCGCACGCAGCACTGGCATGGGCGGGAGTCTTGGTTCTTCTTAATCCTGTTGTTAAATCGACGACCCAGGGCGACGATGCTATGGAATTCTTTGAAAAGATTTCGATGCTGATGGTTCGATATAGAGTCGTGGAATCTACTCCTATCGACCTACCAGCAAGTGCCAGCCCAGACCATGCCAATTCATTAAAAGATCTTACATCCTTGATCAACACCCAAATGATCAAACTCTATGCCCAAATTCTGAAATACCAGATTCACCTTGCGAAACATTTTATCAAGTCAGGGTTCTTCCGGTTTGTGGAGGATTTGGCGGTGACCGATGACTGGAACGGAATGTATCGGGCAATCAACGATGTTGATGAAAGTATTTGCCAGAGCCTGAATACTTTGAATATGCACACCATGACAAGGATTGAGTGCGATCTTGGATCTTTGCACGGCAAAATAGATGCCTCAAAAGAAATAATGATAGATGCGAGGGACAATGCGAAGGTAGGCAGCTTACGTGTGGTGCTTCAAGATTTTCCAGGAATTTTTATGGATACTTATACGCTATAGGAAGCAAGGGAGGCACAGTTGCTAAGTCAGCTAGATATTGCAAAAGAAGCCAGGATGGATTCTTGGGATGTTGGACAAAAAACGCCCGGTTGTCTCGAAGGCACCCAGGTCAAGACCCTTCAGGCAATCCAAAATTGGCTCGAATGCCCGCAGTCCGGAAATATTTATTGGCTCTCTGGTATGGCTGGAACAGGGAAATCCACGATTTCACGAACCGTTGCTATGGCTTGCGGTCGGAAGCGAACCATGGTGAACCAAGAGCCATTACCGAGAAACATTCTGCTAGGAGCGTGCTTCTTTTTCGACAAGAATGACAATGATCGGAAAACCGCAAAGCGCCTTTTTACCACTATCTGCAGCGACCTGACAACGAACCTCCCCGATATCAAGAGTGATGTCTGTGATTGTATATCTGCCCACCCGCACATCGGCAGTGAATCTATCAGTAACCAATGGAGGCGCCTCATTCTTGACCCGCTTGTGCTGCTAGATAAAAATAGCTTGGTACAACTCACTTTGGTCATCGTGATCGACGCTCTTGATGAATGTGAGGATGATGAAGACATCGACAGCATTATTCAACTCTTCAACCAGGTGGACATGCTCAGTACCATCTCGCTGCGGCTGTTGCTCACGAGTAGACCAGAGATACGTATCCAGTCAAGCTTCAATAGCATTTCAAATGATCCACGGTCTGCTTTCCAGAAAAATGAGCTGCAGAAAGTCAATGTTGTCAACATTGATGACGATGACATCACAAAATTTGTCAGCTTTGAGCTGGATCGGATTGCACAGAAACACAATATGGGAAAGGACTGGCCCGGGAAAGAGCAAATCAAAAAGCTTGCGGAAAAATCAGATGGGCTCTTTATTTATGCAGCGACGGCATGCCGATTTCTGAGTAGCTCACGCTTGGCCAAGAATGAACGTGAACGACGCTTGCAAATGATTTTTGAAGGCAAATGTGATGAGTCAACCCCACAGCACAGTCTAGACTTGATTTACACCCAGATCCTCCAAATCTCAGTCATCGGTGAGGCCTTAGATGAAGAGAAAGAAGAAAGGTGTCGCCTATTTCAAAAGGTTGTTGGAGCACTCATCACCTTATTCACGCCTCTCTGCATCGAAGATATTTCCAAATTACTCGCGGAGAACAAGTCCGATATTGAATCAATCTTTCAGCGGCTTCATTCAGCAATATCAGGCGGGGAAGACAGAGCTTCCCCTGTTCGTTTACTTCATTTATCCTTCCGCGATTTCTTGCTTGATGATCAAAGATGCTTAGCTCAGAGCTTCTTGATTTCTCAGAGAGACGTGCATGATTTACTACTGACGGATTGTCTTCACGTTTTATCGGCTACCTTGAAACAGAATATCTGTTCTTTCTCGGATGAATCTACTCTCGCTGCGGATATTGAACCTGCTCAGTTGGAATCACATCTTCCGCATCATGTCCAGTATGCATGCCTGCATTGGGTCGGCCATCTCCAAGGAGCCATGAGAGAGTCTCTTGATGGAGATGAAGTGTTCAAATTTTTGACCGCCCACCTCCTCCACTGGCTCGAGGCTCTCTGTCTCATGGGTAAATTTTCGGAAGGCGTGAGTCAGGTTTTAGCCTTATCCAAATATATGAATGATCTTCCTGTGAGTACTGGACATTATTCTGGATCATCTTCTGCATCTCGCTCACTCAAATAAATCAATCAGCCAAGCGGTAGACAGGAGCTACGTCTACTGACTCACGATCTGAGACGTTTCGTATTATCCTTCAGAGCCATGATTGAGGAATCACCTCTCCAGCTCTACGTGTCATCCCTCGCATACTGCCCAGAAAACAGCTATGTTCGAAAGTATTTTAGCCACGTCATCCCCAAGTCAATCATCCGACCTCCGAAGGTCAGAAAAGGATGGGATTCGTGCCAACAAACTCTTTACGTTGCTGCACGACATAAAAATCTTTGTTTCTCTCCCGATGGCAAACTGGTTGCGATCTGCACAGTGCATATCTGGGAGACCGCGACAGGATCACTGGTCAAAACTTTTGACACCTTGGAGAAGGGCTGCTTGGTTGAATTCTCTTCTGATGGAAAGCAGATCATCTGCTTATTGAAGGATGCCACTGTCAAAGTATGGAATGTGGCTACCGGTATTCTGGTTAAGGAGATACAAGGCCATCCGGACAGCTCTTTTGTGCCCATTCTGGGTTTATTTTCCTCTGACAAATCTTTGGCCGTCTTCGCCGACTCCAGAGGAACAATTCAGATTCTGGGCTTGGAGAATGAGGAAACAAAGATACCTATTAAAGCCTATACTGAGCAAGACAGTTCCGAAAAAATGGTTCTTGCTTTATCACCGGACGGGACAACTCTGGCGACTGGCTACGAGGATGGAAAACTTGAGTTTTGGTGTACCCTCACTGGAAATGTGCGACATGGGGTTGACTTCACATTTTCCGCTCATGGTCCATTTTCTGATCGTGGGAAATACGCAAACGGTCGATTTTCACTGGACGGTACGAAATTTGGCTTGACATGCGGTGTTGGTATTCTACATGTTTGGGATACTGCGAAGGGAGTTCTATTGAAGCAGATCAATGATGATTGTTTGGATTTGATATTTTTACCAGACGGTCGCCTCCTCACGGCAGACTCCAGAGAAGTCAGGATCTGGGACTTGGAGCCTGGCGCAATAGTTGAAAGATTTCCGGTTTCGTTTGGAAGCGAAATCTCTTTGAGGCTGTCGGCTAATGGCAACCTGTCCTCTGTCGAAGCACCATGCATGTGGGGGGCCTGGTGTTCAGGGGGTCATTCAGGCATTAATGTCTTGAACTTGGTCACTGGACTATCGACGGCCCTGAACGGACACACAAGTAGGGTCAATGATCTGGTGTTTTCCCATGATGGCATGATGGCATCGGCAGCTTCCGACGGCACCGTTCGGCTCTGGGATTTGACTCTGCCATCAACCTTGGAACAAGCCGATAAGGAGAAATATTCGATCCGAGATGTGATTACATCGCCCTGCAATGATGCTGCGCTTATAGATCTCTTTGGCCAGGCCCTTCTGTGGGATGCCAAAACCGGGACCATCAAAAAAGCAATTGATGGATATGGATTGTGGTCTTTCTCGCCTGATGGTCGGTTATTTTTCCGCAAGATCGATAATAACCACCAAGTATGGAGTAGAGATACCTGTGAGCTGCTCCGTGAACTCCCGATTCAATCGCCTGGTATGCGTTGGCAAGATGTGGCGTTCAGTCCAGATGGCCAGCTCCTAGCAACCAGACTTGGGATTTGGGAAATATCCACGGGGGAACATTTGCATACTTTTTCGGCCGTGACCGAGGTCTTACACGGGGACAAACTTTTCCCCAGTTTTGGCGACTATGGAAAACGCGTAGAATTTTCCCCAGATGGCAGACTTTTGGCGATTCGCCTCAACGGGGAAAGCAATGCAGATCACAAGACGGCCGTTCTTGAAATATGGAACGTCACCCCATGGAAACGCTTGGCCGTTCGAGTGATTTCTGTCGACTCCATGGCAAGACCTGACTATATGGGTTTCACTCCCGATAGGAAATCCCTGGCCATTGGAGGTTATTGCATGGGTTTACAACTTTGGAACTTTACGAGCGATCGAGTCACGATCCCTTGCACCCCCGGCTGGTCCGTAGAGGCCATAGCATTTTCTCCCGATAGCAAACGACTAGCATTTTGGCGCAGCGATTGGAAATTTGGACTTTATGATCTGGCTACGGGAACTTTGACCACCAAGAAGACAGATTTTTGTAATCACTGGCCTGGTATCGGGAGGGTTCAACTGTACTTTTCAGAAGACAGTGCTATGCTAGACACGTCCTTTGGTCGAATAGACGTCGATGCGTTTTTCCACGGGACGAATTCAACAAACAGCGCCGCGATGTTTGTAGACAACAATTGGGTTATGCAGGGATCAAAACGGGTTTTTTGCTTCCCCCGGAGGATCCAGTGGAGAATGCAGCAGCCCTCATGGACACACTGATCGTGAAGCATCGATCAGGTCGGTGCGATATTCTTGGGTTTGAAAGCAACTCGCTCCAATACACTAGGGACAGGTAGCATCCCAAAGGATATAATCATTCGTCTAAATCCATTCCCTGTCGTGCGAATGATCTTGATAGCCGGGTCCGCAGGGCCGGTCCGGGCTAGTAGACTAGATCCAAGGGTGCACTTCTAGGTATGAGCCAAAATAGATGAGACCAAAAGTAGAATGGCTCATTTCTGTGAGAAGACTTGAGGTAGAAACTAAGACTCGTTTATCGAATGCAGAGCCGAGGCTATTGTTCTAGTGAAGCTATTTGCCATGTTCATCGATAGACGGCATTCCTCTCCATTATAGATTAACATAGCTGTCCATTCTAGCAGCATCATCACTCATAAGCTCCTCAAATGACCGGATTATTCCATCAGCCAAGATTCCCAAAGAAGGAGATAGGGTTAGTACATCATTAGCTGGAAAGTAAAGTATACAAACGCCGTAGTGATTTTCACCGCATAAATATTCACCAAGAGAGGTATATACCTCTAGCAAAACGCCCAGACACCACTCGGTAAATAATGCGACCCAAGCTATACAGCGATAGTTTCTAATAACCACCCTTTTTGCTTTTGCATCTCCAATTCGATAGAGCTTCCTGAAAGCAGCTATCAATTTTGCGATTCCATCAGGATCAGACAAAGCTACAGGCTCGTTTATATTACTCGTAAGATCAAGCACAGTGAGCAATAACCGATAATAAATTCTGGAATTCCAGGCTAAGGTAAGGTCTAAGAAGCATACAGCAGTGCATCGCGGCTCAAGTAGGGCAAGCAGATCTCTAAGTAATTAAGGTTCGAGAACAATATGGCTATTATTAGACGCTTTAAAATAGCATCTGCCATCTAATCTTCCAGATAACGCTTTGCAGCGGAATCCTCCATAGAACATAACAGGGCCGCCGGTAAGCTTTAGAAATCTTAAACCATCCTAGGACTGACTGAACTTAGACGCACAGTCATTTATCGGACATCCAGCAAAGGCCTTCAAATTTTTGATTCTCTGCGTTTCCAGCGGCGGAAGAACCTTGTTTTGGATAACTCCCATCGTTGCATCGGACATGGGTATTATATTTCCGGGTCGTTACCAAGCCCGAAAACCATATAGCTGGACTCGGTCGACCATGCCCGCGATTAGAGCACCCATTGTTAGAGAAACCAGGCCTCCAGTCGAGCCGATATTCCACGTAGCATTCAGCAGGCCACTCATTGTACGGGATGAAAATAGAATGTAACAGTTTTGCAATAAGGGATTTTTCCCCACAGAGGACAGGCAACACAGGTGTCCGAGAAGGGCTCTGGTGAGATCACAATGAAACGGAGAAAGAGAAGGAAGTCTGACGGTCGGGCTGACACTCGTACAGAAAAGGGGTGCAATGCCTGTGCTGCGGTCAGGCTGTGGTTCCGAAGGCCCTAGGTACTCGGAAAGAAGCCATGTAGCTCTCAAAGCGGCTATGAACTGTACACTACCTGCAACCTTGATAGGTGATCCGGATGATGAGCGACGCTATTGCTCACTGTCAGCAGTTTCACATTTCCAGGCAACATCAATTCACAATGTACATGATATTTACAGATATTATGAAGAGGCTGTGCTTCTAACACACCCACGTGTGATTTGTTGTCAGTAGCAAATTTGCTCGCTGATTGGTGAGTACCAAGCCTGGTAGGATCGAATGATGCAGTATGATCGAGTCCAACAACGCAGGTCTTCGATTCCACGTTTTCACATCGAGCTGAAATTACCATTCGAGATTCTGTGTGCATTTGCCGTGACCTCGCTCATGCCTCAGGTGGATCAGGAATCTAGTGATATTCTGTACCCTTCGGAAGGCAGGAAATGAACGACTCCCCCTAACACCCCACCTGCCTCCATCTTCAAAAACGACCCAAATTGCTATTATCATATTCTTTACTATGCTTGAGGGTGTTGGCCTATGGTCAACTCTTGACTACATACCATCAGAGAGCCGAGGTGGCAGCACATTCCATCTGTTTTCAAGCTGAAGCGACCTACCAAAGCCAACTACTGATGCGATCTCTCCACCTCGGTCAGCATCTGGCTTGTCCGTCGCTACCTCGCTCGCGTCTACTTCACCAGCCTCTACTTTACAATTGATCAAGTTCCCCAAAAATACGTTTTCCGGGCCTGAGTTGCCCCTGCCACCTCACTGAAAATGGGATGTCAATGCCCAGGCTAACTGAGACTCCAGTCGACCTACGGCAGCTCAGGGCAAGGGTGACCAATATATCCCCCAGTCGTGTCGTTCAGCCAGCTGGAGGGTTCTGCAATGGAAGTGTCCACAGCGCACGACCCCCAACATGTATGTCACACCAGCAAGAGCCGGTTGTTGTAGGCTAACCCCAACCTTTGTCGTCTAGCCTCCGCCATTCCACAGTAGAATTCAATGAGTATGAATCCAGCTAGAGGTCACTAGGTGATAGTGCTAGTGCTGTATGGGAACTGACAAGATAGTATCCTTTGACTGACAGTGTTAAACAATATGCCTCAGTCAAATCTCCTCCGCCTATCTGACAGAATTGTGTTGCTTCCCTCCACGCCATGGCATCCCACAATGCCCTTGACAGCCCTGACTCCTATAATCGCCTGGATCGCCGCTCTTTCCATCGAGCAAGCCGATGCAGAAGCGATGCTCGATGAACAACATGCAGCTCCAACCGGCTTCACTCGACACCACAAAGGACTCTCTACACGGGGCAGGACAAGCACCCAATAATTAGAGGGTCCGTTAGGCAATATTTGATTTAGCACTAGCGGGTCAATACCTACCATAACCCCGTAGGAAACAACATGACAACGCACGAATCAACAGGGCCAAGATCATGAATCCTTTTCCTCGGACAATGGAGCCACAGGCCCTTCACAGTGGGGGCATATCCAGGAGAATAAAGAGGTTGCCAGTCCAATCCAGGGGTCATTTGTGAAGTACCCCATGAGTTCGGCCATGGGAGAGCGCTTCAAATTCTGGTGATTTCTATAGGAGCGAGCCATTCGTTTCTGTACCTCTTCTTTGATCAGAACTTTGTGGCGTCCTTGGAGAAGAGGGAACTAATACCAGACTAGAAGGTTGTAATAGCCACGGTGAATCGATCCAAATCAGAGTCGGAATACTGCTTAATAAATCATACAGCGCACCGATTGGATGCAACAAGTCTGAATTGCTATAATGCCCCTAGCTGGCAATTCAGGTGGGCATAATCATTACTAAGGGCGGATCTATTGTATTTCCTCCTGGTGTTCTGCACTCATCCTGCTGTGTTCTGACAACCAGTTCAGGCCACCCGAAAAGTAAAGTTGGGACTGGGACATGAGCATAAAGAAAGGAAAGTCTGGCCAAGGGGCCATCAGGGTGTTCGGGTGAAGAATAGGGGAGCTTCAGGGCCTGAATGGTAAAGCGTCAAGAGCAAATGTCCTGACGAATGGCAAAAAAGAGTGAAGACGAACATACAACAACAGCCAGGATTCGCATGTGGTCACCCACCATACTACTAACTGGCCGGCGTGTGGCTTATGTGCGGCAGATAGTCGGGTGGCTGCCGCCCGGGTGAGAAGTGGCTGAGCGCCGCTTTAAGGTCGCGCGACAGGGGTGAGAGGGTGAGTACGCAATAGACAGGGTGAGAATCTGGGTGAGAGCGGGTGATTCTCGCCCTCCGTCGTGCGACCCCGCACTGACCCTCTCACCTGAGCTCAGATATAGCGTGATTGGTTCATCTTTGCCGTTCTGAAATCGCGCTCTCGGCACCTGCACGTACCATCGAGTTTCCTACCCAGGATTGGCCACATTAACGGCGAGGCTGACTTGAATATTGCCTTGCCCTCTGTGATCCCTTGTTCCTTGAATTCAAAGCATGCGGGGTTCGGGAGAATGGACGTCAAACTGTGTGCATTACAGTATGAGGGGCAGGCTTGAGATATTTGGGATTCCCGAGGGAAACACTTTCGCCGCAAAACAAGTTCGTACCCTCTGCTGATTTTGAGGTAATCAACAGTGTGAAGGGCTGTAGCAAATTGATTCAATAGTACTAGGCCAACATGCAGTTTATAAAAACCTTGAAGGAAGGAAAAGAATCGTTCCCGTTTCAGTGGGAAAACGGGATGAGTCCTTTTGCTGAAACCTGGCGGACCTACCGATCTGATCAGATGGAGAGCACCTGCACTGTCGACCCACATACCTTGCAAGTATTACCCCATCATCACTCGAATAACACCATCTGCCCGCCCATTCTAGCATCTGTGGGTAAGGAAAAACGTGTAGTTTCAGATCTCAAGAAATCATTGTTTGGCAAAAGACTGCCTTACTTGCTGTAATTGTTTTTTTGCGTTGACGACTTCTCATATAGCATGTCGCTCGGCTTACGAGAATTATTTGACCGTGATCCGTTATTATAGGTGCAACGTAAGGTATATAACAAATAAAAAAACTTCAATTCTGCAATCTCGATCTATAAATCCTGTTTGAAAGTCTTTAGGATCTCGCAAATTTGCACATGGACCCTTCTTAGATGCTGCTTCTAGTGCAGAACCATATTTACCACCACTTACCATAGGGTCTGCTCCCTTGTCAAGCAACTGTTCCACGATATAGCTGCAGCCCCTTGCACTAGCAGCTTGTAAAGCGTTACCGTAATGCCCACCCTGAATATTAAAATCGGCTCCATGGTGCAGGAGTATCTGAAAAATGTCTTCATGGGCCCAGTAGGCTGCAGCCTGGAGAGCTTCCCCTCCTGTACGGAGTACTTCAGTAACATTAAGAAGAGGCATCCACGCACAGCCCCCGCCCCCGCCCCCCCCCCCCAATCCTAAGCACAGCCTCTCTCATCTGAAAGCACCTATATATGCCTTCTTAAAACCTTTGGAGTAATATTTCTTCCACTCCTTCAATTTAAAATTTTTATCATTCTCACCATGTCGGTCCCCCTAGGATTTGATAATATTCTGTTTATTCTGAGGAGTTGTCGTTCCGGGTTTCGATTCCTAGCATCCCCTTTTCGACAAAATCGAGGAACGAACCAGAGCGAAAGTAAAAATTCGACTGCGCTTTTTGGCTAATTTTGAGGTGTTCTATTTTCCTAATATCACGTAAGTTGCGTCGAGACCAAAAATGGAATTCCTGGAGAAGCTCACAGACGTCTAGATGATTCTTATCAAAGAGTGAGGCGTTGGGTATTGCAAAGGGGATCCTCGCAGCGGCTCTCATCCTATATGGCTTCGGCAAAATGCGGCATAAAGACATGGGCTTCGGCATGATGGCAGGAGGACTATGTTAATTTGTCACGAAATGTGACAGCCGATCGTCTATTGCTGTGTTCATTGGGGGACTTAACATAAGCATTTCTTATCAGTATCCGGCTCGCATTTGGCGATTCATATCCTCTGCCATCAAATCTCGTCGAATGAACGCCATTATGGTTCTTTCCCTTCCTTCATGAGTCGTCCTTGCATATTCCTCTTTGAAATCGGTTCTACCATGATCGTGTGTCCTGTTCGTTGGTTGTATTAGTTGCGCTACGCGAGTAGATCATTACCAATAGATAGGTTCCGTGTAGGAATGGCAACTGGCGAAAGGACGTTGTTTGTTTGCTTGTTTACGTAATAGTGCGACCATTCTCATCTTCTCCTTTTTCCCTTCCCACTCTCTAGACTTGATTCCTTCCATAGCCGTACCGAATTGATGCTTTTTGGTTCTCTTTGCTTGGGGCGTAACACTTAATAGGACATATTAATGCCTAGGGAAGTGTAATACGTGTTACCGCCTAAGTTATCTACAGTAGCACCCGTTATGGCCGTGAGGATAAGCCTATACTTTCGACCTAGAGCTTCTAGCGTAGCTTTAATAGCATTAGTTATCTAGGTTTTACTTATGCCACCCTTAGCAGGGATTTTATAGCCGTAGGTTTAGGCCACTTGCTCGGGCGCAGACTACGCACGAGCGACAGAGGTATTCTCTCCACGACCCCCTTTCTTTTCTTCAAGGTGGAAGAGAAAATATTCCCTCTTTGGCTGGATACTCACTCTACAATACTCAGCTCACGACGTTGATTGATATTGAAGCTCGGTCGGTTCTGTTGCGATCGACAGGGTCACCCAGCACTCCAAATTCCCAGCGAACAGAATGGGCGATTCACATTCATGTAGCTGGCACGGGGGTTAGGCTCCATATATCGCGGAAGGACCCCCTCTCTTTTGTGCAGCGTCTGCTTTGAATGAAACAGGCCCGAGGGCTGTTGGAAGAGTATCCAAATGACACCATTATTGCGTTCCATGTCGATTAACATAGAAAGGCTATTTCATACCCTTGCTACATGATACCCTAAACTTAATATAGTTGGCATTTAAGATCCTGTTCGAGATTTGAATGGTATAATATTAAACGCGTAAAAACAGATTAAGATGTATATTCATGTATTGTTCTATACCCAAAAATCAACCACGCCCAACTCAAGGAATAACACCCTTGCACGCAGTAAACTGCAGTAAACTCGACTTCTAGTAGCGTGAGATCATGGTCTGTCTGGTACAAAGCGGACATAAGGTCATTACATCTCAAATAACCAAGGTGTGAAATATACCGTAGATGTCGAAATTGGTGTCAATGCTTACAAACTTCAATTTGATTCGTGTACCGCAGTTACGAGAGAGATACCCTAATAAGACTTATTGTAGTACCGGTTTAAAAAACGGTTCACTTGAATTTTAAGTTAGTATGCGTAGGATGATGTGGATTATAGAGATCTGTAGGTCGCGGACCTAGCTACGTAGGTCCGAGCCTAACCGTAATGTGTAGGTGGTCTATACTATCTCAGGGCGACGAAACAAGAGCATCAAAGCAGTCCCCAACATGCTCTATCATCATTAATATAGTAGAATATTCTTAAAATTATTGAAAGATTAATGTCTATTAACCATATGATCAATTTATGCTGGCTCAAAATTTCTACAGGGGGGCAAAGAATAAAAAAGTGAAGTATAAATCTAGGGGATTTGTCTTCTCTCGAGTTACATCGGATCCAATGCTCGACACATGATATGCGAGTAAGAGAGCTATAGATTTCGAGTTCAATCTACGTTAATGTAAAGTAGGGAAAGCGGAAACGTAAAAGTGAATGAATAGAAGGCCAACTGCGGGTTAGACTTCGTTTAGCAACGGATGCTGACGATGACCGGAAGCCCTAACCACAATTTTCGCACTTTCGAGGATATTTCTCTTGCTGTTGCCTCTGATTTCCTGTCCCAAGAAGGCCCCATGGGTGTCCTCAAACTCGAGGTCTTTGATGGCGTTCCATATACCATGTATCTCGTCCGGGGAAAGAGGAATCTGTAACATAATAAGCTAAGTATCAAGCGCTGGAAAGCATCATGACTAACGTAATTTGGATAGGACCACATAAATGTAAAGGAAGAGGTGCCAGGGAGGCGATCAACATGGTACAGTCCACTCGGAACAATGAGAATCGTGTCGGCAATGAGCAGCTTCTTGGCCGACTTCCACCATAGAACGGAACTGCCGGGAAAATGACCTCCCGTCTTAATGACCATCAGATCTGATGTAGGGCGATTTTCAGAGGAACTGTGAGAGCACAGAAGAGGGAGCCTTTCTCCTTTCCAAATTTTTAGTCTGTGGCCGTCACCCCTGTTCCCAAGCCACTGTTCGTCCTCTGCAGAAACAAACAGATCACAGTTAAAGACCTCAGCCCATTGGATACTAGTAGAGAAGTAGTGCGGATGGGAAATAACAATGGCCTGGATTCCGCCCAGTGAGTTCACCCGTTTAACCGTATCCTCGTCGAGATAAGTAATACAGTCCCACAGAACATTACCAGAAGTGGAATCACCGAGACAAAGGAAGGCCCTTTGACCGATAGCTAGCTTTGGGGTAGTATGTATAGTAATCAAGTTAGGGTTGTCTGGGTCGGTGGAGAAGACGTTGCGATAATTCTCCATCGATGAGTGCAAGCTTCTGAGGGATGTCCACGACTGGCTGAGCTTCGCGTCAGCTCCAAGTTAGAAAGTGGGAAAAAAGGGAGGTTTACCCGGTTGGAGGTACATATTGACGCGGGTCGTCACAGATCTTGCATGAGTTCAATCCTGCACTAACGTCGTATTGAACGCCACAAGTAGAGCAGATCAAGAGATCTAGAGTTGAAAATCCCATTTCTGAAGGGTATTAATGGCAGGACAATACTCGTAACTCGTAGAAAGATATCGTAACCTACAGCTGCTTGGGTGGGTAGGCGATGAGCTGCTCATTTATAAAATGGCTGACGTCGGTTGTCTCAGTCAAGCCACGTGATATCTAAGGGTAGCTTACGAACTGGCCAAGTCCAGGCCTGCGGCCGGCTTACGGATTCGCCGAGTCCAGCTTTGAACAGGAGCTTATTATTAGCTATGCACAATATGAGCAGTGCCAATTTTTATTCTTGTCTTCTCGTATCGGCCTGCCGAGGTGACCACCGAGTCACCGACCAAGCTACCGTAGTCGCAGAAAACTTTAGCAAAGCCTCGGTTCTACGAGTCTTGTCGCCGAAGGTGACCCAGGCGACCGTCCTATCATACCTATTGCTGAATAAATGTATCACGTTCTCACAAAACCTCTATTAAAAAATTGACTAAGCGAACAGCCAGTTCAATCGCTGCCTTGCTTGCTGGATGTGCTTGAGAACTTTCAGTTTAGAGAACTTCTGGAACTTCCAGAAGTTCCAGTCTTCTCTTCAGGATCTGGAATCTTTTATACTGGTATTGTAAAAGGGCGGTGTTATTGCTTGGGAGGTACAAAATATGCGCTTAACGCAATATATTTCCACCGGAATTAGCGCACTATATGATTAGGGTTTGAAAGAGTATCTCTGTTTCAGATATGAGGCGATGACGGGCACCCCTATATCGCCGGAAATATTCGAGTCTATTATAATTCAGTCTTCTAAATAACCCGGTCTGGATCTCTCGAACAATACTCGTAGCTATTAACGAGATATAGACTGAGTCACCTCCCTCGGCTCTGTTAGCTACCTCTGTGTATAGCTCCAGACACCCTTCCGCAACCCAAGGTAGTTACTATTTCTTTCTCTTCATACAACGATAATAAAGTCGGATATCTCCCCTATGTCGACACGTTAGCTTTGCTTTCAGGGTATATCTTCATCGGGATCTTCTTACCGTTCTCAATCTCTACTAGGAGCCTAGCGAATGAAAAACGAGCTAGGTTGCTAGGTCGTCCTATACCGAGTAAGCCAGGGAATCAAGGACAAGAAAAATTCGGCCTCAGCGAAATATATAGTACGCGGTTACTGGTATGGGCACCAGCAGAGCGTAGAAGTATATTTGTTAAGGTTGCCAACTGCATAAGGCTAATCCAAGGTCCCGTCGAAGAAGTCTATCAGATATCTCGTAAGCGAAAGAGCTAGAGTCGCCTCCTCCCGAGACGTGACTTTCTCGATTGCTGCTCCTTTTAGGTAGTCTTGAGGAGTGATCTGACTGAAAGCATTTTTGATCGGGCCGTTCACCGATGGACTCAGCGTCAAGTTTCACTAAATTCGAGTATTAGATATTTAAACGTAGTTACTAGTGTTCTGGTCGGTGGTATCGCCAAAAAAAAGATCAGCGGTAAGATTCAACTAGATAGAATCTGGTTGGGATTTCTGTCTCCAAGCTAGACACTTTAGCTGCCTCTCTTTCGAAAGGTCTTGCTAGAGATCTGTCTAGAGTCTTTCTCAATCGTCTTTCTAAGCCGGTTTAGAATCGTCTCTGACACTCTTTCTTTGAATTTCGATTCTAAAGGTCCGTTCTAGCTTTGTCTTTTCGAGCGGGATCGGTCGAATTGGTAGTCGCCATGCCGAGATGGTGTTATCACTCGTGGAATCGTATGAGACGGCGCTAATCGGTGCTGTTGTAGGTAAAACCTGACACTAGGAGATAAGCTTGCATCGAAGTCTCAGTTATGCACTTCAGATCGCCCAGAGTGGCCTGGATTTTCGCTTCCACGGCGTATATGGAGATCGAGAACGCAAAGGCCTTATTGGTCCAGATTGTCTTGGTTATTTTCCATACTCTCTCCCTGGGCCATCATTGCTTCCCATTCTTGGTGCAAATGAGGAAGCCCCTCTATAATGTATGTGGAATTTCAGAGGGGGCACAAACCCTTCGTGATGACACGTAATTCGTACATAGTCGTGAAAAATGGCACGTAAGGCTTTGTCGATGATGCGAAGAGCATCACTACCACCGAGGCAAACCAGTTCAGCTCGACATCAGGACAAGAAAAGTGGAAAAAAGATGACAGAGGCATGCATTTAGAATGATGCAAAACCTCAGAATAAGAATCTAAATGACAACGAGTGGAGTATCGTCTGAAACCGTGGGTCTTTTCCTGGTTGCTCGAGTTGTTCACCCGCTGGGTAAGTCTCTTTTGGACGTCTTTTCTTCGAATGGTAGAGTGCCAAGGGAAAAAAGAACAGCAGATCGTATATGTGCCCTGGGCTTATATTTATGGCACAGAGTCAAGTAAAAAAGGGAAAGTGGGCGGCCTGAGTGAACTGGGTGAGAATCTTTGCTCTGTTCTCACCCACTCTCACCCCGTTCTCACCTATATCACCCACACTCACCCTAAGATCAATCCGACGCCATTTTAGAGCTCAGGGCGCACTGAGAATTTACTGCCTGAGCGGACGGGAAGCCCTGTTCTCCACACCCTATGGTCGTATGTGCCAGAAGATCTATGTTGTGAATCGTCGATTGGAGCTGCTTTAGCGTCACGCGACAAGGAGTGAGTAGAGTGAGTGCGCAATAGACGGGGTGAGAGCGGGCGATGCTCACCCTCCGTCGCGCGACCACCGCCCTGACCCTATTTAGCTGTGCTCAGAAACAGTGTTATTGGCTTACCTTGGCCTGGCTGGAACCGCGGTTTGTTAGCACATGCATATACCGTCGAATCCCAACCTGGGATTGGCCGAATGGACGGCGAGGCTGACTTCAACGTCGCCTTGGGCTGAAGTCGTTTGCTTGGTGTCCAAGCCACCAACAATGTGGATATCAATCAACATCCTGTACGACGTAACATAATTTCACGATTGACAAATTCACATTAAGTAGCAATACTGGTGTTGGCATCTTCTTCCTGCTTGTGGTAGAGCACTACTATGTGGCCCGTACTAGGTCGTGTGCCACTAATCATGTTTGATTATAGAACGACTGGTACAAAGTAGAAGGGCCCTGACGATGATGGGGCCTCGTCTGACTTATTTAATTCAAACCCCCTAAATCTTCTCTCCTCAGAATACAAAACAGGCTATCTACTCTAAGCTTAAAGCTTAGCATATCCCACCATCAACACCACTTCAGACATTTTCCTCTACATGGGCGTGTGGGTACCATCTCTTGTCAATTTTGCGATCTGCTTGAGATTTCTCCCCTGAAGGCTATATCAATCGTGATATGACCGACAGCAGGTCACCGACCGGTACGTCGCGACCACGAGTCCGAAAAGCTTGGTTACACCTCAATAAGATGTTAATTGTTTTTTCTCTGGAATAAGGGTTATACTCTTTTTATAATCTCAAACAATAGAAGACCAGGCTTTGCTAGAGGTTGGTCTAAGAAGCCGCCCAGCAATATGCTACCGGGATTTGCGGGAGCTTGATTTAGAAATACGAATAATTGGGCTAAAATTTCCCTAATCATGTGTAGAGCTTATAGAATGCCTTGAGAAATGCCCAGCTACAGCCCATGTCACAGCCTAGCAAGGTTGTTTTTTCTTTGCTTATCTAGATCGAAACGAGCTGTGCAGATGCCCAAATGAGGCTGAGCGGCGTTAGGCAGCTTGGAGCTATTTATTAAGCGCCCACAAGATGGAAAGCCTTCTGGGTTTGTTTGAGCATTTTCTCTTGACTTCCACTCTATGGAGACCCTCATCAAGTCTCGTCATCCGTCGCTGCACTATTTCCAATGGCGCAAAGGCTTTTCTATTCGCCAGGTAACTCTCTACCATGGCCAAGATAATCGATTGCGAGTTCCCACTGGCGGATCAGTGATTGAGGAATTCTTTCAGAGCTTCAACCCGGATCTATCGCGGCCGCGCCGCCATGAATTGCTGAAACTTTTTCTTGAACAGACTGGGGCACTGCATTCATTCCCAGATGTAATCATGGGCCATACATCCCCAGCGGACAGACGTGTGCTTGCCATGATTGATGACCGGTGCGACCCATACCTGAAAATCACGAACATGCCAGAAAGTGCGGCTTTCTTGCCTATTCGAAAATGGGAGTCCGAAGAGTACATGCGACGACCGCCTGGGGGATTGCATGTTCGTGTTTGCGGGGTAGATGCAGAGATGTTCTACACCCATCTTCATCAGGATGTAAATTTCTTTTTCATCTAGAGCAAGTTTCTTCTTTACTGATAAGCCCAGAGAACAGGTCGTGCAGAGCGCCGAATCATGTATGTCTTCCTTATGATCTACGAACAGTAGCTGATCGAAAAAGATATTTTGTTGATTTGACGCCTTTGATGTGCCTCGCCTTGATCTCAAATGTCAATTACATGCACCTTCCCCAGGTGCAGTCTTTTTTTGTCACGATACGTGGTATTTGACTCGTATATGGGGGTCTCGCAGGTTTTCTCTCACTATGCAGGATGAAGCTGAAGAATTGCTGACAAAATTCTAGATTCGAGGGTTTACTCTGGAATTTCATTTGCCACATTACGCGCTCCGGCGAGATGATTACCAGCTCCATGACAGTCGGCGAATCCGGAAACACCGTCTCTTTCGCCTCTCCGGCCAGGACGCTATCTATGAGGTACAACTATCGCTGATCGTATATGGGGTCGATGACTTTTTCTGGACAGCCTGTTTCTGCGATGAGGTATACTTTCGAGCAAGTAACCCGATTAATAGGTACCTCCAGGATGAGGTCGACGGGCCATCGTCGGGTCTGCGCATGAGTAGGTTTCCTATTTGGGACCCAAGATATTATTTCCTTTCCATTCTGGTCATTCGTATGAGTCAGATCGCGATGGAATGGGCAGTATTGACGGAGGTCATTACCGGACATCTCGACAAGCACATACATACACACTCTCCAGCCCAAGACCTGAAAGGTCCCATATTGCCGACTGGCGACGACTGCGCCACCACATGTTGCGGGGGATAGACCTCTAGTGCGGGTTATCAAAACCAGCTTCGTCATAGACGGTCATGTCAGTGACGATGCCTTGGTTGAGATCGCATCGGGAAAGTTCTTGCTGGACAACGGCTGTCGCAGACTCGGAGAGGGGGGTAAATTCACTAGCGGGTCGGGTGATGATCGGCCCTTCAGTGAGGTGAGAGAGAATTCCTGGGCTGAGGGTAGGCCACTCTACTCTTCGGTGGCAGGAGACGTTGCGAGGGTCGATCTTGAGATCGACCATGCCATGGAAGATCGGCCTCTCTATGGACCAGGGAGGGGTATCGATGTCTTCCGAGTGCCAAAACTGGGGTTCAACAATTAGCGCGCCTGGAGTGATGTCGTGCGTGAGTTGTTCGCGTAGAAAATCTTCATGCTCTTGGACGGTCCAAGCCAGGCGAGTCTCACGAGGGGGGTAGCCTGGGATCTCGATGTTTCCTATTACGGTACATTCCGCTAGCGCTATAGATATATTGGATCCATTATACCATTCTGTACTCGTAAGGTACGTTTCTAATTAGTCTTGGCGTAGTAGCGTTATTAGAGTTTCTTGTAGTGCCATAAGCATGATCCTAGTTGAATGATATTCTGCTTGAGTAACTCTTGCTAGTGGATCAAGACTCTAGAAATTAAGTCTAACCTATCATAGACTATCTGATACCGAGGGCAAAGTCCTTCAAAAGAACACCCTCTACAAATTACAAATATAAGGCATCTTCCCCACAAACTTGTCCTCAATAACCTCATCCAACACCCACCCAGCCACACTCGCCCGACTAATCCACATCACATCCTTCCCACTCCCCAAATGCGTCGCCTCAACCTGCGCTTCCTCGCCATTCGTCAAAAGCGCAACCCGGAACAACGTCCATCGAATACCTTCCTCACTCGATAATGAGGACACGAATTCTCCAACGCTGATCATCTCCGCGTATTGACTGCGACTAAACGTTTTGAGTGTCCAGTGACTCAGGTGCCATTTGAAGGAGACTTGATCTTCGGGTCCATGGAAGGAGGCGGTGCATAGGATGAGGATGCGTTTGATATTTTGGGAGATTAGTTTTGGGATGAGGGATTTGTAGCCTTTCGTCAAGGGCTGGTGAGATGGTCAGCGACCGATATAGCTTGTGTGTGCGTTTAGTTTAGAGAGACTACTCACTGTTCCCTTGTTTCCAACCGGCGGTCCAGCAAATGATACGAATGCATCTGCATCACATTGAGAAACTTGTTCCAATGATGCTTCATCTTCTAGGGTGCCCTCAATGACCGCAACGGAATCATGATCGCGAAGTGGTGCGGGGAGTTTGCTCGGGTTTCGCACGAAGAGGGTGAGTGTATGGCCTGATTCGAGGGCCATCTCACAGAATTGGCTCCCTATAGCACCTATCCATCAACATAGAAGTGCGGTGCTTAGCTCATCAAATCGATTTCCCTCCTAGGATGAAAATGACCGGCGTATACTATACCTGAAGCGCCGAGCACGAGGAAATGCTTATACTCCATAGGTGTCTTGGAGGTGCGAGGTCCAAATATTGCAATTAATTTCCTGCACTTATCTTGCAGATAAGACGCAAGGTGTTATAGAAAGGCAAGATGCATGAGAATCTCTTCATTTGGAATGAGCTGGCTATAACAGAGCGTGGTTGTCGTTGTTTATACTGTGGTTTTATTGGCCCTCAGAGAGCTAGGGCTCCACTTAATACGCTATTTCTACACCAGAAAGAGTAATTTTTACGCCATGGGAGGGCTATACTTCGTATGCAATAACCACATCATTTTCACAGGCCATCCATGGTTTTCCCATGCCAGCAAGTCCAGTAATCAGAAGCGATGAAATTTTACAAGCAGAAAGAAGGAAAATATCAGCTCCAAGTAGGTTTGATTGAAAGCTATGTACAAATTTTACAGCCCATCGCAACAGCAACATATCCCCTTAGGGAGAAGCACCGCACGAATAGGGAAAAAAAGCAAATCACATCGTTTCTCCCGAAGTAGGCTTTGTCTTTTGCCACCTTTTCCTGCTATGCATTAAAAGGACCGCGTATTCCTTCCACGGTCGCAGAGTATACCAGCATATCTTGAGACCCCCAGCTCAAGCAGTTGAAACACAATCATCAAGTAGGGCTTATTCAGACCCCAGAGCCAGTCGGCAGAAAACGTAGAAATAAAAAAAAAGAAAAGTACTAAGCGAAAAGATTTGTGACAGAAAACAAGCACGAAGTGAATAAAAGATTGACCCCGTGCTTCAAAGCGAAATTTTATTCGCAGACGCCCGGTTCATTCTCGAAGTGTGGTTGATGTCGTGTTGAAAGGGTGAGATCGAATGTTGATTATCATATGCATGCAAGTGCCTGCAGGTCCCAAGTGGGTAACACAACAGTATGCACGTTTATGTACCAGTGAAAGCAAGGAAAAGAAGAGATTGACGCGGTTGGAATCCTCGGAAAAATAATTTGGAGGAAACACGGGGTCGAGAAGTTTTCCTCGTATTATGAGCAACAGAAACGGTAAATAAGAAGTCGTCAATTTTTGGAATTATGAGGGGGTCAGCCGAGTCGGACTCATCGGCGCTTGAGCTCGGTGGCGAGGCAGTCCAGAACCTAAGGAAGTTAGTAAAAATCCCACAATTTTAGGCAGCGCGGATACATACAGTCTCTGAGACAGCACCCTGGTTGTACAGGTACTTGGAGAGGCCGCGAACAACATCAAGCTGCTCATCAACAGTCAGGCCATTGATGGCGGTCTCAATAATGTCACCCACGCTCGCCTTATAGATGGCAATGAAGCTGTGGTAGTACATGAAGGCGAAGAAACCCATGATAAACTGGCAGTCCATACGGTCGGTGATACCACCGTGGCCGGGGATAGACTCGCCAAAGTCCTTGATCTTGAAGGTGCGCTTCAGTCCAGAGGCAAAGAAGCCACCGAAAGGAGCGATGAGGGAAGCGAAGGTAGCAAAGGCCAGGATGTGGAATTGCATGGGCGCAATGTAGAGGGTCTTGTCAATGCCAAACACCGCCAGGGACCAGGGCTGAGCAACGAAAACGGGGTTGGGCACGCACTCCAAGCCAGTCAGGACGTTGGCACCGAGGTCGTTGACAGGGCAGATGAAGTACTTGTACTGCATGAGCAGATTGGTCATGAAGTACCCGAAAATGATGGTGCAGATCCAGGCTCCCAGGAAACCCTCAACGGTCTTCTTGGGGGACAGCTGGATCAGCTGAGTGCGACCGAAAGTAATACCGCAGACATAGGCAAAGATATCATTGGTGATGACCAGAGATGCGGGAAGGAAGAACCAGATCATGCCCTCGAAGATGTTGTTCATCACAAAGTGGGCCTGAACCACAATCAGGTACAATGCCATGTGAGTCCAAGCGAACTGGGTGAACTGGAATCGATAGTGGCCCTTCTGCAGGGAACCAACGAAGAACACGAAGCCTGTCATTTCCAGTCAGTAAATGAGGTCAAAATCCAAACTACCGAGGTACAAAACTGACCCATGACGTAGAGAGTGAAGCTAATGAAACGGTGATGCGTCGCCAGGGGAAGAAGAACCTTATCCACCAGCAGAATGTGCTTGAAGTAGTAGATAACGCTCTCTCCGTACAGGAAGTACATTGTCGTCGCGAGGAAATACCAATTCAGGGACTTGGTGAAGCGGAGGTTCTTCTCCTTGCTGGGGACATTGGCGATGGCGATAACTTCTTTGAACGAGACAATCTGAATGGCAGTCACAAGGACGATGATATAGATATGACCGGAGAACAAGGCAACGAAGAAGCCGGCGATCATCACGAAGGTCCATATCGTCCGGGTAATGAAGGTCTGTTTCTTCTTCTCGTATTCGGATTGCTGCGGCTTCTGTGAAAACGGGAGAAAAAGCCACATTAGCCATGCCAAATGCGACAACACAAATCGACAAATTAATACTCACCTCCTCGGGTATCGTAGACGGATGCGAGGCGTTGCCATTTTTGCTTGGGCTGGAGGGCTCCGAGGGGCCATCGCTGACGTCGGAGGACATACTCAGCCGCCGCTCCCCGTTGGACCGGCGCTGGAACCGAACATTACGGCGAGACTTGGACATGATGGCGAAAAAGGAAAAAAGGGGAGGAAGGGGGAGGGGTGAAGAGAGAGTGGAGGGATTTAAGACCAGATCAGAAAGAAGAGGAAGAGTGGAGTTGGCAGGTTCATGAGCTCATGTGAATCCGAAAGCGGTCAGCTCCGTCAACATAAGCGCGGCTTGGGGGAAAAAAGGATGTTTTGGAAAAAAAGAAGGCAACGACAAATAATTTGATCCGTGGAGCTGCGCCTCGCCGAGTCTCCCGTTATTCAAACACCCCAGTCTCGACCAGCCTTAGATCAGCTAAGCCCCAGGATGATCGTGCCCCTGTGAAGCTCAACTTCTCCCCGTTCGCGTCTCCACTTTTCTTCTCCAGTTCACGTATCCCCAGTCGTCCTACCAACACGCCGGTAGCACTATTCATGGCGGGGGCATGGAAGACATTGACGATGATTACTTCTCCGACGACCTCGATTCCCTACCTCCGGGTACGCTGTACGAGCTCGAGCAGAATGCTTTCCAGGCAACGCAGGGTCCAGCAATACATCAGCAACCGAATGCGCCGCTAGCTCCCAACGAGCCCGCCCTCGTGCACGCGAGGCAGCCAGCTACCACCTTGAAGCCACCGCCCCGTCTACATACCGGATTGACGAATGACTATGATACACTCGAGGTGGGAGAGTTGGAGGCCGAGGTTTACGACAATGTGGAGGGTCAACAGGCAATTGCGCAGGCCCCTGCGGTAATGGTCACGGATAACGAATGGCCTACCAATGGTGGCGTGGAGGACATGATGGAGGTTGATCACGAGTATGGCCAAGCGAATGCGTACGAGACGAATGCGCGCATGGAGCAGGTACACTTGACCTTGATGCTTCACCTTGTCCTACATTGCAATGCTAACATGCTTGACCACAGCTCGAACAGGAAAAAGAACAAATGCGACGAGAGTTGGCTGAAGCAAGAATGCTGGCCGAAACAAAAGCCGGAGAGATCGCCATCATCCGGTCGAAACAAGCCCGAATGGCCGAGGAGTATGACCGACAATTAGCTGCCTTGCGAAAGGCTATGGTCGATCGGGAAACTACACACAAAGAAGCAGTCGATGCGGCAATGTCAGAGGGTAAAATGCTGGCGACGGAGAATCTCTTCCTCCAGCATGATCTAGCTGAGGAGGTTCATCAACTCCGTAATTATAAAACGAAGCATCGTGCGGCAGAGAAGGCTGCTCCGGTCACTCCAAAGAAGTCTCGAGTACTTCCCTTCCGTGATGGATTTGACGATGACGAGATCGCCGTGGTGTCGCCCAGCAAGTCGGCAGCACGATCCAAGAGAGGAACGCCAACCGTGCCAGGTAAACGGAAACGCCAGGCGAGCGTCGACAGCCCAGCTCCTTTGCAACTCAGTCCTGCTGGGGAGGTCAACATGGTGGATGCACCCACCGATACCTCTGGAACTGTGTTTGACGAGGAGCCCAAATCACGCGAATCAGGCACTCATGATCAAGTTATGAAGCGAGTCCTGAATCACAGGATGCTTCCTGATCAGCAAACCGATCTTGAAGCATTCGCCAAATTATACTTCCCGTCTGAGCCTCACAAGCCGCTATCAGGTATCCTCATGGATGAGTTGGCTCAGGTAGACATGGGCAATTTCGTGTTGGAGTACGCGTATGCGATTGGACAGCTTTGGAGGCGAGGACTGACGGAGAGGTTCTATGAGCCTGTTCCTCGATTCATGTGCATTGCCAGATATCTCCTGATGATGGACGAGGCCCCCTTGCCCGACCTGATCACCTCTCTAGTTGGTGTGCTCCAAGACTCGGTCGAGGTCAACGCAGTTCCTCGATTCAAATACTCCCCAGCGGCTCGAGAAAAGGCACGGATTCCACGGTCAACGCCTCAATCCGACTTGCATCTCGAGGTTGATTCGACCGAGGCCCTTCGTCTACTCTACTATATTTCGTGTCAATTATTACATGTCAAGAGTGCTCTAGACAACTTTTGGGCGCATATTCGGTACACGTTCATCCTAGTGATGTTGCATGGTTCACAGCCGCTCAAGGACATCATGGTTATATTGCCCTTGTTGTCAACGAGCATCCGGGCAGACTCGTTTGGCCCTATCATGTCCTCAGAGCAGGATCAAGCAGACGTTCAAAAATGGATTGTCGACCGTCTGTCGTTCATGCTCAGTGAGGCCGCCATGCCAGATGAAGGCTGCGAACCCTACACATCCTACGATATCTGTGCCATGCGCCTCGAGGTTCTGCTTCTGCTGGAGTCCCTGGCATTCAACCCAGCGGCTCCATCAAAAGAACACGGAAGCGCCATAATCGCAGCGCATCCGACAGCCTTGCCGCGTCTGTTCCGATCGATGCACGACGAGTTGGACGCACTTTACTCCTCGCCGCCCGAACAAGAACTCCGCGTTGCGATGGTCAACGGGCTGATGCGCCTGATCTTCGGGGTCATGCGCCGTCATGGGCCAACCATCAGCATGCAGGAGAAGCTGGCGTCCGTGGCAGGAAGTAAACAAAAGCACCTTGTAGTCCTCACGCGGCTGGCATTCTGCGACGGGTCTGTTCTCGAAGCGGGCATCGACGACGAGACGGTAGACATGGCACACGAGTTACTGGAGGAGTGGACGAACCCACAGGAAGCGGAGTCACTGGCCGAGGCGTTCCCCAGTTCTCGGCGAGACTAATAGCAGGAGGGAATGGCAGGAATGGCGTTTGGGTGAGGGAAGGAATGAGCTTTGCATATTTGACATGGCGCTGAGGATTTGGGGGGTATTGCATGCAACTGTTTCTACGAGTTTTACGAATGAGATACCAATATTTACTTAAATCAGAGACTTGAGTTTCAATCATAGTATGAAAGTGTGACAGGGCAGGTTGAAAACTCGGGGTAGGATGTATAATGATGCGGCTATAGAGTGAAGGATGTGCAAGAACGAGTGCCATGACAGCAAGGCAGCACCACGAGCAGATCAGAAACGTGGACAGTATGGTACATAGTGAAAGGGGACATGCCGGTATCCAGGACTACATGTTTAGGAGATCTCTTCTCCAAGACCGGGTCACTGACCCGAAGCTTGATGAAAAGAAGAATATCCACAGGGTGGAAGGTGCCAAAGAATACGCCTGTCAATGACCCGAAGGCCGTTGAACAAACTGTTCCGCCGCGCTGTGCAATGCAGGGACCAATCTGTGGTGGACCGCCTTCATGATCGCAGCCACCCAAACAAGGTAAGTATGAAGAAGAAAAGAAAAAGAGGAGGAATCTGGGGGGCGACGGGGGGTATTTAAATGAGAGGTGGGGCCCGCTAGTGCTAAGCGAGCCACGCTAGTGACGCTAGTGGAAGCGAATGACGCTAAGCCCAATTTAGCTTGAAGCATATCTATCACGTGAATAACAAAAAGGTCACGTGAGACATCACTGGTGAGGCACCAAGGCCACAAGGCAATCTACCCAGCAGATCACGTGCCTTGCGGAAGTTTTGGGAGAAGGGCATCCACCAAGGCCCCGTCTCCGACAAGGATACCGCAACAACCACCTCCCCAGCGTCTTATTTACAGAGTCGCCAATATGAGGAACAGGGCCAGCACCTCATTGTCTAAGGGGGTAAGTTCAATTGCACTTTTTACTTCTCAACCGGCTACGCAGAAACTAACTACTGGCCTCCCCAGAAAATCCGTCAATCATGGAGCAAATATAACCTGTATAACCTGCAACGATTCCGCACCCCAGCTACCGCGAACCGAACCTTTTTCCAACAAAAATGGACTGCCAAGGCGACTTCGCGTGCCTATCACGGAGAGCAGGTCCGCGAAGGCCAGTGGAAGCGCATGTTCTCGAAGCGCATCCGCAGCGTCATCCCCATGAACACGACCGATCTGGCCGCTGATGACGGTTCGAAGGAGTCTGCTGGTCGTGGCTCTGGTTTGAGCGAGAGTGGTGGCAGGAACCGGTCCCGTCCTATTCCTTATACACAGATGGCTTTCGCTCCCCTGGAGCGTCGGTTGGATGTTGCTATTTTCCGGTCTTTGTTTGCTAGCAGCACACGGCAAGCGAGGCAATTCGTTATCCACGGTGCAGTTACCGTCAATGGACAGAAGGTAAGGCAGAGCTTACTCGGGACTTTTATTGCACTTGAATGGGTTCTAACATAACTTTCTCATCTAGATGAGACATCCTAGCTACCTGCTTAACCCCGGCGACCTCTTCCAAGTCGACCCGGACCGTGTGATGTACGCTACCGGTGCCCCGAAGACAGCCTTCGAGCGCCGTGAGACCCGTCAGCTCAAGCAGAAGAGCGATGATGCTGAGGGTGAGGAGGCCGAGGCCAAGCCCGAGGCCACTGAGAAGGATGTGAAGGAGAACGCCCGGGACTCTCTGCGAGCATTGATGTCACAAGCCAAGACCATCATGTCAACGGACAAGGACGTTCTTCCCGCCAAGCGGAAGCAGGAGCTGCGCGGTTTCCAGAAGGCCGTTCGCCGCGTGCTGTCCCGCTCCGACACCAGCACTGTCCTGACCGACAGCCTGGAGGCCCAGTTCTCCGAGCTGACCCTGCTTCTCAAGGCCAAGCGAACTGAGAAGAAGCCCGCCAAGGAGTCCAAGAAGGAAGCCAAGGAGGAGACTACCGCCACTGCCACGAAGTCAGAGGAAACCGCCAGCGGCGCTCTTTCTGAAGCCTTCCAGGCCGCCGCCGAGGGTGGTGCAGTCGACACTTCCGAGCTTACCGATGAGGAATTCGACATCCTCAAGCGCGCTCTGACCCAGATGCGCGATAACCCCATCGACCACTCCAAGCCCTACGCCACCCCCTGGCGCCCACGCGACTACATGTCCGCCTTCGCCTTCATCCCGCGCTACCTCGAAGTGAACCAGAACATCTGCGCTGCCGTGTACCTGCGACACCCCGTTGCACGCCCCGGCTCCGCCGAGGTGCCCACTCCCTTCGGCGAGTCGATCAGCACCCCAGCCTACGGCTGGTACCTGAAGAGACGGTGGTAAAGGAGATGCACTAATAGTGTTTCCCTGACCCTTTCGCCTCTTCCGTGTCTCTATTATTGTCTACTTCCCCCATTTCCCACGACTGTATTACTGGGCCTTTCCTGGATCCTTATTTCCTCCCTCCTCTGCTTGCATATTTCCTCTGGTGCTCATAAAGGGACCCCTTTGATGGGATCATGTTGACCATGGTGTTGGTGCCTTATTTTTTTCACTTTTTGTTGTCGGGGCTTGTATGCCCCTGTGTATCACCATAGCCATGAATCGATTGTAAATGGAATAAATTACTCCTTCTAGTAATATCTTCAAGTAACAAACTCCTCATACTACTATGTCTCTTGAATTGACACAGAATGTACGATCCCTATCTGATACTTGTTCAACCGTCAGCCCATTAGTAATTCTTCCAGGCATCGATGAAGATTAGGTAGGAATGGAGGGAAATCATTTAGATGGTACACCATACGAAAAGGGAAACTCGGGGCATCAAATGAGAGTTATCACCAACTTCCAAGTCTTCCAGTCACTCTCCCCCCTCATATGGCCTAGTTGGTCAATCAGGTTAGTCGACACCTGATTGGCCGGATGTGCCCCTGTGAAGGAAAAAAATGAAGGGGCAAACAGTTGACTGGTATCCGATGTCGAGTATGACTCCACGGATGACCGGGCACATCCATACGGGGGAGAGTGGGCGAGCGAGCTAATCCCCCTCGCTCGCCGATTTCTTCTTTTTTTATTCTTTTTATTTAATAGATAGATATATTTTATATCTTTCATTCTAGATCTAAAATAAAATATTTTAAAGGTATTATGGTAGTGTAGAGGGAGATTGTTTGCTGGGTGTGGTCACGGGGAGTATGTTCTTCAGCATCGTGGGATGGCGAGGGAGCATTTTGGGCAAGTATATATGGAACGCGAAGGTCGCGGGTTCGATTCTCGCAATAAGAACGAACCACCTAAATTATGGAATGAGAACCATGTTCACCCCGGCTGGGTAATGACTCCTATTGATTACCGGCTGAGACACCGAGAAGTGAAGTATTCAGAGACACCAGCCAGTTCTAATAACCGACCACAGCCATGCTTAGGTTGAAGCACATGTTTCTCAGAACGCCGTCGCTACGGCGAGACTGGCTAAGCCTGGCGTTGAGCGCTGACAACAACCCCCTCCATCAGCCTCATACCTATTGACCCGCCTTCTACTTTCGTATGTATTTTGATTCATATCTTAGTTCACTGAAGGCAAGCCATAACTAACAAGATGAGCCTCTGCTTCGGGACTGGGAGCCTTCAAGCTGTTCTCGGGTTGGCCAATGACCTGAAGGACCGCTTTGCACAAACACTAAACGAGTGCAAGGAGATGTACCATGAGTAAGTCCTCTATTATCTATCATGTTTATGCTAGTGATACTGAGCGCTAGCTATAGACCTGACTCCATATCGACTTTACTCCATCGGATTGAGGATCTTGACGAAGATGACTTCGATGAACAACAAGGAGAGAATATGGAAAGGGCCCTTCATGACTACCAGGATCTTCGCGACGAGCTCAGTCTCAAGCTTGACAAGCTTCAAGTTTTGCCAAATGACTCGAATGAAGACGGGAAACAACAAGCTCGATGGGCTTGGGAAACGATTACATGGGATCAGAAAGAGATCGATAACTATCGATCACGCATTCTCCTCAGCCTAACTTCGTTCAATCTTTTGGTTGGAAGAATCGATTTGTATGTTGTGCATATTTTTCTCTCCGCCAATCTCGAGCTCTTTGCTACGCAACCGGATAGAGGCCTGACTGTGGAGCTTTGTGACATCAAAACCCTCTCTCCGGAGGAGGTTGACTCCATGCAATAATTTGAGGACAAAAGGAGAGGGGATCTTCTCTCATGGATCAGCCCAATCGATGCTGCTGCAAGACAAAGCGAGGTATTAAAGTCTCGCCAAGGGGACCCATGGACATGGCTACTGAAAACCGAGGAATTCAAGCACTGGTTATCCCAGGAGAAACAAACTCTCCTATGCACAAACATTCCAGGAACTGGTAAAACTGTCCAGGTATCCGTGGTCATCGCTTATCCGGAGTATACTTTCCAACATGAAGAAGATGTCGGGATCGCTTACTACTTCTGCGAACGTCGCTTCACGGATTTTTTCGACTCCGATGGGAATGCTGTTAATTCCTCCACCTCGATTGAGATGCAGGGTATTCATATTGCTAGTTGATTTGGCCTATGTGAGTTTGTCAGCAATCTCCTCGATGATGATCCTATAAACATCGATGATCGAGATTACTATAGAAGAGATGCTCTTCATGCAGCTGTGTAGCACAACCAAGAACAGGTGGTAAACATCTTACTAGCCGGAGGCGCCAACATCGAATCTATCGACGGACAGAAACATACTCCCGTACTGAAGGAGAATTAGGGGACTCGGAAGATTCACATGATGAATTTAAGGGATTTTCAGGGGAGGGATGCAGCAGCATCTGCCTCTTGAGGGTGCCAAGTCAAGTGTCATCAACCATGCATAACTAAAGGAACACATTACACTTTAACCAGTAGGTTGTAGATATCGTAGAAATGATGTCTCACCACAGCTATTTATCCCTAGGCAGCTTCCTTCAAAAGCAGACTCCATTAAGTTCAAAATAAATGCAGAACTCTAGCTATCCCAAGCTTGTTGATATACTTCTCCCGCCGAGAGATGATCCGAAGGCGGTGAGGGGTCAAGACTGGCACCAGCTTCACCACAATCCAGTGGCACGTCATCGTCTCAAACATCCCGGTATCCATGCTGATACCAGTGAATATCTTCCAAGACGGCGAAGACAGCGCGCTGGAATTCGCGCCAAATCCGTGGGTCATGAAGCGCGCCCACGAACTCGACCCGGACGACGACGGGGACACACCACGCAAAGGATGGAAGCGGCTCACAACCAAAGAAGAAGTGACCCTCTTCGAGATCTGCAATCGCCACGCAGACAGTTTCGGCCGACGCAGCGATCTCTGCAATTGGTGGAAGACCGTCGCAACCGAGTTCTCCCACGCAAACGGCCGCCCGTATTCATGGCACTCGGTGCGGAGGAAGGTGGAGATGGTTACGAAGAAGCGCATCAAGTTCCTCGAAGATCAACAGCAGCGACAACGGGATTATTCCGGTGCGAATCCGGTCCCTGACGTGATGAATCCGCAGTGGTGTGCTGTGCTTGATCTTTGGATTCCGACCTGGCAACATTGGGAGGAATCGGAGGCGCAACGGATCGCGAAGCGCGACGCGACGTATCGCAAACGCTCGCAGAGTAAACTTGATAATCTGTGGAAGCCTCCACCTCAAGCTGCAGACCCGGCCTTGGAACCGGTTGATCTGACCTCCCCAGCCAGCCCTGATGATACCGGCATCGATGCCAATGATTCTTACGAGGGTCCTATCGTTCTAGTTACGAGGAGTCCCCAACCAACGACTGTCCCTGCCACGGCAGCGCCAACGGTCGACAGACCTTCTTCTATTCCGGCATCCAATGGAGGTGTCAGACTACCTCCAGGATTCGATACTATGTTTGCAAACAATCATTCTCAGCCTACCCGGTGGCCTCCGACCTTTGCACCAGCACCCAGAGCGGCAGAGCCATCATCAGATAACCGCGTGTTCAGCGCCATGCTCGAGGCTATCGGGAAACTCAATAGACACCTCGATGCAGCATCGGACAATAACAGAAATAACGATGCTCCAGATGCTCGCGCTTCGCCAGTGATATCCGCTCTGGTTCAATCAGCTACTGAGTCCACCCCTCAAAACCCAGCTTCATCAGAGGACTCACGCAGAGCATCGAGCAGCATCCCCTCCAGAGACTTTGAGCGAATTAAAGAAGAACTGCGGCGAGAGATGAGAGAAGAAATGCGTCGAGAGCGGGTCGCATTCGAAGAGAAGCTGGATTCTGTTCAAAGAACGCAAGATATGATTTTAGAGATGTTAAGGCAGGAGCCGGCTTGATGGGATAGATTTGGCTTGGCTTTTCTGCTACTTGGGAGTTGGCTTTCGAGGTTCTCCTGGCGTTTGTCGTTTGTATGCTTTATGTTGATATGATACCCACTCGCGCTACTTGAGCTATTATTACTTTTCGATATGACAATCTTATTCTTTCAACCAATCCATGTTCGACCGATTATAAGTTCAAAAGTTGTTCCCTCAAGAAAAGTTGATGACGATTGTTCTACTCTAAAACGGACGCAGACAGGGAAACGAAACACAAATGGAAGAGATAGTAGTCATCGGCTAAATTACAGATAATGGTAGGTAGGAACAGACAAAGGAACTACTCGGGGATCTTCCCAGCAAGGGATAACCCCGAGGCCCCCGGAGACACCAAGCTCTCTTTCAAGCTCTTTTCGGGAGTCCTCTCAAAGTTTTACGTTCGAGATTACCCTCATACCGTCAAACACACTCTAGTAGTAGAAGGTCTCGTCGACGGTACGGCCACGCATCCAGCGGGGCTCGGAACCACGGACGTAGATGTCCTCGAAGAGGATACGGGGAGTGGCATCGGGGACAACCATCTTCTCGGCCTCGGCGACCTCAGCGTCGACGTAGGCGCGAGCAGCCTTGTCAATGCTCTTGAGCTCCTCCTCGGAGGTAACACCCCACTCGAGCATCTTCTGCTTGAGGCCGGCAATGGGGTCGTTGGTGGAGCGCATGCGCTGGATCTCCTCACGGCTACGGTAGGTGGTACCGGGGTCGGACATGGAGTGACCACCGTAACGGTAGGTGACATACTCGAAGACGAGAGGACCCTTGCCAGAGACGGCATAGTCCTTACCGTACTGGACGGCGGCCTTGGTGGCCAGGACGTCCATGCCGTTGACCTTCAGACCGGGGATGTACTGACCACGCTTGTAGTACTCGGTGAGAGCGGAGGAGCGGGCAGCGGAGGTACCCATACCGTACTTGTTGTTCTCGCAACCGAACAGGACGGGGAGGTTCCACAGCTTGGCCATGTTGAAGGCCTCGAAGACCTGACCCTGGTTGGAGGCACCGTCACCGTACAGGACGATGGAGGTGTTGGGCTGCTCGTTGTACTGCTGGGCGAAAGCGAGACCAGCACCGACGGGGACCTGGGCACCGACGATACCGTTACCACCGTAGAAGTTGGGGGCGAACATGTGCATGGAGCCACCCTTGCCGTAGGCGATACCCTCACGGCGGCCAAGCAGCTCACCGATGATGGACTTGACGGTAGCACCGCGCATCAAAGCGAAACCGTGGCAACGGTAGGCGGTGATAACCTTGTCATCGCGGTTGATAGCGTGCTCAATACCAACGGCGACAGCTTCCTGGCCGGTGGACAAGTGACAGAAACCACGGATCTTCTTCTCCTTGTAGAGGCGGTCGGCGGCCATCTCCATGCGGCTGTAAGAGAGAAGCTAGCAGTTAGGAAGCTGCTTTCAAAGGAAAGTCTGGGAAACGGAAGGGGGGAAAGCATAGGCGCATACCGCATAGAGACCATATCGCGGTACATCTGCTTCAGCTCCTTCTTGGTGGTCTCCAGAGTGTAAGGAGGAGGGTCGAGCTCGTAGGTCTCGAAGCTCTCGTCGGAGAGACGGACGGTGAACGGCTTGTCATCTTCCTATACAGCGCAAACACCAGTATCAGCATTGAGGTGTTCCGGGGCTCGCGGACCAAATTCCTGTTTTCCGGATGGGTTCTCAACAAACCTGCGGGATGTTCTCGGCGTGCGACGAAGCGGCGTCGGTGGTGACGGAGCGACGGGTGATAGGAGCGAAGGCCTGGCGACGCAGGGGCGCAGCCTGGCGGGCCGCAGTACGGAAGAGCATTGTGTACGTCGAGGAACCCAATTGAAGATGGGGAGAATTGATGGTTGGAGATAGCGACACTTTTCCGTCAGATGTTGGGAATGCAAACTTTCCCGATTACTTAAGCGCTTCCCGTTCGGGGGCCGCCGGTGTGTCCTCCTGCAAACAGTCCAAACCGCGGAGCTGGCCTACAGCTAACATTTGACCAGAGCTTTTTATGAAGCTGGTGGAAATGTTTGAAAGTACTATCGAAGGTCTAGTCCAGGCCAAGGAAGTTTTTCCGGTATTTAGATCAGCACTGAAGACCTTCAGTGTTCATCGCTCATCGCTCCGACCGAGTCCGGAAGCATCTGGAATTTGCCCGGTGATCCCAACAAGACTTATCTTAGAGATAGCTCAGATAACCTACCTAAGTATGCCGGCTGAATTTCGGATGGAATGGAAAGGGTTCAAGAACTTGAATTAAAAGACTATCTAGCTTGGTATATAATATTGGATATGTCTTGGGGTATGTAAATTTCGTTTCTACATCTCGACCAGTGAAGCTGCTGTTGCTCTCGGTATATATCTTCCCCGAAGGAGCGGAATAGCGGGCACGTAGCACAATATATACATTCCGACGTCTTCCATTTTCGGGCACCACTTATTTCACACTTCACACGGAATTGCATACTGAATAAGGTTATCGAATGCCCAATGCCCTTCTTATCAAATATATAGAGCATCATAGTAACCTTACTAAGTCCTACTAGCCTAACTGCTCGTCCAGTCCGGTTCCTGACCATTGGACTCTTCTAACCTTGTCCCAGAGTACTGTAAATTATCATGACCTGACTGCTGATGCCTGATGTACGAGAAAAAAGCAAATAGCGATTTACGCCACAGAAGTGGCATTTCCTCGGATATCCCATATCTTGCCTTTGATAACAGGAAAGCCGTCAAATGAGGGCTAAGAAACTGGTTACTTCCACCCCAAGAATAACAAAACATAGAACGCACTCGACCTTTCTGTGTATACATAGATACTAGTCGGCACTTTCCCGTAGATTCATAAATACCTAAACCTGCTTTAGCGACTTGTCTCAGTATCAGCGCGGGCTCCTAGCCATCAGAAAGCCAATGCTAATCTAGACCAAATGCCGCAAACACCCGGACCCCGAGGGCCCGCCCTATACCTATCAATCACGCCAAAAGCGCACACTATCTGACAATCATCGACGTGCCACTGAATCAATTAGCCTGGATTTAGCCAGTAAGCAGAGGCATTTAGCGAACAACACGTTGTCGAACCATAATTCCCCGAGACAAAGCACTGACCGGTACTTGATCCTTCAATGAATCGATGTTCCGTGGAACGGCGCTGTTCGCGGCCTTACGATCGATAGATACATGTAAGACATCTCAAAAATTGATAATTCGGATTTCCCGATTTTGGAAGTTGCATCGCCCACTGAGCAAAGTACCTCTTTTTTTTACCAATGAAAACGCCATACTCGTGCTTGCCCCTCGTGAGGCGATAAGTCTAATTCTCTTGTTTGTGTTGACCCCGCTAGAGCCGTTTACGCGACAGATCGTATCTTTCAACCTCTAATAAAGTTAATGATGAAATACGAAATCCCGAATGAGGGAACATGATTCAAGACTAACAGTTGCGGAAGACATAACCGAGCCCCTAACTTCCCCTAGATCATCAACTGCTGGTCTAAACGGAGACAAAGCACGATGGTACTTTGATAGCCTAGCCCGATGTAGTCGCGCATTGACTGGAAATATTCGTATATGTACTATACAGGTAGGAAAAAAAAGGAAGGAATTTGATAATATTTGTCTTTTTTCAAGTCGAAAGAAAAGAAAATTTCGATCAGGTTAGAATCATACTGAAACGCTGGTAGTGATGTGCCAGGCATTCGCTCCTGACCAGATTAATTTGACTTTCTTTAGGCCAGCCAGCCTTACCCAGGAGGAAGTTTTGCTCAGAGGAACATAGAATACGGGAAATAAGTTTATCCAGTGCTATGTGATAATACAGACTATCTCTTTAGGAATCTCCCGGCTTGGATACTCCGATGACTGAGCAAAGTGTTTCAGCACCAGGCTGATCAGTTTCATCCAAGACGATACCCTTCTATGGAAGAACAAGATCCATTCTGTTTCACAGTGGATCTGAACAAACCAACTTGGGATAAAATCCACAAAGCCAAGGTCCGCTGCGTCAGTCGTTGAGCTCGATCTAACGCTCGATGTAATGGCCATCTAACAGCCCCACCTCCAAGGCTGGGCTGTACATAATATCGGAAACACACGTAGTCACCCACAGACTATCAAAAACATAAACACCGAAGATCTCCCCTCGACAGTAAAACTCCCTGAAACAGGAAAATGCACCAAATGCACCTGGTGACGACGACATGTAGCATGTCTCCCAGAATCATCATCGTCCTCGAACAAAGTACTGGACCCAAGTCCCCAGCCACTTGATGCGTCCAACTTCCCAAAATAGATGACTAGTTATGCATCTCGACAAGCTACACCGTTCCAGCCCGATGCATGCAACCATATACAAGGATTCTCAACGGTCGTCCCCAAAGAGGCTACCAAACGTGTAGAAACTACAGCGCGTGCTGCCAAGCCTTGCTGGCCACCAATCGGGCCTGCAGGAGGGCCGGCACAAGGCGTTTCATGTTCAAACCTTATTCATCGAGGAATACATCAAGCTATGCAGAACAAGGTGAGTTGGTCTCTGCACTGCTGCCAGCTTGGAATCCTGGCAAGTGCACTCCGACTAGCCGCGAGGAGACAGACACCTCTGTATACGTCATGCGAATCTAGGGGTTAGTTACCAGTGGGTAGTAGCTCACCTCTCAGTAAGCTCCTAACAAAGTGAACGTTCGTCGTCTGAAACACCGGCTCGCGATCCCCTGAGCACGGATACGCCTCCGGTATTGGAGGATAAACCATGGGAGAAATAACCGGGATTCGCACGGTCGAGGCCAAGGCTGGCCTTGGATTAGAGATTCTCTGTATACCTTATCATATGTATCTAGTCACTTGATCAGCTCGGAAAGAAAACCTCTTGAAATGATCTACAAACATGACTAGTCAAATATTTCAGTTGAGGAATGCTGCACGAGCAAGTGTGACTTACTTTAGATCGGCCCAGGCCATGCATTGCAGCCCCGGTCG